CCCAAACGCAAGCAATACATTCATTGCTGGTCTTAACACCATTGCGTGGTCCCTATGACCCTATTCCATTTTCCTAGCAAGTTGCACTATGAGGATTCATGACTGCTACAATTGGATTAGTAACACTGCTTATAGTTATAGGTTTAAAATGCTGAGAATTAATCTTAAATGCATTTTTATTCATCTTGAATGCAGCTAAGAGTGGGATGTTCAGACCTTGTTTAATGTTTTCCACCATTCTGCAATAGCATGTCTGCTTACTAATGCTGAGCATACAGCATGGATAGCGTCGTTATGTAGTTTAATCACTGGATGGCACTGGCCTAAACTGTATCTGCATAGTCAGGAGTTTCCCATTCACAAGGAGTTTGCTACTGTGTTATTTTTTCATGAAAATGAAGTTGTCGTCTAGCTTCCTCAAATGATGTGTTTTGTAAGCATTGCCTTACACATATCATGACTAATGCCTTCTGTGTATTGAAAGCATCTAAAATGACTAAGGACTTTTGAGTCACAGCATCACACTATTGACTAATGTTCAGTTTATTATCTGGTACAACCTGAAAAGCTTTCTCCCTAGGTAGTTACATCATTCATCTTGTGGGAATGTTCAGGATGGCAGGAGAGGATATATTGTTTATTAATAACCTTCCTAACTTGTGCTAGCAAGTTCCTTTACTTAGCAGAGTTTACATTCCCTTTTACACAGCAGAAAACTAGTTGCAAACTCATGTGAGTTTCTTAAGACAATACACAATTCAATCTGGCTTGTCCAGATTGAAATGTGTTCTAATATTTTCCTGGTAAGACCCCTTGAATCCCTCCTAAAAGAATAAAGACACCACAGTCTTATTCATAAGCAATAAAAAGAAAGTTTACTCATGATCAGGCAGAGCACAGTGTGATCCCTGAAGGCAGGCTTAAGGCTTAAATATACAAACAGGTTTACCCCATATGTGGGTTGACCTAGTGACTGCAGTTAGCAGTCTGGGAAGTTCGCAGGATGAAAGGAAGATGGAAAAGAGAGAGAGTGGCAGGATGCCTTGTCCTTTTACCAGGTCTGGAAAGATCATGCCCACCACCCACTAGTCACATGCAAGGAAGTATGCTCCAGGCCAGGAGGAACAGGAAGTTTCAACTGGCTGGACCAAACATTCCCTTGCATGTCCACTCTAGCAAAACAAGGAATGTTGTATTTGACTGCTCCCAGTGGATTACATCCCACACATCTTATATTTGTGCATTTGGTTTTTCCTTACTGTATAGAACAGGTAGTCTGTTAACAAGTTAGCAAGGCACTCCACAGTTCACAAATTTCATTGAGCATATGTGTAAATATTTCCAGCACACTATTGCTAATATTGATTAAACTGAACAGCAAGAAAAATTTGCTCTATTGAATGTAGAGTACAAAACTATCAGAAGAAGTCAGAGACTATGAAAAAAACAATGATGGGATGGCACCTTTAGACAAAATTTATCCAAGAGACAAATTTAGGGTAAATTCATTTATTCCTGTCATGGATGCTCTTAAAGCCAACCTAGACAGAAATGCAACAGGTTGTAGGAGTCCAGCTGGCAATTTTTCATTTTTGGTGAACCTGCTATCAACAGTCGCAATGGTGGCAACATGTTAATGCAAGAATATCCAAAGAATGTTGACCTTAGTCTGCTCAGTGAACTCTTGCACTCCCAACCGTATGTCAAACAAGCTCACCCAAAAAATTAAAATTTTAGCTACCAAGATATATGTATTAAATAATATTCCAGGAGAAAATATGGACAGGTTTTCCAAATGCAGAAACAATTTTCAGATTATTCCTGTGTTTAATGGTTACAAACTGTACTGGTGAAATATCGTTTTCTAAACTAAAAAAGGATATAGTATTATCTGTCAACAAAGTCCCAAGATTGCTTGTCTGATCTAAGAATTTTCTGCAAAGAAAATTATAAACTGTGACTTACCAATTTTAATGATATAATTGAAAAAAGATCTTGTTCTGACTTTGTATGTAGTTCCTCAAAATATTTTGCTTCAGTTGCCATTTTGTTCCTACCCCTACCCTTTACATGATACTGAGCATGCTTGCCTTATGCGACGGTCAGGTCCCATTGACCTGAAGGGACTGAAATGCTTTACGCACAACCCTTTTTAATGACTCAGCTAAAAGTAACTAAATTTCTCAATGAAATTTAGGCTTTTTACTGGCTATTAACAAAAAGTTCCCAGCGCTCAAACCAATTGACTGTCATGATAGGACCACCCTTCAGTGGCGCTGTAATCACATCTTATTTAATTAACTCTTGATCCACTTCTGCCAGCAAGTCATGCAGAAGTTGAATTACGTTAAGCGATGTAAAAAAAGAGAAAAAAATAACAATGTAAAAAAGTAAATTAAGTAGTCCAGTTGGCTGTTAACATCTCCCCTTCCTCTCCGGAGGAAAGGCTGAGTCACTGGAAATGTTCATGGTGAGAAGATGGTTGCTCTCCTTTTCATTTTTGAGATGATGTCCACGTGGAGGAAGAACCAGATCTGCACACCTCCTCCCTGTCCATCTGAATCTTTTTTTCCTGGGCTTTATAGAAAGAGAAGGGGAGAGAAGCAGTGCTAGGGCCTGTTTAGCTCTTTGCTTTGGGAGAGATGAAGCATAGAGGTCAATCCATATGCTGCTGCATTTATTTTGCTGCCTGTTCTTGCTCTGAAATTGGTTGTGGTGTCAAGTCCTCTCTTCTTTGGAGCGAAGGACAAGTCAGGGCAGCTGTACTTCATGCCAGGAGAGACTTGCAAGGCAAGCAACCAGTTAGGATGGTTGCTACCCATTTTATTTATTTATTTGGAGGGTGTTGGGAGCACCAGGGCTGTCCATCTCTTTATTTTGCCCATGGAAGGGCTTTTGGAGGGGGAAAAGAGGATAGGAGAAGGTATGTTTTCTGTGGGCTTTCTGAAAAAGAGGGGAGGGAGTAGAAGCACTGGAGCACATTCAGCTCCTGTTTCCTTTGCTGACCTTGTGGAGCAGGCAGTGGGCAACTGATCTGGCCATGGGAGGGAAATGCAGGGCTGGAAGTGATGGAACAAGCACAGGGATCAGCTGGCTGGTTGCTATATTTGCTCTGCTCCATGCTGGCCACATCAAACAACTACCTGAGAAACTTTTTATAATGTGTGTGTTAGAATGGAGGGGGGTGGATGAAAGAAGCCTGGGGACTGCTGTGTTTGCTTTGCTGCCTGCCAGCCATGCAGAGCAAGTAGCAGGCAGCTACTGGAGGAACTTTAAAAAATGTAGGAGTGGGGGAAGAAGCAACTGCTTGAGACTGACCTCTGCTGAACATTAGCAGTGGGGATGGGGTTATAATAATCTTTTCTTGTTCCTGCTGCCTGCCCTGTAGCAGGCATTGTTCCAAAGTTGTGGTAGGCAGTACAGAGGCATCATTATCATCCTCATCTGTTCCCTGATGCTTACCACCAGCAAGGTCTAGGGATTGCAGCGCAAAGGCACAAACACCATTTGATACCATCAACGTTACTAGTACCTCGGGTTAAGAACTTAATTCATTCTGGAGGTCCGTACTTAACCTGAAACTGTTCTTAACCTGAGGTACCACTTTAGCTAATGGGGCCTCCCTCTGCCGCTGTGCCGCCATCACACGATTTCTGTTCTCATCCTGAAGCAAAGTTCTTAACCCAAGGTACTATTTCTGGGTTAGCAGAGTCTGTAACCTGAAGTGTCTGTAACCTGAAGCATCTGTAACCTGAGGTACCACTGTATTACTCATCATTATTAATACAATTTCATATTGCTGTCCCTTTTCTTTTTCTGTTTTTATTGAAGGTGGCAGCTATTTTGTGCTAGGCCACTGTTTCTTTCACAGTCTGTGTACTAAGAAGGTGTGAGCTGAGGCCTGCAGTACAGTGTGCATGCTTCTGCGGCTTCTTCTCTTGTTCTTTTTTAATATCTTTCACTCCAAATAAAACTTTATTGACCTCTTCCAAGGTGCCTCGTGAGCAAAGCTTGGCTATAAACCTCTCTGCATTAAGTGCTGCCAAAGTCCCAGTTGTGAGGATTTCCTACCACTCTGTGTAAGTTTCTAAATGCCATGGGATGTGACACTAAACAAGCAAGCATTTATGCACACATGAGGGAAACACAGAGGTGTGTTATAGCATTGTGTGCATTGCACACTAATTATAACCATATACTGTGCTAGGCAGGTCTAGATTTTCTTTTTTAAAAGCGCTGCCCCCCCATCATATTTTTAAAACAGCCACTTGCACAGCAATCTGCAGTGCAACCCTAACCATGTCTACTAAGAAGTAAGTCCTATAGAATTCATTGGGAAAGTGGGATTAGGAATGAGAATCCGAGGGGCTTACAATATGCAAAGTTCTCCCAATCAATCTGTTTATTTAGTTCTCAGACTTGCATTCATGGCAATTATTTTTATTTTTTGCTCCGAACCTTAACCAATCGAGGAAGCAGTGTTTGGTTGTTAAATGAGGAATGCCTTTCATTGTTTTTGTGTGTTGACTCTTCATTTTTAGTTTTTGTTGTGAGTCCGGGTGTCCAAAGATGGAAATGGACTGGACCTCTGATAAGCCCTAGTCCTAGCTTCTCTCCTCATTCTCACAGCAAGCAATATTAGTCAAATAATCCACCATTCCTGGCTATCTGCTGTGTATTCTCTTTGTGTCCCTTAATACCAGTGTAGATTCATGTTTTTATGTTTAAAAGTTTGGCGACTTCCAATGAAAGAATAAGTAAGATGGAACACAGTAGTGTATGTCACCTCAGGGGCAGCTTTTTAGGGGAAATGGAACTCTTGTTTATGTGGTGAAACCTATAGTGGACATTTGTTCTCAGTGCGAAATTTCTAAGAAACGAAATGGCCAGGTCCCCCAAGAATAGTACCAAACTGCTCATGTCCTTCCACTCCCTTACGCTCCTAAGTATTGTGCAATTTAACTTCCTATTATGTGTACTTAATTTATGCCCTGGAAAACGACAACAACTTTTTTGAAAGCTTGATGCGGAGCTCTGGCTGCTCTCCACCGAATACAACTTGGGCTGCTGTCACGAGCATATAGTGCCCAAGTGGCGGGAAAGGTCAGAGGCGTTGGGTGACGCTGAAACCGCGCAGGTGTTGGCGGCAGGTGCGGGTGGGGGGTGGCCAAAGCCGTCCCTGGAGACGCCGAGCAAGGTTCGCACGACCAGCACCAACGGCTGAAGGAGCGCATTATAAGTCCTGGTAGCGAGAGACCCGGGCGCCACGTGACGCTGGCCCCAGCCTCTGGCCAGCCGGCGCTTCCCGCGTCCCCAGCAGGGAGTGCTAGTAGCCGCGCAGGTAGCGAGCGAGAAGCTGCAGCATTTTCCCGCCCGCTGCTTGTCCTCACCAGCACCGCGCGCCCGCCAGCCTCAAGGCTCCTCTGCAGACGGCGCCGACGCCGAGCTGACCGGCTGGCTGGGATAAAGGCCGAAGGAGGCTGGGGGGGGGGAGGCGGGGAGAGGGAGCTATGGTTCCACTGCCAGCCGGGTGAAGAGCGTGGGGCTTGAGGGGAAAGGGCGCGCGCCTCACAGGAGCAGGAGCAGCAGGAGCAGTTTCTCCTTCTTCCTTCCCCCTTCTCTCTTCCCCCCTGCGTGAGAAGAGCGGCCGAGATTCCAGCTGGTCGCCGCAGCAAAGGTACGTGTTTTCCTTTTCTTCTTCTTCTTCTGCCTGGCTAGCTCTGGCTGAGGGTCTTTTGGCACCGACTGCGTTGGGGAGCGCGACCGTCAGTGGGCGCCTTGGTGCGCCACACCGCTATAACCATCACAGCTCACAGGAGCTTTAAGCGTTATTATTATTAGTAGTATTGGTATTAATATGGTGTTACCATTTTGGTCGGGTAGGGCTACTTTCAGTTAACTTTGGGTGCCTCCTGGGTGCTTGGGACGGCAGGTTGGCCAGAGAGTAAGTCTCGTTGAAGCCAGGGAGGGCTTACTTCGGAGTAAACATGGCCAGGACTGCACTGCATAAAGGATGCTGCAGGAAGGACCTGCTGAAGTTTGCGCAGGGAGGCAGAGAGGGGAAAGCGAAGAGCGTGTGAGGTGTTGCGACTGGCTGGGAGACGATTTGCCAGGCGATAGAGGCAGGCTTGCGTTTGCGCTGCCGCGGACCAGACTGCGCATCCGCGTCAGTCTTGTTGTCCTCGTCGTCTGTCAAATGGGACGTGCAACAGTTTTAGCGGAAGCACCGAGGACAGGAGGAACTCTCTCGGAGTTGACATTTACAGCTGCATGTTGTAATCATTGTAGAGTTTCCTAGGTTATGTTTTAGATCTCTTCAGTCTATAAGTCAGTGAAGCTCCTTTTGTCCTTTGGAAAAAGAGAGGCAACGATGCTTTCAGCTCCTTGGTAGTTTGGCCACCTTAAACGGGCTATTTGTCTTGTTCTCTCAAAAGTTTTCACGACAAGGACTGCAAACTAAAACAAAAAGCCTGGAAAAAAATAAACCGAAGAGAAGTTGTAATGAACGCTGGTAAGGTTTTCCTTTGCAAATCTCACCAGAGCTGTAACCTACAACTCTCTTAGTGATCTGGCACCAATGGCATTTTTGCACATCATGTTTATCATAGTTCCTGTAATGCAGTTGGAAGACCCAACATCTACCACATTTTCATCCTAGCCTTCCTCCAGGGAACTCCTGGTGGCATAGGCAGGGGTTATTCCATTTTTACCATCACAACAAGCTACCAGGGTAGGCCACTGCTGCAAGTTTGATCATGGCTGTGCAGGGATTTGCATTCATGAGTTGCTGCTCCAAGTCCAAATTCTAAAAAGCTTTTGGGACAATGTACTGTTGATTTCAGATTGTCAATTTGGGTCAGAGCGATAGTATTCCGGTGTCGGTGACACAGTTTGGAGAGAAACAAAGCCACAAGTGCTGGTTGCTATATCACGGTAAACCAAGGCTCATGGTTTGTTCCTCCTGGCTCCAGGGAGGGAGGAACAAAGGTAGGAGCAATTCAGCAGTGTGCACTAGCATGCTGCTCATTCACAGCAAGTCATGCCTTATGGCTTACCACAGTGTGTCAATGTGTATTTACATCCGTTGGAATTGGTTCCAGAAATAGGTTCAAAAATGGTGGGAAATGTTAGATTTTGTACAGCCAAAATCTGCTGGTTGATACTAATAAAAGTCTTGCCCAACTGTGGGGTTTCCCCCCTTTCATTTTCTTATGAACTAACATGGCCCCTTTACACACACGCGCGCGCACACACACACACACACACACAACAGTTTTATTGATTTGAAACACATTCCTAACTTATCTCTTCTTTTGTTTGAAATTACCCAAGCAATGTGTTGTTGGCAGTAACTTTGTAACAGTCATGTAAAGATGCAGTAGCTGTTAAAAGAAAGCATAATTAAGGGTTATGCAATGGGACTGTTTAAGACTTAAGTGTTTTCATTGGCACTTGTTTTGTTTCCTAGTGTAATAATGTTCCACATTTTCAAACCTTGTGGGATTTGCATGACACAGAACAGGGTGAAGAGTCATTTTATTGAGACCTTTGGTTGTTTGCTTAATAAATACAATTTTAAATTATTTTGAAATATTAGCTGTCCTAATATTTTGGAGAGCAAATGAAAACTGCTCCGTGGCTTGTGTATAGGTGTGCGTAATGAAACAGAGAGAGAGGGAACTCTTCATGTGGCTATCTGAATTTATTATTTATTATCTACATAGATGAAATCCAAGCAGCTTCCTAGAGTTTCTGCTCACCCAGTGGATTTTAAAAATCCATTTTCCATAGGATAGCTGACCCCTATGCCACATCACAAACTGCTTTTGAAAGGTCCTCCTACAAAGCAAGCCCATATAGTTTTACTCAGAATTTGCACTGTGTCCAGAACAGCTTACTCACAGTGTGCATAAAATTATGAGAGGTGCTGCTTGAAAAAAAATATCTTCAAAGACTTGCTCCATTTGTTTCACATCTTTCTGGATCCTGACTGCAGTGCCTACAAGTACAATTAAGACTAGACAAGATTTCTTCCTGTAGCAAATCTGTATAGCAGAGAGTTAATTTGTAAACATTTGAGAGAAAATATTTAATAAAAGTAGGTTAAAAATTAGGAAGCATTAACAAATAACAATAGGGTTGCCATATTTTGAAGAGCAAAAAAGAGAATGCCATGATGACTCTAATTTTAAATACCCCAAATATATGCTGGCTATAGAAGCTGTGATATATTGCTGAGGGGGGGGGGGCAGGAGAAGAGAAGAGGAAAGCAAGTCTTCAGCTACTAGTTATGTCTATGTCTCATCCAGAAAGTATAGCCAGAGACATTTTGGCAAATTTTAAAAATCTGCCCAGACAGAAATTTTACCCCTGAAAAAGAGGACATGTCCTGGAAAAAGAGGACACATGGCAACCCTAAACAATAACAAATACCAGCAAATAGTGAATTCCAGATATTTGAAAGTTATGAGGGGTAGAAGTTCTGCATGGCATGGGGAAGAATGTGTGACAGAGGCACGGGCACATGCATTCTACCCCTAATTTGCCCTGTGCTGTGCTGAAAAGGAAATATTTAAATAACCACGTTGGAAATATCTGCATGGTTCTAACAATGTTCAGCTGAACACAGTTATAAGGCCCCTTCAGACATTTATGGGGAATGCTTGCACATGAGACATGGTGGCTTTTGTCACACATTCACTTTGAATGCCTTGAGACCACAGCAACTAGGGCAAGAACTGACCTTGCATCAAACTAAGAGACATTGACCATAGTACCATATAACTAGTTCTGCACAGCTAAGGAAGCTTTGGGCTATGTCCCCTGCCCCCTGACAACATAATCCTGTGTCACATGGTGAACTACGTTTGAAAATGAGGGTAGTTTGAAAAGTAGGGCCTTCTCGGTAGTAGCGCCCGCCGTGTGGAACGCCCTCCCATCAGATGTCAAGGAAATAAGCAGCTATCTTATTTTTAAAAGACATATGAAGGCAGCCCTGTTTAGGGAAGTTTTTAATATTTAATGCTGTATGATTTTTAATACTCGATTGGGAGCCACCCAGAGTGGCTGGGGAAACTCAGCCAGATGGGCAGGGTATAAATAATAATTAATAATAATAATAATAATAATAGTTGCAAGCAGTTTTCTATGGCATGGAGGACTGCTATTCAAAGAAAAAGGGTTTTGAAAAACCCTATTCTGCATGCTAAGCCAATGGATTCTTGCCTTGAATTAAGAGAATGAGGTTTAGTGTAGAGATCAATCGAATAAAGATAAAAATTGTGTTCTGCAGGAATTTTTATATAGAACTTTCAATTTTTGATTTAAGTTTATTTTGTATAAGCTTCACAAGATGATTATATCCTTCAAAGATAACAAATGCAGCACTGAACAGTATGACAGCGTGAAACAGGGCTGTGCTCTTGCTCCAACTCTCTTTGGCAAATTCTTCTCCCCAGTGCTCTCATACACCTTCAGCTCAACTGAAGATGATGTCTCCTTTCATTCAAGGAGTGACAAGGGGCTGTTCGACCTGGTATGGTCTCTGCACCAAGACAAAAGTGCAGTGGATCCTTATCCAAGAGATGTTGTTTCCAGATAATGCAGCCTTGACAGCACACTCTGTGGAAGCTCTATAGAGACTCCTCAACTATTTTGTTGAAGCCTGCAAGGAGTTCGGCCTTTTTCCACCAGCCTGATGAAGACCAACTTCCTGAGTCAGGATGTTGCCAGCACTCCAAGCATCAGCAGTGATGACTACATGCTTGAGGTCTACCTGGGTTCCACCATAACCAGCAACCTCCTCATTGATGCTGAGCTGAACACATATATTTATTGGCAAGGCAGCTACAGCAACTGCTTGCCTCTCTGAAAGGGTATGGGGAAATGTTCAGCACCAAGATGGAGATCTACCAGGCTTGTGTATTGAGTACACTCCTTTACAGAAGTGAGTCATGGGCAACTTACAACTGCCACATACACTGCATCAGGAAGATTTTGGGCATCACGTGGCAAGAACTATGGAATGTAAACATGAAATTTACGGCTTGTACTGCCTTAAAGGAGAATTTGTGGGAAATGATCTACAGATGGCATCTAATGCCGGTAAAGCTAGCAAGGATGTATAGAACAAAAAATAAGAAATGTTGGAAGTGTGGAGAGGTGGAGGGTGACCTCTACCATATGTGGTGGACCTGTAGTAAAGTGAAGGGCTTTTGGGAATTAATCTATAACGAACTTTAAAAAATCTTTAAATACACTTTCCCAAATAGACCTGAAGCTTTTCTACTGGGATTGATTGGAAAGGAAATTGAAAAAAAAGATAAAAACCTCTTTCTATATGCCACGACAGCAGCCAGAAATATGTTAGCTCAGAATTGGAAAACAGACATAATACCGAATATAATGGGCTGGCAGGTTAAAATGATGGACTATGCAGAACTGGCCAGACTATCAGGAAAATTAAGAGATCAGGACAAGCAGAAGTTTCAAGAAAATTGGAGTAAATATTTGATGTATATAAGAAACAATTGTAAATATTTGAAGACACTGGTAGGGTTGGAATAACTCTTACAGCGTGTAGCTGATAATATGATATATAAAGTACGTGACATTAGAACTTTATTTGATGCTTACCAAAGAAATGGAGGGAAGTCAGAGGCATGATAGAGCCTAAGTTAAATATGTAACCTATATATGTGTAATTTATGAATGTATGTATGTTTACTGAAAATCAATAAAAATTTAATTTGCAAAAAAAAAAAGGGGGGGGGAGATTTTGGGCATCACGTTGCAGGACAGAGTCTCAAACAAAAATGTGCTCTCTGAAGCCCATATTCTTAGCATGCTCACATTCTTGTCTCAGGGACAGCTACGCTGGCTTGGTCATGTCCACAGAATAAAAGATGGTAGGATCAGGTTCCCCAAGGATGTGCTCTACAAGGAACAAGCTTCAGGCACAGACTAACTCTGTGTTACAAAGATGTCTGCAAATGTGACATGAAGGCTGGCAATATCAGCCTTGCTGTGTGGGAAATCCTTTGCAGATGACTGCAGAGCCTTGAGATAGTCAAGTCGTGCATCTGTAGCAGTGACCAGAGAAGGAATGACTGTTGGGAGGAGTGCAGAGAGAAGAAACACCCTGGTGCATCTGCAGCAGCACAACTGGATGTCTTCATCTGCCCCAGTTGCAGTAAAACATGCCTCTCCCATATCAGTCTCTACAGCTACATCAGGCGCTGTAACTCTCCAGTAGTTTGACTCCACCCCTAAAGGCGCACTCTTCCATTGTCTTCCGAGACAGATGGATGCCAACCACAAGCCGTAAAGTAATGTCCACAATTGCAGATAACAATTATGATTTAAAATTCTATGTAAAACAAATTTACTTTCAGTATAATATTGGCATCATGTTAAAAATTATCACTAAGGTCCGCTATGAAGCCAATTATGTATGTCAAGAAAACTGATTACCTTTTGTTTGCAATCAATTGCTTCTCATTCTTTTGACTAAGATCAAGTGTAGTGTGTTGTGTTTAATGTAAATGCAACTTAATGGTGGTGGTAGACTGACATAGTGAAGTTGTGGTTTTTTGTACTTTGTGTATTCTCTGCTTAGTGCCAGAAGATACTTCTTAAGGAAGCAAATGACCTGAAAGTGAGGAGCTTTTTCATAGTTGTCAGACCAATTCTAGAAGCTTGCTAAAATGGAATGTTTATATGCTCCATCAACTTCTTCCCTGTAGACAGTTGGAAAACTGACATGTCTATACAGAAAATAAATATTCAGCCAGCAGTACCTTCTTAATCTGTAGAATTTTATAAGTGTTTTGTTTTGCAGGGTGGAGGGGGGATTGACCTTGTCTTTTCTGTATTGTCTTTTTGTGTCTACAAAACCTACTCAGTTAAAAATATTTATGTCTAAATGTGATATACAGCCTGTTCCTCTGTGACTCACTGTCTTTGTTTGAAGGCATTATGATATGTGATGATCTATTAAATATATATGAAGTGCTTCTACTAGTGCAAGGATTTCTGCTCGCACAATGGAACTTCCCCTCTTTCTCCCTATGTACCTCCTGTCCCCGCACGCTCTCAAAATCTGCTCTGGAGGGTTGAGGGAAACCCTAGAACAAATTGGGGTTGCAGGAAGAGGAGAAGGAGGGGAAGTTCTATTGCACAACCTTGTGTCAGAACTACTTCATTGGGTATGGCCCATGGTATCAAAATAACCTGTGTTGAGACTTATGCTGATTATTTATACATGTATTCATGATACACTTCACTGAAATAATTGATTCAAATCAGGATTTGAATCACTAGGAATGAAAAAATCAGTTTGAATAAGTTATTTGAAGAATCAAATCTCTCTTTTTGTAATCTGTGTTATTTCCTGACAAGCTTGCATAGTAATTTTTTGCCATAAATAATTAAACATATTGCAGCACAAGCCTGGATTTACCATCAAGCAACGAACTTGGTTTAAGACTGATTTTTGTTTGTTAGGGAGAAATAAATCACAACCCTGGGTTTGGTAATCCTGGGTTCATTAATCTATTTGCTTCTCAAAGAGGGATGAGCAAAGCAGAAGTGATCAGGATACATGCACCAGAACACAACTCACAGTTTGGTTTCTTAAGCTAAGGTTTTTGTCTTACTGTTACATGCAAACATGACCATGTGGAATCCAAATCATTCCACACTTGTTGCACCCAAAAAGCTATGAGCATGAACTATGGATTGGAAAATACCTCAAAACTAGGATTGCAAATCAGGATCAAACAATGATTTCTCCTACTAGTTTGGAGGAGTTATACAAACCACAGTTTTCTGGTTTGTCACCCAGTGGTAAACCACATTTTACACAAAAGTGGAAATAATGGATTAAAACATAGCATGCAGGTGGAAGAGGAAGTGCTGAAGTTTTCTCTCAGCCTGCCAACCCTGAGCACAGAGCCTGTTGATGCTAAGCCATGTTTCAATGTTAAATGTGAAGCAATCCTCCAAATTACCTTAGCGTGGGGTGCTTCCAGTGTGTTGCTAATTTGTGGATGGGATTCAAGTGCATATCAGTAAGTTCAAGTTGTACATTTAAAGTGGATATGGTGCTCTTGCGCAATGAAGCCACTTCAGAGAGGGGGAAAATACAAGTCTTTTTTGTCACAAGTGATGGGAAAATGCACTGTAAAATGTGGAATAACAATTGTTTGACACGATGTTGCATAACATTCCCATAAACAAATAAGAACGAATGATCAATAAAGGGTGGACATCATGTAATCTCTCACAAACTTTGTGGAAACCAGTTGAGATGAACGCACACCTCATCTGGAAGCAACCATGGAAGTTTCATGGACTACTTATGTAACATGAAAATAGTTGTTTCTTGGTAAGTGTGTGGCAACTCTGTAGTCATGTATGTGTGACAAACCTGTGAATCGATTACTCCAATCCCAGGGATGTAGCTCCCTTGTTTCACAGCTTACAGAATTTCTCTATCTACCTTAGTCTATCCAAGGCTAGCCTGCTATTGGTGTTGGTTAATACTTATTGATAGAAGTGCAAGGCTGCTATGCTGAAAACTAGGGAGTAATTCCTGCTGAAAACAATGGAATATACTTCTGAGTAAACACGTATAGCATTTTGCGGTATGTTACTCCCCGAGGTATCTTGAATGTATATTTGCTTTGTTTGTTATTTTAACTTGTATGCTACTTTTCCTCCTAAACGTGGCACAACAGCAAAAATACATATCACTACATGTTTACAATAAATACTAATACCCTGCAACAGATGATTTTTAACAAGCCCCACTCTCGCTCTCGTATTCTTGTGCAGTTCTTAAAGCAACAGAATGGGGAACTCGGTGTTCTGCTGAGCATGTAGAGAATAACTGGGAAAATTACATAGCTTTCAAAAGTTAAGGGTGCAGTCATCCATACTTGTCTTGAGTGAGTCCAATTTAATATTGTGGGATTTGTTTCGGGGGGGGGGGGGAGGATCAAACTACAAGCAGAAGTCTTGCTTTGTTTTTAAGGCCTTTACTTCTTTCAGAACACTTTTTGTAATATATAGCCACATTTCAAATTAAGAGAAAGCTAATTATATGGAGGACCCAATTTTTAGGAGTGTGGAGTGACTTCTAACTCTCAAAGAAATTAATAGGAGATGCATGTAGTTAGTTATGAAAATCAGAACACATAGCCATATGCACTATATCCATATGCATTATTAGTAGGATGTTATGCTTTGGAGGCATTTATTTAATATTCAAAAACAGCTGTTTATTTTTAAACATAGTTTGGGTGTGCACAGTAGTCTGTTCCCGTTTCATGTTAACTAACAGCTGTTGATGTTTTTATTTCACAAGCTTTTTGTCCTGTTAATAGATAAATTGAAGAAAACCCAGCCAGATGGGTGGGGCATAAACAAACAAACAAACAAACAAACAAACAAACAAAGTTTATGTTTTCACTTGCCATTTAGTGCCAGAACTACTGGATGTGTTCCCACTCTTGTATGGTTTGCATCTGATCATTGGTGGCTAATTTGATGTTTGAACTATTGCTGAAAGACCCACTTATATTTTAGTGCTGTTTCTTCTATGCCGGTTCTGAAATAGAGTATAACTTCTTCACTCACCCATTGATTTTAGTGGGTCTGCTCTGAGTATGACCTAGTTGGATGCCACCCCATATCTTCGAATTCAGCATAGGCATGGACTGGATTTTAAAACATAATTAATCAAAAGTTGCCAGTTCCTGTTGATGTTAAACAAATGCTACATACATGCTGATATGTCATTAATGGTGGTTGGGTTTGTTTGTTTTTTTTAAAACGAAAAGTTTGTTGGGAAGTATCAGTCGGAATATTGATAATGAAAAACAAATTCATATACAGTATCTATGGTTCATGTCAGATCCACTGTGAAGGGATATCATCTTCTCTGTGGTGGTATTTCATCTGTGGAATGCCTTCCCTTCAGAGGTACAGTTGCTTCCATTTCCATCTCTCTATTCATTCACAGCAAACTATGGCAAGTTCTTAAAAAAATGGGAGGGCCCGATCACCTCATCTGTCTCCTGAGAAATCTCTATGTGGGATAAGAAGCTACAGTTAGAACTGGATATGGAACAACTGATTGGTTCAAAATTGAGAAAGGAGTAAGACAAGGCTATATATTGTCTCCTTGCTTATTTAATTATATGCAGAATTCTTCATGTGAAAGGCTGGACTGGATGAAACCAAACCGGAATTAAGATTGCTGGAAGAAACATCAAGAACCTCAGATATACAGATGACACAACTTTGATGGCAGAAAGTGAGGAGGAATTAAAGAACCTCTTAATGAGGGTGAAAGAGGAGAGCGCAAAATATGGTTTGAAGCTCAACATCAAAAAAACTAAGATCATGGCCACTGGTCCCATCTCCTCCTGGCAAATAGAAGGGGAAGAAATGGAGGCAGTGGGAGATTTTACTTTCTTGGGCTCCGTGATCACTGCAGATGGTGACAGCAGTCACGAAAATAAAAGACGCCTGCTTCTTGGGAGAATAGCAATTACAAACCTAGACAGCATCTTATAAAGCAGAGACATCACCTTGCCAACAAAGGTCCATATAGTTAAAGCTATGGTTTTCCCAGTAGTGATGTATGGACGTGAGAGCTGGACCATAAAGAAGGCTGATTGCCAAAGAATTGATGCTTTTGAATTATGGTGCTGAAGTAGACTCGTGGACTGCAAGAAGATCAAATCTATCCATTCTGAAGGAAATCAGCCCTGAGTGCTCACTGGAAGGATAGATCCTGAAGCTGAGGCTCCAATACTTTGGCCACCTCATGAGAAGAGAAAACTCCTTAGAAAAGACCCTGATGTTGAGAAAGATTAAGGGCACAAGGAGAAGGGGATGACAGAGGATGAGATGGTTAGGCAGTGTTCTCAAAGCTACTAACATGAGTTTGACCAAACTGTGGGAGGCAGTGGAAGACAGGAGTGCCTGGCGTGCTCTAGTCCATGGGGTCACAAAGAGTTGGACATGACTAAACAACAACAAATTCATTCATTCAAAACTGATGTATGGTTACTGGATTATAGCTTCAGGCTGGAAATATAAAGTCTCTTTTGCTGTTGAAAAGATTGTTTTTTAAACATGTAATTTAGTCGTCTATACCTTGTTTCAAAAGTTCTATTGCTTTTTTACCTGTGTTTTAAAGACAATGGTTTTATGGGTATTTGGGGGGTTTTAGTTGTTTTGTGGACTTCAGCTGTGCTTTAGCTACAATTCTATCATGTACACTCCTGTATTAAATTTCATGGTTTATGTTTAATTTTTATGAATATGGTACATGAAACATCCTGAGGTCGCTAAAATTTAACACTGGCTTGATTTAAAAACAAATGCATAATCTTACCACATTTCAGATGAAAAGTGGCTGCCTTGAGGTTCGGTTTCAGCTATAGTTGTGTGCCATTGTTGTGACTGAGGGGCCTTTCAGTGGATAGCAGAAGGCTCTGATGAGCTTGAGGCAGCTGTCCCGACTCTGACTCTCCTCCTCAGACTCAGAATTCAAACTGTCAACATGACTGGAGGTATTAAAGGCTGTATTAACGAAGTCAGCACAGTATTCCAATGGGTCTACAGGTTACAAGCTAGTAAAGCACAGCAGAGCATGACAGTGCATGAGTGGACTTAGCTAAGAGGTTGATGCAACATTTGACATTCCCCCGTGCTCCCCTTTTGAAGAGCAGGACAGGCACAGCTATTTGTGCAGTGGATGTCCCAAGCCTCAAGTCTGGATAAGAAGAAGAAGAAGAGTTTGGATTTGATATCCCACTTTATCACTACCCTAGGGAGTCTCAAAGTGGCTAACATTCTCCTTTCCCTTCCTCCCCCACAACAAACACTCTGTGAGTTGAGTGGGGCTGAGAGACTTCAAAGAAGTGTGACTGGCCCAAGGTCACCCAGCAGCTGCATGTGGAGGAGCGGAGACGCGAACCCGGTTCCCCAGATTACGAGTCTATCGCTCTTAACCACCACACCACACTGGGTAGTCCTCCATCAAGGCTGGGCATGTATGGTTTGTTTGCAGTGTCACCTCCATGTCCTTGGAGATGGAAGTGACACTGACGGAGCTAACTTGCTATCAGACTTATCACCAGGTGCCTCCCCAGAAGGTGTTCCCCTGACAGGGAAAGGTGCCAGTTGGTTCAGTGGCCTGTGATATTGCGCTTGGGGTGTCCTGTGTTGCAGGGGTGCAGGCTGTTGTCTTGCTACCTTGCTAGGCCTCTTCCTTGGCTCTGGATTTCCACCTTCCAAGCTGTTGGGACCCTCTCCTGGGCCAGAGTCCTTCTAGGGTCCCATATTTCCACCCCCCAACTTGCTAGGACCTATCCTGAGATCAGACTTCTCTGAGCATCTCCCACTCCTTCTTGTCATCCCAACTGCCCTCTTTAAGGCATCGCCATGGAACTCATGACAGCAACTTTCTCAAGCAGACTATTGCCACCATCCTGTGATTCAGAGGGTGGGTCCTCTGCAGTACTCCTGCCTCCCCAGCCTCACAGAACTCAAAAGCTACAAAATAAGGCAAGGGCTGTTTGGCTGACCAGCCAGCTGCTCCTGAAGCAGAGCTTACAGCACTTCCGGTCTGGTTAGGCTACATAACACTTACTCCCTGCAGTTGTAGCATCTCCTGTGGCTGGTTTAGCATGGCCATTTAGAGCTGTCCAAGGTCCTGTCTTTTTGACCGTCTTCTCTTGTGAGTCTTCAAGCTCACATGTTGCTGGGCACATGCATTTTCTAATGCATTTATGCCAGCTCAAAATGTATCTTAGTTTTGCAGTTTTGATTCTGTCAAAACTTCAGGGATATTGCAGAGGACCTATCTTTTCTGATTTGTTCGGGGGGGGGGGGGATGCTGCATATCCCTAAAATTATGTTTCAAAGTTCCTGTTTTGATCAGTCATTTAGCTAAATGCAAATTGTTCAGCACATGAACAATTGGAGGGAACGTAACAATTTTTACAGCATGTGTCACAATACCCATGGTAACACTGCCAACAAACAACAGTTATGGTGCAGCATGGCAACAACAGCTTTATGGCTGCAGCCTGTAGACAAAGTATATTGGGGCTGAAAGAGTACAGGAAAGTGTGGGTACATAGAGGCAAATTTGTTATACTGATGAAACTTTGGAAATTGAATTGTGGAAAAAAAACATCATAGCTATTACTTCATGCACAAATGAAATAAAAACACAACTGAGAATGTGCCCAACTGTCCCTCTGGCTCGGCAATTGAGGGGGAATGTTGGTATTAGTGGATGAACTGTTTCTTTCCAGCAACTTGTTCACCATTGGTGAGCTTCCTCATTACAGAACGTTTGACAAGCAGGAAGTCTGTATGAGGGCTATTAAGAGAACATCTCATCCTCTGAATTTTAGAGATAGTATACATGGCTATTATTTTCACTGTTCTTGCACCCTTCTTCTCTGGGTCCTCTGTTTTTTATTCTAACATTGAATGAGAAGAAGGGGGGCATCTGCTTTATGTATTCTTTCAAGACAGATGCTTGCAATAGGTTTGCTTTAGATTGGGCAGTGTGCAGCGTTTGATTGCTTACTTTGTACCCCTGCTGAGAATCGCAACATTTTTTTAACTGAGCACATACAATTTTGCAGTCAACCTGGCTAATTAGAAGTGTGTGCTATGTAATTCAGATTATCCAAGTAGAGATTGCACATAATGCAGCGTGTATTACTGCACTGAAGCTTTTGCAGACTTTACCTATTATTTCAAATTGATTGGCTAAATCCATAAAATAGTTTGAGAGATTCCATTCCTTCAAAGTAGTAAATAACACTAAACTGGTTTGGTAAGCAAATAACATTCCTCCAATTCAGAAAAATAACATAGCACACATCTCTTGGGCCTGTGCCTTGGCTTCCTGTTTGGTCTCTTGGTGCTAATGTCTTCAATATGTCACTGGCAGCCATGACTGATGGGACATTTGTGACTTGCCATGTCCAAGTGAAACTCTAGGGAATGGAAAAGAACAATTTTTCTTATTTTTATCTTATTTTATAAGCAATAAAATGTGTTTTCACAGTGGGCAGCCCTTTTTATTTCATTTTTAGCCTAGTTGTTGTGAATATGAATAATGAATTTCAATTTAATTTCCTGATTTAAAGTGATGGACTTCATTACACTGAGGCTGCATCACATTAAATTTGAATTCCTTCCTAAATAATGTTACAGACCTCGTAAGTTCACCCCATGTAAGCAGCTCCCGTTTAAGACTGACCTTGCATTCGTTGTTGGAATGCTGTTGAAAGTGGCATTCAAGTAGTGAATGCTATACATACCACATTTAAAATTAGAAGTTCTCGCCTTATGGATAGGAGCCCACACATTGTGAGCATCCCCACTGCCATCTGCAGCTTCCAGGGTTGGGAAATGGTTGCTGGTGGTATCCGCACGCATGCAAAATAATATCTGCCTTCCACAGGGCAATCTTTTAACATTGCAATGGGATGGGACTATGTGTGTGTTCATAGACCCTTTGTGAATCAAAGTCTGCAGCTGACACCTGCAATCTGCCTTTCCTATCCTCCCTCTGTCAGTGACATAATGCTAATTCAGTTTTAAATGTTTGAAAGCATCTTCCTCTTTCTGTGAGACCAGATGTGGCATGCACCAAAGCACCCAGTACTTAGCTAAAACTCCCAACTTTGATCTGCATCAGGGACAGTGGGAAATCTTCCCTGGCCAAAGTCCACCCCATCTAGATGTGATTGCTTCTGCGGGAAATTTCAAAGTCAGCTTCCACATTGACCAGAGAGTTTCCAGTATGAGGTAGGTTTTTGTGTGTGCCAGACACAGCCAGCTTGTCTTCAATTTGAAAATGCCTTGAGCAACAAATGAACTTTGGGAATCAAATAAGTTTAAAGGACCCTGTCTAGATTAATACATTGTCTGACAATGAAGTAAAGAGCTTAAGATACAGTGGATGAGATTCAGAGATGCTTTTCTGCAAATAGACCTTTTCCACAAGCAGAAGAGCATTTCCTGACCTCACACATGTGAAGAATAAACTAAGGGAGGAAATCAATGTAGCACTATGGCAATTGTCCCATTGGTGCAAGCATTTTTGCTTGCCAGATGGAACGATTCCCTGCTCTTCCACCCTTGTGCTATTCTGGGGGTTCTCTTGACCTCCCAAGAGCCAATGTTGGGGGCATGCAAGACTTGCTAGTTGAATCTGGCCCTGAAAGTCCGTAGTGTGTGAGGTCTTCCACTGGTTCTTGTGCAACAGTTTACAGAACAATAGCATTGCCAGTATTTCTTCTTCTGGAATACATCTGGATCCAACTCTCTCTCTCTCTCTCTCTCTCTCTCTCTCTGTTTGTGTGTGTTTGTGATGCCAATTTTAGAAGTTCATTTCTTCCCTTATTTTCAGTGTTGTCAAACCCTTGATTTCTCTAAATAAATTCAACATTACTATTTAGTTGTAACCATGTGGCATGGATATTTCATGCTCAGTTCACCTATGCTGGTGTTCTAGCTATATACTGCTTGGAGTTTTGGCTCTTATATAGGTATATCCAGGCACATTTAGTGCCACGTTTCTTGTGGAAGCCCAGAAAAGAACTGGGGGGTTAAGCAGGATGTTAAGGAATCACTCTGCACCCCCAGTTTGCCACAGTGGCATGCTGCCTCAACACTCACTTTCTACGTCTTTACGGGAGCAGATATTGAGAGAGAAGGGAATGTACATGCAAATCTGCACAGTAATTTGTGGCATGAGCATTGGAAATATTTCCATGTTGACTGAAAACAGTGTTGCAGTTCACCCAGGCTTTTATGGGGATTGATTTGTATGATCTGAAAGCTTATGGTTTTTTTGGACTGCTAAAGGATTAAAGCCTACCATTGTCCAGATCTGACTCAGCACCAGTTCACTTGCTGTTTACTAAATAGAACCCACCCAACCCCCCAGACAAATTTTTAACAATGGCCACATCTAGTTTGGACTGGTGCATATTCAGTGAATATGGAATCTTCCCTTATTTGTAATAGAGTGGATTTGCAGAATCCATTTGGGTTACTTGAATTAATTGTTTGCTATGGATATGAGGTAGCTAAATTTTTCATTTCCTCAGAAGGAGTATCTTCTAAGGTTATTGTAAGATGCATCCTAATTATGGTTTGCTAATAGTGAAAGAGAATATGAAGCAAGGATCCCTGGATGGCACTTTGAGGTCCCAACAATCAGCTGATTATCATGGCATCAAAGCACTCTTTGCAAGAAGCTTCTAAAAAGCCCTTCATGGTGCTCTGAAGCTCAGATGAGCAAGACTTTAAAGCTCTGCACAAGGCTCTTTGGAAGCCCTTTGTAAAGAGCCCTGCACTGTGCTTTGATGCACCGGGTGCACCAACCTGGCCACCTTTTTACCTGCCTACACCTGATGTCATGTATGAGGTCGAGTGATTGGTAGGTGGATGTAGCTTAGGCAAAATGGCCTGATGTGCAAAATGTGGAGGCCTTGTGGGCCTAGTTAGACCATGGGTCAGAGGTTCCCTACCCCTGATGTATGGGAAGGACAGTCTATTAACTCTTGAAGCTGACTTTAACTGGTTGCAGCTGCTGTTGTGCTAATAACTCAAGCAGTAGTTTTCCTATAAAGGTACGTCGCATTCTGGCTTTGGCTTTTAAGCAGACAAAGCTATTTCGGTTTAGTAAATGTTGATAATATATACTACGGGCTGCAGAAGTAATGGATACTGTTTATTTTTTCATAAGAGGTTGAGACATACAGTGGTACCTCTGGTTATGAACTTAATTTGTTCCGGAGGTCCATTCTTAAGCTGAAACTGTTCTTATCCTGAGGTGTGCTTTCACTAATGGCACCTCCCATTGCGTGCGTGCCTGCTGCTCACATCCTGGGGCAAAGTTCACAACCAGGAGCAACTACTTCCAGGTTAGCGGAGCTCATAACCCAAAGCGTGCGTAACCAGAAGCGTTTGTTACTGTAGGACTGGGAAAGAGCACCTTCAAATCCTACAATGGTCTGACTGAGTAGAAGGCAGCTTCCTATGTTCCTTATTCTGGTGAGAAGACAATTCTACCCATATTCTGTTTTATTTTATTTCTGTTTCACATTCTATTAAATAACTGGAGCGTTATATAAAATGTAGACTTCTAACGTGGGGGGACGGACGACTCTTGCACAATGTATGGCGTTTTTCATTTACTTAAATGGAAAGAGCAGATCTGTGCTTCATAAAAGAATGTGCAGATAGCTCTGCTCTCTCTCAACTGAAATGAATGGTGGGTGTCTAGTCAGTGCTGTGTGTGTTGGGGCTCTCAAGGCCATAGAAAAATGAATGGACAGGCTAAATATATGTGAGTTCTGTTGACTTTTTCTAAGATGCATTGCTTCTGTTTTTCTGCTATATCACTGGCAGCATGTTATAACCACAATGGCTTCTATATTGGTGTTATTCTCAAATGCACAATAGCAGTTATAACCACTCCTTTTAAATTGCTGTAATGCTTGACCATGTAAACTTCCTTGTTGGGAGAAGAACTAAACTTGTTACAGTTCAAATACAGAACTGTTGTTACCATAGCTGAAAGCATCAACTCCTCTGACAAAATGCCTTTGAATTCTAGGTTTCTTTATTTTTCCACAAATGTACAGGATCTCCAAGAACTGCAATTTTAGTAACACAGAAATCCTAATTAGGCAGTGGGGGTGGGAGAAGAGATAAGTGGCAAGTCAATCCATCACTTCCAAAGTGCTGCTGGTTCACTTTGGGAGGGAGGTGTATTTTATTTTTATTTTTTTAAAAAACCCCACATTTCATTGCTTTCAGTGGGAGGGGGAATTCCTATAAGTATAGGAGCTCAGAACTAGCAAGCAATGGACTTTGGATCCAGCAGATCCAAGGCTGTCCTTCTCAGTCAGCCTTAAGTAGGAGTTGGTTTGCTGTGTCGTAAATATTCTTTATTCTTCTATAAATGCCAGTGTGACATTATTTCCCCCGATGGTTTTTGCCCTCAGATCTGCTGTTTAGACCAAGATGAACTGGTATAATATTTTGACTGGATTTCTACAGCTGAGTAAGTTGTCGGCTACTCTTTCTAAACAATAGCATAAGAAAATAATCTTAGAAGATGCTAGTCGTCTATTTGGTGCACTTCTTTCTTGGCCAGTGTCCCTGAATTTCTCTGTATCTTTGAGGGATTTGATGCTAGAATTAGTAACAGATTGGCAGACGAATATTATAGCTCAAATCATATCAGAGGAAACATTTTTGTGATGAAATTGTTCTAGATAATGTAATAGTATAGCAAGCCGAGCATACAGTTGCAATCAAAATTATTCAACCCCCCCCCCACCCGGTTGCAAATTGGGTTTGTTACCAAAATTTAAAGGCTTTCAGCTGTTTGCAATGAGCAAATCAAACAAAAGCAATTGAAATAGCTCAACGCAACAGATGCTTCAAGTGGTTTCCCCAATTAGCAACTTAACACTGTAAATTTTGATAATAACCCTATTTGCAATGGGTTGTTTTATAATTTGACCACATACACAGGTGCATGTTCAAAAGATAGGGAACACTATATATTATCTCAACATTAGCAACATGATTCTGTTCTGTTGATTTCTTACAAAATATACATAATATATGGTCAGAATTGCCATCTTAAAGTTAATAGCCACTAGGCTTTTATAGATCGCCTTCACGTGTCGAACCAATGTGTGGGGCTGTGCTGGCTAACACCACCAACAATGTTGCATGTGCTCACTAGCAGTTGTTGCTGTCATCCATACATGCTTCTGCAGCAGGGAGCCTTTGTGTGTTCAGCTGTGTGGATGAAGGTTTCCACGTGATCTGGAATCCTGTGAAACATGTGGTAATGATTTGGTTGTTTAATTAAAAGCATTTCTAAACTGTTCAATATTTAAAGATATCTGCGTGGTGGACAGAATTACAACATGAAAACAACAAGACAGTATCATAAAAACAGTGATACAACATAGAGAGCAGGAATTCAGTGACTGCGGGGTCCAGTCTTATGGGGCAAGGCCTAGGCATAAAAGATATGAAGAAGATGAATGATGCTTTGTTTACTGTAAGAGGAAAGGACATTTAACTGTGCAGGGGGTTCCAGGTCACATGGAAGGCCCCCTCCCTGCACATATTTGTGCTGTCCCCTTGAGCTCCAGGGGGAAGGGCTGCACATTGCCTGTAATGTTGTGGGCGGGGCTAATAGTTGTCACTCCTCATACACTGATCTACTGCCCGAGGCCTTTATATGTACAGAGACATACTTTTGCAAAGTAAGTACAAGTGGTTTTAGGCAGTGGGGGTGGCCAGTATCAAGACAAAAAACACCAGTTGCAAAATTGAAAAACTTGACAATATAAAACGATGTAAATAATGATGATGATTATTAATAATAATAATAATAATAATAATTTGTACTCCTGAATTTTGTAACTAATTTTTACAGGGAAATATAAATATGCTGTTCTGTAATACATACGTTTATAATATATACCCTTCCTTGCTGAAAGATGAAGGCAATTTTGGAGTGCTTCTCAGGGGATGGAACTGTGGCTGAACTGCTTCACATCAGTATACATAAGTCATTTTATATCTATCTGAATCTAGTTCTTGATGTTTTCTTCATGAGTAATGACAAAATAAAAGAATGGGGTTGGCGGGGAACCTAGAATTAAGCTGATGGCCAAAAAATTATTTAAGTATCAGTGAATGTATTTCTGTGATTTTATGCATGTCTTTGGAAGTGTGCGTTCAGTAATTTTGCCCAGAATTTGTTTTATCTTGTGCTAATAAATGTTCTAGCTCTCAGTTATATGAGGTATTCAGACTAATCCTTTTCCCCCCCTGTACCCTCAGATTTTCTTCGAATGGTAATTTCCTATTGCATGGTATATCAGATTCCTCCACAGAGCTTTCAGCTACCATGTGTGCCATCAGAGAAGACTTCTAACATTTCTTTGCCCGCTGGAATTGCAGAGAATGGTCCTAGCATAAATGAGGAACATGGTACAATTAAAGCCAATGCCACATCACTGGTGACTGAAGATCATTTCCTATGTTGCCAGTGGAGTGATACACATATTAACTGTTTTGTATATACTTCAGAAATGGAAATCAAGGCATTTACGTACTCAGAAAGTGGTGCTTTTACATCTCAACAAATAGGTATGCTTGGGGAAGGTACAATCATCATTATTATTGTAGAAAATCATTGTTATTATTGTTGTTGTTTTGTATACAGCCCTTCTTCCATATATCTTCCATGGCGGTTCAAAACATAAAAATACAAGATAAAAACCACAAAATACGTAATAAAAGCAAACAAACTAATAACCTCCACCCCTTCCCACAAACACACTTAAAAGGGTATAGGACAGGGGTAGGCAACCTAAGGCCCGTGGGCCGGATGCGGTCCAATCACCTTCTCAGTCCAGCCCGCGGACAGTCCGGGAATCAGCGTGTTTTTACATGAGTAGAATGTGTCTTTTTATTTAAAATGCATCTCTGGGTTATTTGTGGGGCATAGGAATTTGTTCACCCCCCCAGATATAGTCCGGCCCACCACATGGTCTGAGGGACAGTAGACCGGTCCATGGCTGAAAAAGGTTGCTGACCCCTGGTATAGGGTGTTAATCAGCCAAAGGCCTGGTTGAAGAGTAACGTTTTTGCCTGGCACCTGAAGGTATGTTGGTGTGTAATTGAAGGTACCAACCAACCCAACCCCCCAACCCCCGAGAGAACATTCCACAAACAGGGAGCCACTGCAGAAAATGTAAGAGGATGTTTTGAATTTCTTGGTATTGGTACCAGTAAAAGAATTAAGATCACCCCATAATTTAAGAACACTTGATTATTTTATTGGGATTGGAAACTTTCTTAGAAATGTGTTCTCTCCAGTACATGGTATTTCAGTGGTTTTGGCTTGCAATGAAGTTCTGAAAAATATGTAAATTTTCCATTTAGATTCAATATGGAATCTACAGTTTTGGTCTAAAGAAAGCACAGAGGAGTTATTTTGTCTTGTGGAATTATCTACTAAGTCACCATACCTGGATGAAGACCTTTCAGTGAATCTGTTGTACACATTGTAAGTATAATTATGTCAAATGTGAAATTTATGTAGTTTACAATTTTCAGGATTATTATTTTTTTAATTCTGCTTTACTTCTTCTAACACTAGTGGTGGTAATGGGTTTGGGAGAAGAGTATAGGAAATTATCAGCTGCCCCCATATATCAAACTTTAAAAGCAAATTGTTAACATTGGGATTTCCTCCTGTCCTGCTCTATCTTTGTCCTTTTATGAAACTGCTACTAACATGAGTTTGACCAAACTGTGGGAGGCAGTGGAAGACAGGAGTGCCTGGCATGCTCTGGTCCATGGGGTCACGAAGAGTCAGACACGACTAAACGACTAAGCAACAACAAAGCATTTTATTTAGATCAGAGGTCTCTTCTGTCAATATACTTATTGTGCAATATTTCATGGTTTGGCCATAAAGGATGAACTTAGTCTGCCTCATCATGTTGACATCAGATACTTTATATTTCTTCAGTTACTATTGGCATGTTTTCCAGCAGTACCCTTCACGCAGCCCCTTTGGAATTTTTTATTGCTGTTCCATGTGTTCTTTTGAATAGTTAGATGTTTTGCTTACATGACCTGGTGTCCTTTATGTTAAATGCAAAATTTATTCATAGAAGTGTATGTTTGGTTAACTTTGATGATAGCAATGATCTAAGCATGTTGATTTTCATATGAATGGTACACATTTCTGTTAGGACTTGTAGAAGGACTATGTTCATCTCAGCTGCAAACACAACATCAGACACTCATGATACTTATAGTAAATCTTTGTCTCCTATAATGTAAACCTACTGTGCAAAAACATATAACAGAGGATCCAGCATATTTCCAGTCTTTCCCAATCTCCTATCGTAAGTATACTACAATTGTTGATATGGGCTGCCCATATTTTATGAAAGCACTGGCTTCTCTGTAAATATGTAATAGCTATTACAGCCTTGGACATTCACCTCTGTGGGGAACAGTGAGCTGAGTATATTCTACTGAAAACTGCAAGCCTAGACCTATTGATCTCACTGGAACTTATTTCTGAGTTAGAATAGAATTGGCTGAAAATGTGTCAGCATGGAATTAGGCTGCAAATGTATCAGCAAGTAGATTCAAACATCATATCCCACATCATATTTATAGAATACAACATGCTCTCTCAAACATTGCTATGTTAACTGCAGACAAAAATAATAATAATGTGCCCCCTTTTTAAACAGAGTGACTCTAACTTTCTTGTGCCACAACAAGGGTTCTAAAATCAGTCTGTCAAACCAAGGGAAACCAAGGATTATTTCTTGGAATTTGGTGGTGGAATTAGGCTGCATGCAGAGTGAAGAGTTCTTGCTCCAGAGTCTTTTGGGTATCTGAATGTTGACTGCAATGAGTCAAGCAGTGTAAGCATTTATTGGGATATAAATCTACTGAGAAAAATAGCTGCATTAATTTTGCTCAAACTTTTGAATAGCTGTCCATGATTTATGATATCTCTTAACAGACATATATAGCCAGGATGCCGTCACAAGTACCCTCATAACCATCAAATATGCAGATGCAGCCCAGGCAGTTTCTAACTCTGGCCAAGAACATCTCCTTCGCTGTTCAGTAGGATGAGCTGGAATTGACCTGCATATTTCCTCCAGTGGAACAGATTTCCTAAACAACCAATTCAGATAATGAACTTTTCTTAAGAAATTTGATACCTAACTCTCACTTCTACCTTTTGGCAATATGAACATATGTCTTCTTATGTTGATCTCTATGGTAGCTGAAAATAAATTACTGAAAGGCTGTTTAAACTCCCAATATACCCAGTTATTTCAAATTCTTCCTTTTAAAAAAAATACTCAAAACATATTTTCCACAGATGATTTTAGAGTACAATATTTTTTTGCAAAACTCTAATATGAATAATAGGCAACAATGAAACCTTGCCAAATGCTTTTTTAAAAACAACAACAACATTTTTCTTGAGTGCTTCAAAGAATTTTCCATCACATTACAATGCAACTGTAACATATAAAAAAGAGAGAATACAGAACAGTGGCCAATGAATACCACAGCTGGTTTCTCTTATAACTACAGAAGGAAACGGTGGCAAGTGGAACAATGCTGACTTTCCACTTTCAAGTAGTGTAGTGTAAGCTGAAGCCAAACCGTAAAGAGTATATATTTTTTCACTCTGTTTATCCGAAGTCTGGTCCAGGAAAACATTAATTTTACAACTTTAAAAATAAAGTTCTGCAGTTTCATGCCAGTTTCAAGAACTAACCTTTCATGTTGCAAAACTAAGGGAAGTATTCTTTGCTGTTGTGAGCTTTTGTCATTATCTCCTCATGTTAGTTCTTCATGGTTTGTGAACTGTAAGCACCACCCGAAAAGACCAATAAAGTTTGTGATTGTCTCATAGTAAGCTTGCAAGAAGATCAAACCTATCCATTCTTAAGGAAATCAGCCCTGAGTGCTCGCTGGAAGGACAGATCCTGAAGCTGAGACTCCAATACTTTGGCCACCTCATGAGAAGAGAAGACTCCCTGGAAAAGACCCTGATGTTGGGAAAGATGGAGGGCACAAGGAGAAGGGGACGACAGAGGACGAGATGGTTGGATAGTGTTCTCGAAGCTACCAGCATGAGTTTGACCAAACTGCGGGAGGCAGTGGAAGACAGGAGTGCCTGGCGTGCTCTGGTCCATGGGGTCACGAAGTCAGACACGACTAAATGACTAAACAACAACAACAAAGCTTGCATTCCCTTTCCCCAGACTGCCTTTTAGTGCTTTGGAAGAAACTATCATTTGGGGGCTCAGTGGATTATTTGGAAGGCTGGCCTTCTCTCATATTTCTGAACTTATTCGCACTGTGTACAATTGTCATTTTTTTTGTTATTAATTTCCTTATCCTAATTTTAATATCCCCCCTCAAGATTGGGAGAAAAGTCAACTTGTGTCTACTGCATTCAGTATTGCAGGAACTGAAAGGATTTAAATTGGGAATGGTGTGAGATGCGTGAACCCAGTACTTCTGGTACATTGCTGATCTATGTGCTCATCTGTCACATAGGCTGTGCTTACTTGAGCTGTAGCTAAGCTGTACGCGTCAAACATGCAGTGTATGACTGTTCCGCAGCACATTGGCACATATCTGACCAGTCTCAAAAGGGGCTGTGCATTTGTGCTATTTTTCAGCAAGCACTGAAAAGAGTACAGTGAAGGCGCCTGCTTGATCTCAACAGGCAAGGAGTTCCAAAGTGCAGATGCTGCCACAACTAAATGACCGAGCTCTTATAAATGTGGAATGGGTATGATGTGGCACCTGTCGCAGTGCCAGTTGCACTGATCAAAGTGGTCCAGTGGGCACATGGACTCAGTATTTACTTAATGGCAGTGGTGGCTGGTGCATGTTGGAAGGGTGGAAGACAAGGAGGGTGGAAGACAAGGAGACCAACAGAAGGTAGAGCCATAACCGATGATACGTAGCATCAACGGATCTGAATTTTTGTCCCATCCTCCTCCCTGCTGAGTTCTACAAGGGCAGCTCTTGAGACTGAAGAGTATGCTGGTAGCCATTCCACCTCCTGGACTGCTTCTAAGAGAGAAGGCAGGCAAGTGGGGGCTGGCTGATGCAGACAGGTTGGACAGGTTGGCCCCATTTGCCCCAATGCACCATCCGCTACTACATGTCACTTTTTCATGAATTTCAGGATGTTCCACATTCACTTAGATTTGTGGGTCATCATCCAAAGAAGTGTTCCAAATGTGCAGAAGAAAACAAGGCTACAGCTGGAGGTTTTGTTTCCCCCTTGACACTGGGAACATCTGTAGCAAAATAACAACAAATGACCTGGCTGCATATCTGGGTCCTGGCCACAGGGTATCTGCAACAGTGTTTTCTGCAGATTGGGAGGTCCTTTATCTCAGTTAATAGCCATACTATCACCAAGGCTCAGCACAAGTGACAGAAGTTTAAGATAGAAAGCATAGAAACATCTATGTTTACATTTCATACGCTGATGAATAAATTTAAATTAAAAAAACCTGTGTTTCAAAATAGGGGTCACTTGGCTGGGCTGCTGTGTGTGAGGCAAGCTAGAACCACTATTTGGTGTGTGGAGTTAATTACACAGTTCTCTGGATGGTCTAATGTGAGACTGGTGCCACACTTGCATTAACTATTACGGACAATTAAATGAAGGATTGATTTTTCTGCAGCTGGTCTTTAATACATATTAAACTTACATACTTCATACTGTAGTGCTTGTGCTTTACATTTTGGATAGTTCAGTTAAATAGTACATTTTTTCAATAAGAGTTTTGCTTGAGTCTATGGGAGTTTTCCAATATATTGAAAAATGCATAAAACCAAATTTATTTGGGGAGGTCAACCGAAGATATTTTGGGCTTATTTGAGTTTTGCAGAAGGAACAAAACAGAATGCTAAAAAGCCAGAATATGAATACTTTCCATGGTTTATTCCAAAGCAATAGCAGGAGCGATTGGGTTTAAATGAATCTTCTTCTTCTTCTTCTTCTTCTTCTTCTTCTTCTTCTTGGAATTGGAGAAGCAAATTATCCAAAAACCTCCCCCCCTTCAAATTCTGTGAAATTAACATTAGAGGATTACTTGAGACTAATGAATTTTGAAGTATGCTTTGTGTGGAAACTATGCTATTGTCTCAATATAAACAGGTTTCAACAAATTTCTGCTGAAAACAAATGTAACCCTGTAAGAGTGAGAAGGCAGTTTGACAGTGCCATTGATACCTATAATGTAGACTTATTTCCCACCCTGACCTGATGTGTACGCTGTTCAGACTTGTTTTGTGTGAGATTCAGGCTAAACTGAGAAAACACCATTCCTCCACCCCAGAAAGGAGACGAAGGGTTGTATCCAATGTTAGTAGAGAGGATCCACTGAATTAATGGACAGGACTAGGTCCATTAATTTCAGCTGGTTCTACTCTGAGTAGAATTTAGTTGGCTACAACCCAAAGGCTGTAATTTGCATCACAGCTATGGTTATCTATTACCCAGTTTGTAACATCAGTTCCTTCAGTCTGTATTTTCCATTCTCCAGGCCCAGATTTGTTTTGAAATTATGTTTAAAAGTTTTAGACTTTTTATTGCATTTGTGTTTATTATTCTTTTTAAAGTTTTTTTTTTAAATTGTGTAAGTTTATCTACTTGTTCTAAGGCTTTAATCTCACAGTTTGAAAATTAATTTCATATTCCCTTTCAAACCATATTCCAGTGAGCAAAAATATGTTCTTGCTTTCTGGCACTGTACTTAACATTTTATGGTATTTTTAAAAATACGTAATGAGGCTTTTGTCTTGCACAAAGACCATCCTTTAATCCCCACAGTAGGACTTCCAACTATGTGACATTTGCTGGCATAGCCAGTTTTTAAGGCTGGATTGAGGGTAGAGCCATACCCAAACATATGTGGGAAATCACTTGGAAAATGTTAAGTTTATATGCAGTGTGTAGGTTGTTCCTAAGAAAAGACTAAATGTCGCTATATGGTTTCCCCCCTCAGAATTTTGGATAAATAAAAGCTGCACAATCAAGCTACAAATCCCCTCCACTTCCCAGTGGGGAGGAGTTGCGGTGGACCACATGGCCACCCACTTCCCTCTGGGGGCGGGGGACAAAGTCCTGCTTCACCCGGAGGTTCCTGGTCACGTCATTCGCCAACCAGCCAATCCGCTGGCTGGGGGCATGGCCAGGCCCCATTTAAACTGAGGTGCGAGCCGGAGAGCTTCCTCTTTACTCGCTTCCTTGATCTCCCACCCTCCCTCCCTCCCTATTTTTCAGGTTTCGAATTTGGCCTTGCTATGGACCTCGGTTGGTCGCCCTTGAGGGGCCTGGTAGGAATTTTTCCACTTGGCAAATTGGCATGGGCCATTTCGCTTTCACCTACCTCATAGCAGTCGTCACAACTTTGTAAGGATTTGTGGTTAGGCATTGGTTGATCTTATGATGGGGGAGGGGAGTTGTGGCCATCACCTGCCCCTCCAAGTTTAAGGGTATTCCGTTAAAGGAATCTGGGGGCATGGATCTTGTCCAAAGCCCAGGGTGGGGCTAGGGCCATGCCACGACCCCGTCAGGAACCCAGGGGGAGCTCGAGTTGGTTTGCATCAACGGGCTCCCCTTACCGGTGGTTGACCCTTACTGGACTCCCTGCATGACAGGCAGGAGTCAGATATAGTTGGGTCAATTCCAATGCCTACGCCAATACCGCTCACATTCTGTAACCAAGAAAGTTGTGGCCTAAATTTGCCCAATAACATTAACCTAATATCCGTGTCCTTGTGTCTTATTCATCAACAAGAAGGTGGTCTTGGGGTCTCAACACGCAATGGCATTAACTCCAGTACTCTTGCTTTTTTGTTTGATTAATATGACTAGGCATTGGGAAAAATTTAAACAAAATGATCACAACCTTTCTCTTGTCATTCTATGGGTAAAAGTGGCATTCTGGTATGTTCAGCATAGTCTTTCTAGAGGGTTTTGATCTAAAATAATTAACCCATCTTAAAAACAACATCTAGTAAAATGCTTTAGACATGCTACTTCATACAAAATATTCACAATTGATGGGTTTCTTTTTCTTTTACAATTCAGAACAGATGTATCATTGGGAAGTACCTCTACACGTTCCCTGAAGGACAATGTCACGGTCACTCACTGCAATGCTGTAAAAAACCAAAAATACAAATGTCAGATAACTTCAGCAAAGTTCAAGCATATTTACATTATGTGGCTCAAGATCACAGATGGAATAACATTGCTTCAGTCACCACTAATGTTAGTCAAGCCTACAGATATTGGTAAGTTTCAGTTTATTGGCCAAAGTGTTTAAATCAGATAACAATAAGAGTCTGAGAAAGCTTCCAAAATGATGATTACAGAATATACACTGAGTATACACTATGGCAGAACTTAATTCTATGGAAAACACCCTCCCTCAAAGCAACACACAAATACATAAGCTAGCGTAGAATAAAATGTTGGTATTGCAAGCCATTTTTTGCTTTCCCCAACATACTTTAGTTATATAGCAAAATATAATAAGTAAAATCAGTGATGTAAGTCCTGAATGAATTCCCTAAGATACGTGAAATCTCATCCTATTGTAATTCCAGCAATGTTAAGCTTGTTCTTGAAGCTATCATAAGTCATAACAATAATGACACAATCCTTTCCCCACATGAAATTGATGGTGGAAGCGGTTCAGGATCTCAGGGCTCGTCCAGACTTCCATTTGTACCACCGCTTTCGCTTGGGAAAACTCGATTTTTATCGCTGAATCAGAGCAGACGTCAGTCAGGATTTTCATGGATTTATGTTTGCTACAACTCAGTGCTGAAGAGCAGGTTTTCCAGGGGAATGTAGCGGAGCATACAGAAAACCACTTGGACCTTCTGGCTAGAAAGCATGGGACAAGTGGGAAACCTGCTTTTTCTAGGCACGGGATAAATGTAAGCCTGGACACGCCCTTGGTATTTTCAGTTTTATGCAGCATATACTTTTTCTACAAGGTAAATTTTGAGCAATGTTCATTAGATCATGGTGTCCTTAAGATTTAATCATACTGTCATTTCTGAAGTAAGAAAATTCTTGGCACAGTAACTTTGATCCCTTCGGTAGGCCGGTTCTGTTCATTGCATGGCTGGCATTGGAAGCCTGAATGACATGAGTTTCTAATGAACTGAAATGAATTATCCTGCACAGTTCTTAACCATGCCAACAAAATCCTTTTCATTTTATTTTTTAAAATGTGGTTGTTGTGGCACAGGGCCATACTACGCAAGATGGTGGCAAGTTCTGTGTGTATGAATATTGAACTGCCTCAGTCACACAGAAAAAGAGGGAAGTAAGGGTCCAAAAGCAAAAGTGTCATCTGGATAAATAGTGCAGAACTCTCCCTACACTTCTCCCCCTGCAGCTCCTCTTATGCTGCTTCTGGTACTGGAGCTCATCTGAGGAGAAGAGTGCATGGGGGAAAGAATTCCCTGAGAGACATGTAGGGAATCTGCAGGCAGGAGGAGTGTCCTGCTTGCATTCTTCCCAGGTGAGTCTTTTCCCATTCTTATAATTGGATGGATGCTCTCCCTTTTTCTGCATGGCTGGGGCAGTGTAAACATAGAACAGCCACTGTCAAATCTAATGTGGCAATTGTTAAGATCCTAGAACCTGCTTCACAGAAACAAAAACCAGCTTTCCCCCGTAATGGTTGAAGGTGTACTGCCAGCACAAAGTTAAGAATAGGCTTCAAGTTTTGCATGGAGGAAATGTTCATCTGAAAGCAGGTAAAATTGCCAAAATTACTATCTTGAAGAATACAGCCATTTGACATGTTTTCCATAAATAATCATTTTTGTACCCAGGACTCCTTCCTGAAATCCATGGAATTTTTAAATGCCTAACTCTGGCTGGATCGTGCATACTATGTGCAAAGAAATATTCATTGATTGGAATTGTTAAACTGTTGCATCTTCACAGCACAATGTGGATTTGAAAAAATAAATATATATACATTAACTCAAATGAACTGCCTGGATTCTTGAGGGTGACATCGCTATCAAAAATTGTTGGAAAATCTCATTCCAACCCCTAGAACCTGCTTCATTCCAGCTCAATGAAAAAAGACAATTAAGAGAAAAAAAGTTTTCTGGTACATTCAGAAGACGCTGAGACTCAATAAAGTTCTAAAGGGTTACTTATTAATGGGTGTTTTAAAATCAAGGTACAGATTCTTTTAAAATTAGAATTTTAGCATTTAAAAAGGTGAAAGCTTTGCTTCTGCTTTTTAATCAAGTCATGGGAAATGGTACAATCAGATGGCGGATGCTTTTAATGTTTTGTTGCTTTCTGGCTGAAGAAGCAACTCCTTATGAACATTTGACCATTTATGAACTGTTTAGTGTTTTAACATTCTCACCATAATGAAAAGAACATTTCAGTAGCCTATTTTTCTTAGTATCTTTTTTGTAATTAATTGAAACCTTTTAGAATGACCATTTCATGTTGCTTACAAATTAGGTTAATGCTTTTGAAAGATGATGGGATTATAGGAATAATGCCACAGTGATTCTTTCAAATCATGTCACTGAGTGGCCTGCTACTTTAAAACTGTACTATCTAGCTTAATTATATCTAGAATTAAAAATGGCACTAGGTGGAGTTCATTTCACATCAAATCCTCTGTAAGGCCTTGAAGGAATATACTCTTGTGTGTACAATCAGTCCTCTGGACCACAGCCATTGACTATATCCAGTTAAGGTTGCAACCCTGCATCCATATATAGTACCTAGGAGTAACTCCCATTGAACTGAGGGGGACATGGTTTTAAATAAACATGTATAGGACTGTGCTTTCAGTAAATGCTTGAATTGTACTTTAAGTCCCAATAGCAACTTTTAATTGTTTTCTTAGATGTATTTATTCACTGTTTATCATTTCGTAATACCCAACCAATATACAAGGCTAGAACCATAAAAAGATAAAAATCACTAAACAGAAAATACCAGCATGTATGGCTGGAATCACTCATCTGAAAGGGACTGCCTGAACAAAACATCTTGAAGTTTCAGAAGCCTAGCAATGCCAGCATTCCTCTAACATCAAAATGGAAATCCAGAGGGTTGGTGCTAGAACACTAAAGGTGACCATGGAAACAGATACAGGAGCATATGGTACCTCTACGAATGGCCCTCCTGAGGATTGTAGAGACTGCATTGGTCCATGGAGGAAGTTAGACAGTCTCTCAGAAAGCCAGGGCCCATGTTTACGGATTAGCCTGGCAGCACATTGGCAGTCAGTGCAGTGCAACATGCTGTTGGTAGGTCTCTTAGGTCAGCTCTTAGTAGCTGCATCCTGCACCACCTGCATCTTCAAGACCAACCTTAAGGAGATAGCCCCACAGAGTGCATTGCAGCAAACCAATCTTGACATCCACCAGTGCATAGACCACTGTCTCCAAGCTATCCCTAACCAGTATGGCCATAGCTGCTGTACCAGCCAAAGTTGATAAAAGGCATTCCTAGCCACTGAGGCCACCTATACTCGAGTAACAAAGATGGAGCTAGGAGGATGCCCAGACTATGCACAGGTTTCCTTCAAAGGGAGTGCAAGTCCATCCAACAGAGGCTACTGACCTTTCCAGGACATGGTAAACACTTGGCCACAGCACCCACCCTAAGGGCCTCTGCTTATGGAATTTTGCATTCAAGATAGGATTGACTAAGGACCAAATGCATGTTTGCATTTAACATACGTGGCTTGCGTGTTTTTGTTTTTTTAAAATTAACAACTGTTTGTGGATTGACAATTAAGTCCCCTACAACATCCCCTCTGGCTTTTGTACAATTAAGGGAATGCTGTTAGTCACCCTGAGAATTAGAAAACATTACGTCATCCTTTTGCACTGTCTTCTTCATCACTGAAAGAAGCGCTTCACTTTTATTGCTTCACCACTACAACTGTAGGCTGAGGTTCCTTTTCATCGTTACATCCCAGCTATGAAGCCTCTCTTCCAAGCCTTCAAATGCTGAATGATAGAGGGATTTTGAATTAATTGTTTTTTCTTCTTTTGGAAACTGAACAAGCTGCCACCACAGCTCTTCCAGACCACAATCGCAACTCAGGAAAGCATTTATGAATATGTTGAAATACTTTCAGTGAACTGGGGCATGAGGCAGTAGGTTATCCTTCATAGCTTAAAGCCACGTAAGGTTAAAAAGCATGCTCCAGTTACTGTGTCCCTTTGAAAGACGTTTTGCATCATTGTGTGTATGCATGTTAATGTATAATATGCATATATTATGAAAAATGAATATAAAATAAAAATGGGAATATAAGTGGCTATTCAGAGTAACCAGCATGCTTAAACTACCTTGTTGATTATAATGTTTTACAGTAAAGCCTGAACCTCCATCACATCTGCATATGGATATGACAGACGAAGGACAGTTAAAGATATCTTGGTCTCACCCAGCATCAATATCATATCCACTTCAGTATGAAATAAAATGCTTTGCAAATTCAACTGAAAATGTTTGGCAGGTGACGCTTTTCTTGTTCCTAAATTCACTCTATGAAATAAGCAAGCCAAAGACGAAAGTTAAGTTCTGATCTAGGAAATCCTTGTCTTAATATTAACAGCCCTGAACATTTCATTTGTGAGAATTTTATAAAAATAATATCAATAATGCACTACAAAATTTCTGAACATGAATAGAACTATAGACTTTTTCATGTAACTAATACGAACAATGATAGTTTCATATCATGGCATGGTCCAGTAAACATTGCTGCCAACGTACTATTGAAATCAATTGAATTAAAGTGATCAAAGGGATTAAAACTCATGACTTGAGTTTTTCTGGGTTGCACTAACATGGTTTGTGCTGTAGGGGCACTGATGCATGAAATTATTACTGGGGTTTGTTTTTGGTTTTTTTTAAGTGAGATTAATGCAAAATTCACCTTTAATGGAACCACATAACATTGGCCTAGCTCAAGCTACTTGTAAAAACTCACTCTCTGAATACATTTTGAACTCTCATGCTAAGCAAGCACAGTTTGGGCCAGAAACCAAACAGATGTGTGAGCAAATAGAAACCACTTCTGTGTGAACACATTAGGATTGGCAATTCCACCTAATGATGTTCCCCATGTACATCAATCCAAAAACTACTTGGGGGGTGACTTGAAAAGGAGATCTGCAAGAACCTCTAGGTGTACATGAAACTCCTACATGCAGTTCTTTGCATTGTAGCCATAATAAGACCACATCATATCTGGATGTAAACCGCCCCGCCCCCCCGGTGGGGGGAGTTTTCCTCTAATTAATGTATGTCTTGGCTTCAAGTTAAAGTGTTGCAAGAGTGGCATTAAATAGTGTTGTTCTGTTTGTTTTTGACGTAATTTAATAGGTGGTTGAGAAGACCATGGAAACGTCATTGATCATAAGCAATACACTATTTGATTCTTCATATGTAGTTCAAGTCCGATGCAAAAGCCTTTATGGACCAGGCCTTTGGAGTGATTGGAGCACACCTTATAACTTGAATCTACAAGGTTTGTCCCCGGTGGAAATCTGATTTGCTAGTACTGTGGAATGCAAAGAATGGACTAGGTGACCCTTGGGGTCCTGTCCAAGCCTACAATCCTATGAATCTCAACATATGATCATTATCTGTTTTGAAAAACATATCCCTATTTATAAGGCATGATGTATGAATACATGTTATAGGAATAATATATGTGTGTGGACTTTCTTCACCAGGCCAGGCTGGGTGGCACGGTTCTGCATCTGGAAACCACAGAACAAATCATACTTTCAAAGAGCAAAATGGCCAAAGAGTTCCTGGACATTTCTTACTTATCCAGTCACTATGCAAAACTGCTTTATGCACATAGATTCCCCCCACCTCCAAGCTCAGATTCTAGTTCTCTGAGGGCAGAGCCCAGTTAGAGGCACTGTGACCACTGAGTGGGAGAATGATACAAGGGATCCTTTTTTTAATGGGATATTCCCCCATGAGTTCCTTATCCCACTGAGAAGATGGGAAACTCTCCCACAAGTCTGGATGCTTCCAGGGGATCTACAGTATTATTATTATTATTATTATTATTATTATTTAATTAATATCTTTTATTGCATTAGCCGAGTGGCCATAGCATGATATACATTGAAATAACAACATAAAATGGGGGTGGGGAGGTAGAGGTAGACATCGTCCTGGGCGAATACTTAAAGAAAGTGAAAAAAAAAAAAAAAAAAAAAAAGCTGCTGACGCTGGAGGAGGACCGATAAAGGTCCTTCGCTCTCATTAGCCTCATTCCTACAAGACTAACTTCGTCGGTTGTGCACGCATCTGTGGGTAAGGAGTAGGCTTCTCTTCATCACACTAAGCAGAAGTGAGTATCCAACAACAGAATTGCAAAGGGACACTATCAAGGCTGATGGAGATGGAACTATTCACGGGTAACCGGATATCTGTCAGTTGGGACGAGGCACATTTCCAGTCTCCAGGCTTACAGCATGTCTGTTTGCGGGGAACTTGGAATAACACCCGACAGATGCTGAACAGGAGACGGCGTAAAAGCCCCGCTTTCCAGAATTGTGAAGCAGATGGATCCTCAGGGAATGCTAGCTCCTAACACGTCCTCTTGCCAGGAAAGGAGCGATGAGGTTAATGCAAGAGATACCTTAGATCAGTGAAGCCACTAATCGCATCCATGCTATGAGGAAGCTGCCATGTCAGGTGGAACTCGAGTCATATACTGCCCTATTATTATTATTATTTATTGAATTTATATACTCCCCTATATCCACTGGTCTCAGAGCAGTCTACAGAATAAAATAAAAATACAAAACCACAAAATCCATAATTAAAATAAAAACAATAACAACCCAATAACCCCCCAAAAGACCCCCCCATTTTAAAAGGGCATAGGAAAGAAGGAGGCCAATTTTACTTTTCCCTCTATGAGCAAATAGCCATCCATTATTATGGTGGGGGGAAAGCACTTGGAGAACACCTTTTTTATGGAAACAGAAAGTGCTTAACTTCTCCACCGGTGAGTGGGCCAACCCCACTGACAGGCATCAGTGTGCATGGTGTGTCTGAAAGACGTGTCTCCTTCCCATTTTCTAAGGAAAGAAAAACTTTTAGGGTGATGGAAGGATGGGCTGTAATTTTTTCATGCTTTAGTTCTGGCATCAGGTTCAGGTGTGAGGAAGGAGAAAACACAATTCCTGTGCTTGTGTATAGGAAAGCATTTTTCAGTTTCTTTACAAGGTCTCAAGGGTATGTTCAGTTTGGATGTGCAGTCAAGGAAAAATAGTCCTGGACCCACTCCTTTGTCTGCCTCTCGCAATTGGCTTTCCGGACTCCATCCCATTTGCCAGTATATTGTAAGACTCAGTTTCTGGCAATGCACACAGAATGCATGGGAAACAATGTAGTAAAGGATTATAAGTCTCTAATGCATAAGATGAAATATTAATATTCAGCAAACATGTGCTTTACTGGTCACATACCATGTTGTGATGAGCATGACGAGAACCTTAGGAAGGGTAATATCTTCCCTGCAGGGAACTCAGATAGGGCTATTCTCTCAATGGCTAATTCTAGTGTTAAACCAATAGAAAAAGAATTAACCCATTAATGAAGTTGTGGCAACAAAGAAGCTGTTTTGTATTCACCTCAGTGCATTAACACCAGAAGTACAAAATGCTGGAACTAAACAATTATATATTTATGTATTTAATTAGAATTATGTTCAGACTTATATTTAACACTGAAGGCTGTACTTAGTGTAAATTGGTAATGCTGTATATTGCAGTGCCTGGTTTGTGGGAACTCCCTCTGAACTGAACTGCACTGGAAATTTATTCTTTCATTAAAGAGTTACTATGCAGGAGTCAGCAAGCCAACCCTTTATAGTGAAACACTTCATTGTAGTATTTTGCCAATTAGTGATCAAATTGGGTTACTCTGGCTGTGTTTTGTCACCCACCAAAGGATTAAGACCAGTGCTATTTTTCCACAAGAAGAGGTGCCAGAACTCACCATGAAACCTCCATCATTCGCTTAGAATGGCAATGGCACCCACCTGGGAAGTGCCAGGACTAAGTTCCAAAAAATAAACCCTGATTAGGACACTAGGGACAACTGTGCCTCAATACAATTATTTAACTGTTTTTTGGTGTGACATGCACCCTAACCTGGGAGTACTAGAATCTGAGCTTGGAGCATATGGACATTTGACATAAATGTTTCCATACTATGATCACTTATAGTGATCGCTTGTATTATGATGTTCTGTATCTGCACTGTGTTTGTGTGTTTGTTTTGGAGTCCTCTTGAAGAATAGTATGTGCATAGCTGTGGGCACCAAAGCGGCACTGAGTTGCTAAAACCTTATCTATCTATCTATCTATCTATCTATCTATCTATCTATCTATCTATCATCTATCTATCATCTATCTATCTATCTATCTATCTATCTATCTATCTATTTATCTATTTCATGTACACCCCAACTTTCCCCCAAGGATCTCAAAGTGGTGTACATAGTTCCCTGCCTTCCCATTTTATAACAACCCTGTGAGGTACATTAGGTTGAGAGTGAGTGAATAGCCTATGGTCACCGAGTGAGCTTCATGGCAGAGTGGGAATTTAAACCCAGGTTTCCTAGGTCCTAGTCTGACACCCTCGCCGCTACACCACACCGGTCCTCTTAAACTGACAAAATGGTTTCTCCTTCATAGAGTGGTATACAATACAGAAAAACTCTGAGCCCTTTTTTCAATGTATGACTCCTTTTCCAGTACATGTGCATGCCATTTCTTGTTTGCTGTTCTCTGTATCTTATGTATGCTTTCACTGAATACTTAAATTGACTGAACCTTCCACCTGTAGCTAAAAATTTTACACACACATACAGTGTTCTTTTCTATAAAAAATGTTGAGGAAGTACTCTCATTTTGACTCAAGAAAATCACTATTTTATAGTTCAAATCGGGAAAAGTAAATACAGTAAATGGACAAAAGTACAAAGAGTCACAAAATGTTTAGGGTATGCATCCCCCTGCATCCTCCCAGAAAAAAATCACTATATATATATATATATTCATTTCTTTAACAAAATTTATATACAACTTGATTGTAATAAAACCTTGAAGTGGTCTACAAAATAAAACACTGAAATTATCAATAAAAGACAGTTAAAGAAAGATGATTTGACAACAACAAATTTCATTTCAAAAACAAATGAAAATCAACAATAAGCTAAAAACAGACTAAAACACATGTGTCAGGTTGGGTAAGTAATCTTAAACACTACAATTAAGAAGAAAAGGGATATTCATTGTTTTCTATTGTAAATTATCATTAGCACTCATTATATATATTTTGAAAGTTTACTGCACTGCATACATTTTGGTATGTGATTGTTTTCTTCCAATTTATAATGTTTGTCTCTATTGTCTTTTTTCCACTTTGTTTCTTGTAACAGAAGTCATGTATTTCCCTTCAAAAATGCTGGCAAGTGTTGGAACAAATGTTTCCTTTTATTGTATTTACAAAACCAAAGATAAAGTAATCTCATCGGAGAAGATAGCCTGGTGGTTAAATTTAGCAAAAGAAATCCCTAGGCATCAGTACACACTTGTGAATGACTACATTGGCAAAGTAACGCTTGTCAACTTAAATGCTATGAAGCCTGGAGGGAATTTCCTCTTTAATGCCTTATACTGTTGTAATGAAAACAAGGAATGTAATCACCGTTATGCTGAATTATATATAATAGGTAAGATTCCTGCTTATTTTTAAATTAATGTTGGTAAATCCATTTTTTCTTAGATTTTCTGTTGATTAAGTCTGTCTTTCAAATAGATGTTAATATCAGCATCACATGTGAAACATATGGCAACTTGCAAAAAATGACTTGCAGATGGTCCACCAACGCATACCCACTGCTTTTGGAGAGCACTTTGCTGTTGAGATACTACAGGTACATGTTCATTTTAATCTGATGTTTTGTGAAAAGGTGCCACATTGGAAATGGTGGTGGATCAAAGCATGAAGCAAATAAATGCAGTTGAGCCTAGGACTTTTGCTAGACCAAAGAGGAAAGCCCGAGGTGGAAAGTCTTATAATCAGGAAGCTTAGTTTGGGAATTATTTTTTTATAAGTCTTTCCCCTGTTTCCAGTCTGGTGTGATCTTAATGGCAATGTTTAGGCTAAATGTTTATCTCATATACTGAGGTCCCAGGTTTGAGATTCACTAGTAGGGTTGCCATATTTCAAAAAGTAAAAACCAGGACACCCCAAAAGTTGTTGAGCTTTTTTAAGGAATTGACCGCTAATATCATAGAAAATCTGGACGTATGGCAGCCCTGTTCACTAGAGACTTCATTCCTGATACTGCTGAGCACGCTTACTCATTGTGAAGATATTATTGGCTCTTTGGCTCTATCACATCAGACTTTGCTTGGAGGAGGGGACTAAATCCAGGCATTCCCATGCTCCATTATCACTTGCATCAAGTGATCAGCTCCCTGATAGGACATTACTGACTCTGTGTTCAGGGGTCAGTAAAAGGATTTAATCCAGCTAAAATTATTGCTAAGTCCTATTAAAATGAGACATAAATTACCGGTAGTTGCTACTCACTCCTTCCATTGCTTATAGTAGGACTTAAGCCATTGTTTTCTGAAGAGTGAGTAACTGACAATTTTCATTGTCAAGATTGCATCAGCTAGACTCCTGAAAATGTCTGACAGAAGGTCTTGAATAACATCTATTCTTTAGAAGCTAAAGTGGTTACTGATATTGTTTTGGGGATCAGTTCAAAACAGATGGTGTCCAGTTTAAAAATCCAAAATGACCAGTGTTGAAGGAACACTTCCACACATATACTCCCTATTGTGCCTTGAGGGGGCCTGGTTTATTATCTCCTTTTTTCAGGAAGCACAGTTATAAGTAACAAGTTGTTGGGCCTTCTCTAAGTAGCATGTCACCTCTGGAATTCTCTACAGGAGATGTGTAAGTAGTTGTCTCTAAGTCATAGTTCTAGTGTTCTGTCAAATCTGGGCCACTGTTTTTATCTCATGCATCAATTTCACCAATGAGAACAACTTTAAACGATGCTTAGTTCAAACAAGCTAGAATCAAGCCATGGTGTATCATTCTGGCTTCTTCACTAACCATTGTATCAACTAACAACAGTCATCCAAGTCCAGACATAACATGGAGCTGTGGTTAGTTTAAGACTGATCTCACAGCCATGGCAGGATAGAAGGGGAGTAGAGCATATCTCTCTGGTAGCACTTAGGCTGGTGTAGACAATACTGAACTAGTTGCACCAATGGTACAATTTAGTATAAAGCAGCTTCATATGTTCCTATGTGCCTAAGATTAATCCATGCATGCTTAGGTAATGTGAAGCCATGCCAGAATTATGTCTGAACTGGCCCATAGTTTCTAAATCACCATAATCTTGTATCACTGCAACACTGCACATAGTTCAGATAGAGACAATGTGTAGCAAACAAAGCAAATCCCTTGATCTTTACACTGATTGAAATTTTGCAGGTGAAATTCTGCAATGCTTTTCCAACCGGAGGTCAGTCATGAGTTGATGTTTATTCTTCCCTTGATGCTGGTAGTTGAAATATACTTTTCATAAAAAAAATAAAAAAAATCCTGTGCTAAATCTTCAGAGAGAATTGTACTGATTTAATCTGCATTTGTTTGTCTGACATTAAGAGGGAAAATACAGCTAAATATGCCACTGAGGGGCCAATTAAATAAGCAATTTCCTTTCTGGCTGCCTGCTTGAAAGGTTTATGTGCCACAGGTATGTCTGGTCATTCTAATAATATAGAATATACTTTCAGTACTTTAAAAAAACAACAACCAATCAGCCAATTTAAGACTCACCCATAGTGCTTCTGTCAAAGCAACTCCCTAGTTCCATTCCTCCGGGTTGAATACAATAACCACCATGCATATTTCTCCTTTTACTAACCACAGTGCTACTTATGCCTGTGCATACTTGGTTGGTAGTGGGTTAAAGGTTAAGAACCGGTGGCCCAGCTCACCCATCACATTAAACCATAGTTTGTTTTTAACTATGGTTTAATGTGAATGAGCACCAGGATAGTACACTTGGTCAGACGGTCTCACTGCACTCCTCCCTCCTGCTGCTCCAGGAAACAAGCCAGAGTGTAGCTTATAATGAGAACTGAACCTGGGCTCATGGTTTGTTTCACCCAAGAACAAATTTTGTTTATGTAGTTGTTGACGTTCATCTGTCTTGGAAGATAATGGAAAAGTACACCTTCAGGGGTAAAGTAGAATTGTTGGAGAGTTTCAGCGTTTGTGGCTGTGAAGATCAATACAGAAGAGACATGTTGTATTGTAGGTGTGTAGATGAAGATATCTAGTTTTGCTGCTACAGGTTCAACATGGCATTTCTTCTCTCTGTGTTTCTTCCAAAAGTCATTCCTCCTCTGGTCACTGTTGTGAATATACAACCTGTCTGTCTCCAGACTGCAATAGTCTGCAAGGGATTCCCGTATGGCGAGGTTAATGTTGCCAGCCTTCATGTCATGTTTGCAGGCATCTTTGTAATGCAGAGTTGGTCTGCTAACAGCCCTAATGTGGAAGTTAGCTGCTCTCCCTTGGGGATCCTGCCATCTTCCATTCTGTGGACATGACCAAGCCACAGTAGATGTCACTTAGAACATGCTGGAAAGGAGGTCTTAGGAGAGCACACATTTGTTTAAGACTCTATTCTGCCATGTGATGCCCAAAATCTTCCTGACACAAAGATATGGAAGGCATTGTGGCATTGCTCCTGGTGGGTGTAAGTTGCCCACGACCCATTTCCATAAAGCAGTACGCTCAAAACGCAAGCCTGGTAGACCTTCACCTTGCTATGTTATGACAAACCAACCAACCACAAGTTCAGGTTCAAATGTCCCAGCAAGCCAAAGCTTGCATTGTTTCATGTCAGCAACAGGGCCAGATAACTTTTCAGTAATATGCACATTAAACCATAGTTTCTTTTTATCTATTTTTTAAATGTAACATTCAAAGCAGATGTTTGCAGAAGGATTCCAGAGACCCATATGAACTTACCTATTATGTTCCCAGTTGGACATTTTATATCACTGAGTGCCAACTCCCCTTTTACACTAGCTCAGTACTTGGTTATGTCTGCTGTGTGCCACTGAACATAGGTTTGCTATGAAGTCTTAGTTGGAATTGTGGCCACAGTCATTTGGATTGCTAATTCATATTTGATCAGAAGTGGGTGAACCTGCTAGGTGGGTTGAAAACACTTGCAGGGCACAATGGACATATTTCTAACCAGAGGCAAGCAGTATGAAATAGACTAATGTTTATCAAAGCATGAGCTGGGTCATTCTAAGGGAGCACATATACTTGCTGCCAAAGTGGAGTGAGTAAACAGGAGCTCACAAGTGTTTTGTTTTGTTTTTGAATAAGCTATGACTATACTGAGAGGCAAAACAGAGCCATGTGAGTGTAAGACGAAGTGCAAGGTCTAGACAGCTACTCAGCTTCACTGGGTGTATGCTAAGGAACTGTGCTTTTATAATATCAAAGACCAATATGGAGCTTGTTGGGGGACAATCATATCCAGAGATGTCTATGTGCATGTGCAAAGCACTTCACCTTGCACTGGGGGTGGTGGGGAAGATTCCTCACCCCACCCCACAACTCCATTCTCTCATGTCTCTTGGTGTGCTGCTCTGGAATAGCCTCTGACCTTTTGAAAACAGCAAAGTAATGCCACTAGAAGACGCAGAAAACCATTTGCAGTGCTTTGGATGCCTGCTTATGAGTCAATATGTTTTTAACGGTGGTACATTTGGAGACAAAGCATGGCGTTTAGCAGTGACAATCTATGGCATAGTGAGCTGGGAAGCTGCCAGGTAAACTTGCCTATCAAAATACAAACATGGCAGTGCTTACATTCCTACTTCTAAGTGTACTGTCAAAATGCAGGCCAAATGTGTCTTTATAGTAGAACCTCTACTTATGACCGCCTCTACTTGGGCCTGATCCAAGTTGCGACTGTGGCAAACTCGGAAATACTTGGTTTGCCGCAATTTGCCCATGCGCAGAAGTGTGCTGCCGCCAAATGCGCCTGTGCACAATGGTACTTCTACCACCAACCGGATTGACTTACGGATGGACTTCTGGAACTGATTACGTCCATAAGTAGAGGTTCCACTGTATATCCTAGTCATTCATTCACCGGGCATTTCTCAAATTACAGTGGTGTTCCACCCCAAAAACACATACTGTGCTTGGGAAGCATGTGAGAGGCAACACTGTTGGACTTGATTTAATGAAGCTATAACACCAGGTTGCTAACATTTCACAAAGATCCACTGCAATTAGCATACTGTTACCATTTGTTATGAGCTGAGAATTTGTCAAATGAACCAGTGTGGTGCAGTACTTAGAGTATTGGGCTCATATGTGAGAAAACCCGTTCAAATCCCTTCTTATGGGAAATCTGGTAAAGCCTCTCAGCCTAACTCACTCTCAAGTTTATTCTGCAGTTGCAGACCCAGATCTGAGCATTTCCTAGAATTGAAGGGATACATATGTCATTCAGCCCAGACACAGATATCTGGCACTGACAGCCTTCTGGCGGTTCCCACACTGCAAGAAGTGAAGCTACAGGGAGCCAGGCAGGGGGCCTTCTCGGTGGTGGCACCCACCTCGTGGAATGCCCTCAGATGTTAAGTAAATGAGTAATTATATAACATTTAGGAAACATCTGAAGGCAGCCCTGTATAGGGAAGCTTTTTAAGGTTTAATGTTTTACTGTGTTTTATATATGCTAGAAGCCAGCCAGAGTGGTTGGGGCAACCCAGCCAGATGGGCAGAGTACAAATTAGTAGCAGCAGCAGCAGCAGTAGTAACATGTCAATTCTGAGGTTTCCTGCCAGGGAAAGGAGTATTAGATTTGGCTCAAAGCTGCTTGGCTGTGGGATCTCTGGGTAGGCTCTCTCAGAACCTTAGTTCCCCACCTTCAAAATGAAATTATTATTTACCTACTTCACAGTAATTGTGAAGAAGAATAAGACAAAGGATTGTGAAGTATTCTGTGTGCGAGAAATGCTTTATAAAAATAAATACAAGTTTTATTTAAAAATTGAGGGTAACATATAGCCCTGAATAATTTTTGTTCATGAGTGCACACACAAATGAAAATATGCTACTAATGAGCGAGAAGGAAATTAAGAAACTTGTCTCTTCCCCAGTTTCCACAGCCTGCAAAAAAGTGTACAAAGAGAATAGTATAGCTGATTCATGTTTTATAAAAATTACTCAAGAATCTGTATTTTGAGCTATCCATCTACCTTGAGAGATTCCAGATAGAATTGGTAGTTTTGATTCTTTATAGCAGGAATGGGGAACCTGGGATCCCCCAAGTATTCATGGGTTACAGCTCCCATCATTTCTGACCATTGACCATGCTGGCTCAGCTGATGGGAACTGAAGTCCAACAACATCTGGAAGGCCCCAGATTACCCACCCCTGCTTTCCAACACGCTCTTAGGCCAGTATTAGAATAATTCATTCATATTCCCAACAAGATGTACATTAGAGCCAGTTATTATTATTATTTTTTGTGTGGCAGGGTTCCCAGTGACTTAAACAAGCTGCAAGGCATGCTCTTTTTCTAGTGAAATTGCCAATACATTGCCCATTGTTGAATGACTAATGTGAAACTGAATAGGAGCTGGGCACATCTTAATTTCAGAAAGACGTCAAACTCTTGGCTTGGTCAAGTGGGGCAAATCACATCTGTGATGTAAAACATTAATGTAGGGAACGTTTGTACAGGTGTCTGCTTGCGAGACGGATATGGATCTGTCACAAGGTCTGTGCATTTACATCTATCTTGTAATAGGTACATTAAGAACCTTTTTTAATGATTGTTTGAGTAGCCATGACCTAAAATGGAAATGGAGAGCAGCCTTGCTTAGCCTAAAGTACAATGACCAAGGTTGCAAACTGATGTGTTCCTGCAAAATTTGCCCTGCTCAGGTTGAATGTTTTGTTTGTTAGTTCCTTAGACTACAGCTCAATAGTGCTTAATTTCTAAAATGAGAGGTACTGAGATCCAAATAGACTTACCAAAGGGATAGTCAATGTGGTACCCACCAGATGTTGTTGGACTACAGTTCCCATAATCCCTATGAGGCAGTTCAAAGTGAATTAATACACATTACCATCGGAAGAGGGGATCCCTGTAAGAGTATTAAACCTGGAGATTAAAATTACCTAAATGCACCACTGGCTTCAGGCAGTGTGGGACAAGGCAGTGATGCAGAGAACAGGTAAAAGAACATGGTGGGGATAGCAATGGCTTCAGTCTAGGCCCAAGCCTTGAAGCAAGTTAATATGAGGGTGCCATTTCAATGCAAAGAATAACCCACAGCAATGTCAGTATAAGCTCATTACCTTTTTGAGGTTCCATTCACTGACCTGGAAGGCTGTAACATCCCCCCGCCCCCCGCCATGGAAAGTGGTTATAGGTAGCCAGTGGGGAGATATAAACCTTCACTTGCTTCATCTATTTTGCATTCAAAATATCACAAGAATTTCCCTTGGATAAGCCCGACTTCTGTTTTGCAAATCTAGCACCATGATACCTTTCATAAACAAAAATATGTTGGTGAAAAAGGTAATATAACAGCAAAGAATAATTATATGTATGAGTTGTTATTCCCTTTTCAGTGTTCACAGGGATTGTTTTGGTTTTGGGAACCATTTTTAAATGACTGATTCTGAAAGAGATATTTAGTCCATTTCAGCTGAGTAGGCAGAGAGAAATTCTGAAAAACAATTATTGTTAAATTGATGGGTAAAAAACATGGTGTTTGAGGGCTTTCTCATCTGTATTAGGTTTTTTTTACAGCATATACGAATGACAGTTTTGCATTGTTAATCCCCAGATGCATATAATCTCATAGCTAAACTGAAAACAATGTTTTCATGTCTTTTTAAGGAGTGATGTGTATTGTACAGAGTCTCCAAGTATGCCTTCTGATTCGGAGGTAAAAGAATGCTCTTCACAGAGGGATAATTCTTACGAGTGCATCTTTCAGCCTTTTTATCTTCTGTCTGGATACACAATGTGGATAGAGATTAAGCACTCACTGGGGACAGTGACATCACCACCAGTGTGTATCCTTCCAAAAGAAGTAGGTAAGTGAAAAAAATTTCTGAGAATGGATCATTGATAAGTTTGGGCCTCCCAAGGTCTCCTAGCCCAGGGCCTCCAGTTGCTTAAATCTGGGCCTGCCTAGGATCTTCTGCATGAGGGGTAGATGACTCTACCTACCACTGAGCTATGGCCATTCCCCCTGGTGCTTTTGTACCCACAGGTTGCAGTATATTGCCTTTCTCAAGGGACTTGGGCATGCTATCCAATTCATTAGGGGTTTCTTTCAAACGATGTTGTCAAGGAAAAGTAGTTTGTAAAGTAGCTTTTCACTTTTGTAGTATACCAATAGCTTTTAAGAGAAGGGGGGATTTTGGGCCCTAGCCACACTTTCAAGATGCATATAATACGGAAAATCCCAGCTACCCCACAGTAATTCAGACTTTCATTTGAAAACTGTAAATTACAGAGCTATAATATGCTTCCTTCTCGCATAAGTGCCTTTGTGCCTCCCCCTCCAGTTCCTTATCTCCCCCACCCCATACATACACACTATGGTCTCTTCTCTAAGCATTTGTTTTTCTTATGGTATTTAAATTATCAAGTCAATGATGGTGAGCTTGTGTGGTAGCCAGTGACAGCTGGTTTTATTAAAACTGAAAGAAAATTAAGTGTATGAACTACCACGGCATGCAATAACAAGCTATTTCCAACAATGGCTTTAATTTTCAATATTCCTCATCTCCTTTTCCATTTTCCATCGCTTCCTTGTTACTTTTCCCCTGTTATAACTTGTCTCCAACTGAATATATACATTCATAGGGAGTACCATATATCCCCAAACTACACCCAGTTCATATGTATTCTCAGCTCCTTGGTGATGATATGCTTAGTATCATACCCAACATTTCAGATGGCATGTGGAATAGAATATAAAGAATTATGAACATTTTGAAAAGAAAAGCTGTTAGTAACTATGAAGTGTTCATGGCTTTAAACTGGGGTGGTACCACCCTAGTTATGGAATATGCCCTCCACAGTGAGGCTCACTTGCTACCTATATTAAGATATTTTTGATACCAAATGAAGACCTTTTTATTCTCCCTGTGTTTTTACATTTTAGAGTTCTGCTTCAGTGGATTGTTTTATTGAGATTGAGATTGTTTTATTGAGATTGTTTTATTGAGAGGAGACCCACTGAAATTAATGGGCCTAACTTAGTTATGTCCATTAGTTTCAATGGATCTGTTCTGTGTAAAACTTAGTTGAATGCCACACAGTATATTTTAGCCCTTGAAACCATAGTTTAGTCCCGTTGTATTTCTCTCTCTCTCTCTCTCTCTCTCTCTCACACACACACACACACACACACACACACACCGCGGCCATCCTTGTGCTTGCTTTTTTAAAACTGGTATTGAAGAACATATCAAAATTACTGAAGTACATACAAAACAGTTCTTGCATGAAGGAGTGCCTCTCCTCATACATCAGCCATCGCTACATCAGGCTCTCTTAAGATCTTCAGAGGAGGCTCTTTTCTATGTTCCATTGCCGGTGCAAGTTATTAATGTTGTGGTGAGGAAGACAGCCTCTCTTTTGTGATGGCACCACAGCTGCGGAATGTTCTCCTCATAGAAGCATAACTGGTGCCAGTGTTGCACTAATTCTGGCTCCTAGTTATCTATCTACCCAGGCATCTTAATGTCTTATACTTGTGATTGTTGAAGTACTCTGCTGATTTGGCTGTCCCTGTTTCTTTCTATGTTATTTGCTTTGCTGCATAATTTTGGCCTGTCCCACTTTGTTCCATGTCCCTGTATAGCAAGCTGGCATCAGAATGAGCCAACATGGTGTCCTTCAGATGTTTATGGACCACACTGACACCATCCCTGATCACAGGCCTTGCCGCCTAAGGATGATGAGAGCTGGAGTCCAACAACACTTGTAGGGCACCATTTTGGGTACCCAGTGTATAGATGATGGTCAAGCTATAAATATTTTTAACAAAATGTAATAAATGAATTGTTAAGAAGACAGGATACAGCTATAATGAATATTAAAAAAAAATACATTGCTCTAATGCCAGTATGGTAAGGAAGAACTGACACACAGCTTTATAGGATTCTATTAGAGACCTCATAAACCAGTCAAATTTATTTTGTTTAACTTTCTAGTGAAGCCGTTTTCTCCCTCCAGTGTCAAAGCAGAAATTACAGGGGAAGCAGGACTGCTGAATGTGAGCTGGAAAAACCCAGAACTTCCAAAGAATGATCTCCAATTTCAGATTCGGTATGCTGTCAACGGAACAGAAATTGACTGGGAGGTATGGCCACACTTAATCTTTTTATATATATATAATATTTTTTATTAATTTTAACATATGAATTATAATACATACCATAAAACTTCACCACTTGTACAGTCTTTTTATGGACTCCCATCAGCACCTCTGATGATTCCCCGTTTTGACCACTTCTTATGCATCTCTTAAATTCATTATTGCCTTCAATTATCTTAACTAATCATCCTCCCCTTTATCCATTTTTGCAATAATTCCAATAATTCACCTCAAAAAACTTCTTGCAAACCTACAAACGTAGTTTGATCATCACTATTACTTTTCAAATAGTCTGTAAATTTACACCAGTATTCTGTGAATTTCTGGTCCCACAGATTTCGAATCCTTCCTGTTAGTTTGTCTAATTCTGCATAGTCCATTAATTTCATCCTCCATTCTTCTTTCGTCGGTAATTCTTCTTGCTTCCATTTTTGTGCCAATAATATTCTTGCTGCCGTCGTTGCATATAAAAACAGTTTACATTCTATTCTATTTATATTACTTCCTACTGGCCAGACTTAATCTAAATTAGCCTGTGCATCATGAGATGCAAGGGTGCAATGGCGTTTTGCTGCTAGTTTGTAAAAATGTGTGGATTCCAGCATTTGGTTTGTCTAGCAAAATAAACATTTGTGACATGCCTATCTTCAGTAGATTAACTTTCATCCATTGTGTGTGAGGGAGGGGGAAATTGGGGTGTATTTTTCACGCCAATGAGATTTCCACTATATGATGGGTTATTTTCAATTATGAACAATTACAAACATAAAACTATATTTTAAAGTAAAATGTAATGAAAATATTGTAATCTTTCTTTAAAAAAACCCACAACTTTATTACAACTGAGAACCAGTGCTAATAGTTTTGTGGGGTGTTTTTCTAACTCCTGCTAGAAATTTGCCCTTGGTTAGACAAATATGGTTTGTGCCAATCTGTTGACACCCCATAAACTTCATGACCTTTCTTGACCTTCTTCTGCCTATTTGTCTATGAAAAAATGATGGGATGTTTTACTACACCAATCTGTTAACATTGGCTGGCTTAGTAAACACACACAAAAGACAAAATTCATTGCATTTCTGGTGCAGGGTTGGTTTTATTTTATTTTTTGCAGAAGGAAAATGGAAAGTGGTAACTGGCTGAAATTTGGGCACATTTTACAGGTGACAATTTGTGACAGTGTCCAGGGAGAACTGTTCTTCAGGTCAGCTTATGTGTGACTTGCACAATGAAAAATGCACTGGGGAGTGCTTTGGCCCCTACAAATTGGATGAAGATCTCGGCCTGTCACTCAGAAATGATTTTGTTTGTTACTAGTTTAAGCATCCTTTTTTGTTGCAGGTGCATGAGGTTTCTGATCCATTAGTTAGCTCTGCCAGCACAAAGGTGCAGGATCCCTGCGCAGTATACGTTGTTCAGGTGCGCTGCAGTGTGATTGATGGAGTGGGCTACTGGAGTAATTGGAGCAGACCCGCCTATACAGTTGTTAAGGATATCAAAGGTCAGTCAGCGTCTTACCTGTATGCTTTCAGTTTGTTGGGGTTGGTATTTTTTGTTTTTTACTAGATTTATAACCAGATAGGCTGTTGTTTGCTTCTTACTGTATTTCCCCCCCCTCAGCTCCCTTGAGAGGACCTGAATTCTGGAGAACCATTAATGAAGATTCAATAAGGAACCAGAAAAATGTTACTCTTTTTTGGAAGGTAAATCAATGGAGGAGGGTAAATGAGATATTTGAAATCTATTTCAGGTTTGTTTTTTTGTGCGATGTTCATGATATATATTGTGGGTGTTGGCTGGCTTTGAAAGATACCAGACCTAAGACACTGGTAATTTCTGTTAGCAAAACCAGTGAAACATAGGTTTACAATAGAGCTCTGTGACAGATCAGAATATGATGTTTGGTGTGGGGCAGGTGGTAATGGCTTGGAGAAAATGGCCTTGCAAGCCAAATTAGGATTGTTGCCTGTCTAATTAGGCTTGTACGTCAGAGCTTACCATGAAGATCATCCCATGATGATGACCCGCCACTCTAGGCTGACAGAAAGTTTCCCATTAGGCACAGGAAAAAGATCTCTAACAAAGAAAAGAGCCTCTTGAATCTCCAAGTGCCACCTTTTTAATAAACAGAAACATTTTCTCATGAAGAATGAGAGAATCTGTTTTTGGACATGGTCCAATCCCTGTTGGCCAAAGCTAGCAGGGGCCTGGCAAGTAAGAACTATTCATAGATTATTATTCAAAAGGGGAAATTGAATTAAGTTAATAGCATTTCAAGCACCCTTACTGCGCAGCCTGCCAGGATGTCAGACATTCCCTTAACAATTCACAGGTCACTCATATTTGTTAACATCACTTATCAAATAGGAAGAAAGGAGGATGATTTGGTAGGTGTCTGATTCTGAATGACAAGCATTAATTCACAAAGGAAAAGGCTGTTTAAAATCAGGTTTCTTATGTAAAATTTATTTCACCAATTAAAAACCCAAATATTTCTCTTTGTGCTACACTACACTTCATACTATAAAACCTAAGTTTGATTATTTTAAACCCAACATTGCTTGCCCGGCAAACTGTGTTAAATATTTTAATTTATATTTATTGGTATATAGAAGTAATCGAAGGTGGACTGTTATAGGCAGTTATGGACAGATGCATGGTAATTATTATAAACTGTAGCTTTTAGTCTTGCTAACATAAAAATGAGATACCAACCCTCAATTGCTCCTTAAAAAAACATACACCTCTGCCCAAACCAGCCTCAATCCACAATTGAACTGCCTAATGTATCTGAATTTTTCTTACAGCCACTGATGAAGAATCTTTCCTTATGCAGTGTGCTAGACTATGTGGTTGAGCATAATACTTCAGAAAACATTACTTGGTCTGACTATGTAGAAAATGATACTGCCTACACATTTTCATGGACAGAGGATGTACATGCCATTAAGGTTCTAGCTGTCAACTCAATTGGAACTTCCTCAGTCAATTTCATTTTAACTCTATCACAACAAATCAGCACAGGTAAGAAAAACATTTTTTTGATAGCTTCAAGTATTGTTAACTCAGTAATCTAGTTTATAATAAACCATTCTCATATTGTAATGTGTTCATGTTTAGATAAGTAGTTATTTGAGTGGTAAGGCCATGTTATTGCTCTTCTACCTATTTAATCATATGAGTTTCTGCTGCCAGCAGAAAATTAGGAGGCAGGGAAAGCCAGGCCACATGGTTCCTGCCATCTGGGCAGGAATTTGGGTTGGGGGTGGGGAATGCAACTTTCATCATGTGCCTCCACATGCCTAAAAAAGAAGGATCTTCATGGTGCTCCGGTTTCTTTTCTTGTGAGCTTTTCCAAATTTTTAACCTGCAGGCTAAAAGCAGCAGTTGCAATATACTTCACTCTTCTCTGATGAGTTCTCTCCTAATTTGTAAGGGACAATGTACCTGATGACCAACATGCTGTTTTCCTGTTTTGTCAGTAAACATTGTGAAGTCTCTCAGTGCCTACCCAGTGAACAGCAGTTGTGTCATTGTGTCCTGGACACTCTCGCCTGTGGCTTATATAATTACATCTTTTGTAATTGAATGGACAAACTTAAACGAAGAAGAGCAGATTAAATGGATTATGATTCCCTCAAATGTTAGGAAGTACCACATTTTGGGTGAGTTTGTACTTAAAAATCTATTACAGCTTCTCTTGTGTTTCAATATCTTCCCACCAGTACTTGATTATAGATAAAGATTTACTGCAAAACTGTAGAGGCTAGCAACTATTGTACATTTAACATAAATTCCAAAAGGTCTCCACAATAGCCTTTTATTTAACATTGGCGTACAGGTTTCCTTTCCTTTCCCTGTGATAAATGGTATACTTGGTTTCTTATAGTGCAATTTGCTCTGTTAGAAATGGTGTTTCCCAGCTCATCTTTGAAATTTATTGTGGATTATCCTTCTTAAGACAAGACTGATACAGTAACTGAATGGTCTCTGTGTGAGATGAACAGTTACAGAGGATTGTTATGTGTAGTGACTTCTTATTCTTTCCTAATTTCTAAAGGCTGTAAAGCAGGGATGGAGAACCCATGGCCCTGCAGATGTTGTTGGGTAACTGCTCCCACTATGCCTAAACAATGGACTTGCTGGATGGGAGGAACATATGAAGGAACACATTAACCCTAATGATAGAAATCAAGAGAGGTGCTCATCTTTCAGCGTTGCAAGGCCCACACTGTTTTACGGATTTTATAGATTAGGAATTGTTAAGAAGTTTTAGTATGCCCAAATTAAAAATGTGCTATGTTGTCTTTGTTCCAGATAATTTCATTCTTATTGAGAAATACAAATTTAGTTTGTTCCCAATAATTCCTGAAGGAGTAACAAAGCCCACAGTGACATATGGATTCTCCAAAGGTGAGCAACTGGCATTTTTAGTAGACTTTTCCTTCAGACCAAGATTTCTTGCTCTAACTTTTAATGAGAAAAAAAATCAGATAATACGTTGGGAATGGCATGGCACATCTCGAGTCTTGATTATGCCAGGAAAATTCAATAATTTTTAAATGAATAATCTTAATGATCTGTAAGCAATTCCAATCTCTCTACTTAAAGCATACATGAGCATTTCATTATTTTTACTTAATTGCATGGTTTCAAGAGAAGAGAAAGGGAAAGTCCCATTGCATGAGCAGAATGCCACTCACACAACATTGGATACAACTTTATATATCCAAGTCTCATTTAACTTTATGGAATAACAAATCAAGTTCAACTGTACGAGCTGATGCAAACAACCAAGTCTGCAATCTTATGGTCACTTAATTGGGAGTAAGGTTCATTCTGTAGGATTACATTGTAAATATTCTCTGTACTGATAGCTGTTTTAAACTGCTGGGTCTTATTTTCAGCTGGAAGTGAAAAACAGAATGATGTGAACTTCTATGTGATTCTACCCCTAGTTATTTCATGCTCCGTTTTGCTGCTTGGAGGTCTTTTGATCTTGCACCAAAGGTAAACCTTTCCTGTATTGAATCTGTTCGCAAGTTTAGATTGAGATGAATAATTTGAAAGGTGTTATAGATTAATCCCTGGAAAGGCAATTTCCAGTAGCAGACAGCAGGGGCGGGGGACGACGACAACAGTGGCACTTACTTGAGCTCCCGCAAGTGTGCCACTGCTGCTTACTGGGAAGGAGAGTGAAAGGAGCAAGGAAACAGGAACATCTGTGTTTTGCAAGAACATTGGCAGGTGTGCCGTAATGGCTATGCCATTAGGTAATTTTTGAAATTAGGTAATTTTTAAATTCAGTTGACATTTTTAAAGCATCTGTAGGTGCTATTGGTTTCAAGATGGCTTCTAAAAAGAATAAATCTTTATTTGTGAAATACGTATTCAGAGTGAAAAGTGATTATATCCTTCACTGTGCCAAATCAATATCTTATCGGCATATTTCAGAATGAAGAAATTATTCTGGGATGATGTTCCAAACCCCAAGAATTGCTCTTGGGCACAGGGAGTTAACTTCCAAAAGGTATGGATTCCCACTTAAATACATTTCAGTGATTTGTGAGCTTTATTTGCTTTTAACTAATTTATTTACTCATCAAGTTTTTTAACAACCCTGTAAATAATGGCCATGAATAAAGAAATGAAACTTAATCATGTGCCTGCTACTCTCATGCAAACTTAAATACTAGAATGAACGGGGCTTTCTGGAAATGAAAGCCAATGCCTACTATTAAATTGATGAAATTGGGTTCTACATGGGTTCCACAGGTCCACATCCAACAAAAAAATGCCCTAATCCAGGGATCTTTTATGTGAACTGGAGACTCTAGTGTATGGAAAACTGTTCTCCTTCAAGGCTTTCACGTCATCACAAGAAGCAACCTCTCATGCTCACAGAAATATGTGCATGGCTCTCCTCTCTCCTTTGAATATAATAAGGTAGCCCATGTGAAGAGAATATTCTGCATGCAGTTGGTGCATAGGAAGCTCTTAGAATGAGTCAGACCATTTCACTCAGTATCTAACTTCCCCCAGCTTGGTTCCCTTTCAGATGTTGTTCAACTCAATATCCCATCAGCCCCAGCCAGCATAGGCAATGGTTGGGAATGATAGGAGTCCAACAACATCTAGAGGGCACTAGGTTGGGGAAGGCTAGTTTATACTAACTGGTAGGAGCTTTCCAGGGTTTTCACAGTAACCTTTCCAAATCCTACTGGGAAATGCCAAGATTCAACCTAGGCCCTTCTGAATGCAAAGCAGGTGCATTCCCATAGTGAATGGGTACATTTCTATAGGATTTTGGTGCATTTATTGGTAAACTGGACTCTGCTAGTGCAGCTGTTGTAGCTTAAATGACAATGTTTACCATTAGATAATTTTACCTTGGAATCACAAATGTTATATTAAAAATTGAGATGGGCACAAGAAATATCCTAATGATCAAGGAGAATGCTTGCTTATTAGGTTTTTCCCCCATTATAAGTTATTTCAGTTTTCATTCCCAGTGAAATATTTATTTTCTCATCTTTATTGTTAATTTTATTTCATTTCATTTAAACAGAGAATGGACATTCTTTGAAGTCTAATCATGATCACTGCCCGCTGAACCAATGTGACAGCTCCCAGACTTCCTATACAGAGTTGTTAGAAGAATTATCTATTTGAATTCAGAAGACAGAATTACTTACATATCATTTCATTATTCTGCTGATTTTGTTCATACATAATAGTGCTGGAAATGATTTTGTTCAAAATTTGCACTACTGGTATACAATTTTGAGAACACTTTCTATATTTCAGACCAGGTAAAGGGTTTGCTGGGTTTAAAGGGAGCATACATATCAAGATAGAAGTTAGGAGGACATGCCACATTATGATTTAATAACATGGGAACAAGCCTACACTTGAGAGCAACCCTCGTCCCTTTCTTTCTCTTGCTTGGCTGGGAGGAGGAGTTTGGACACCTTTAGCTCAGCTTTTTGTTTATTGCAGTTTGTCATGTCATCCAGACCAGCAACTTTGGTTAACATGGGCTAAGTTTAGTTACAAACAAACTTACTTCAAACTGCAGTTTCTGAAGCAGGCTTGTTTAAACTAACCATAGTTGACGTTGATGACAAGTCCATAACTGAATGATATGGCAAACTGTTGCTGTTTGCTGGCATCCGTCTGGTGAAGCAAAATGGAAACTTCTGCCACACAGGAGCATATGAGCTCAAGAAGATGCTTGGCTTGTTCCTTAATCAACTGTAAGTGAGCATAATGTGTGAATGCAACCAATGTGTGCCATGCTATTCTCACTTTACTCCCCAAGACTCCTGTTAACCAGCCTTAACTGACATGAATGCATAGAGAGAACATCAGTAGTATATGGCTGACTAAATGAGGGGTGGCGTAATGGGAAGGGAACCTGATTTTGCATTTAAGCCTGATATTTCCCATCCTTGGTTTACAACAATAGCAACAGGAGTCCAGAATGCCATGGCCTTAGAAAGATCAATCTTTCTGCCATATTTCCATTTATTTATAAAAGGTCTTTTAAAATGCTTTGCTAGTTGAACCGACACTTCCCAGTATGTGCTGCTGCGTGTGTTGACCACCTAGAACGTGATTATTCTGTGGCGTCAATAGAGCTCTATGTATGTACAGTGGTACCTCGAGTTACAAATGCCTCAGGTTACAAATGCTTAAGGTTACAAACTCTGCTAACCTGGAAGTTACTTCAAGTTGAGAACTTTGCCCCACGATGAGAATGGAAATCATGTGCCGGCGGCGAAGCAGCAGCAAGAGGCCCCATTAGCGAAAGCACGCCTCTAGTTAAGAACAGTTTCAGGTTAAGAATGAACCTCCGGAACGAATTAAGTTTGTAACTAGATGTACCACTGTAGCTGAGTAGCATAGTCAGTAGAGGCACAGCCCTGAACTCCTCCCAGTTACTCTAATATTTCCTATAAATTGAACAGGAAGCAAGAAGAGACTGTCATGAATAAGTAACCACATCTAAAACAGTTTTATTCAGGAAGAAACCCTCTCTACTTAGTTTGATTAGTAAGAAAAGTACCCAATTACTCTGACATTATGGCTTTTAAACTTTCGACTGACTTTGAGGTTATCAGTTGGAATATGAAATAGGAACTTCCTTAGAAACTGAACTTCCAGTTCAAAGTCCTTCAAAATAGGGCACTCTGTGTTAATGAGAAGCTATTAGATTCTATGGGTCTGTGATCTTCTTTGTATGAAGAGACTTTTCTTAAAGACAAGAGATGCCTGACAACACTATTACGGAAGTACATGTGATTTCTGTTCATGTCCATCAGAGTACTGAATGTCACACAAGATATATGGAAAATCCCACTTGTTTGTTTAGCTATGCACATCTACTCCACTTTAATTTCATTTCATAGATGTATACATCTCCAAATTGCCTTTGAAATGAACATAATTCTTAAAACCTTCTTAATTCCCTGACTGGGTCCTCTGTGATTATGCATATTACAGTTTCTAGATAGTCTATTAAACTCATTTTTCTTTCTTTATTGTATTTACTTGACTATATCAATAGTGTATTAGCATTTTAAAAAGCAATGTCAATATATGTAACAGAGGATGAGTTCTGAAAGCAACAGGATTTTCCATGCCCTCCCTCCAATTTCTGTTTACCTCAGTGCACTTGGTGTAGAAGTTCAGTTTTAGAAGAAGCTCCTAAAAATATTGAACATGTTTGAACAAAAAGTTTATTATTGGAAACACTAAAGGGGCTATACTTCCTAGTGTAAGTATAGGACTTGTGTACAGGGCATTGTACCTATGGCTCAATGGAGGCCTTTTTCTACTTTCCCCTCTTGAAATGCCTGCAGAGGTGAGAACACAGGCATCACACCAGGGTATTGCAGGGGACAGGAGGTATTTGAACACCTACCAGCCAGCCATTCTTAATTACTTAGGCATGGGGAGCTGGGGATAGGGAGCAGGACGAGAGGGAAGACAGAGAAATAAGATTCTGCCCACACCAGAAAGGATGCCCTAAGGTAACATAGAAATACCAAAATGTAATTGAGATTTTCTACAAAAGAAAAATGCAACATAAACAAAGGGCATGCAGTAAAAATTAAATTAGTCATCTTCATTAACCTTAGTTGGTCTACTCTTGAGTAGGAGTAATGTTTCAGACAACCTCATGTCTACAGAATATTGAAAAACCATTATTTTTTGCAGCCACACTCCAATCCTTCAAAACTACCAAGTTACAGTTTCCCCAGTGAAGTCAGTGGGATCACTTTTTCATATCGTGAATACAAATAAATTGCATGTAGGACTTTAAGTGACTGTATTTTGCACTCTCTCGTTATCTTGCAGTTGAATCCAAACTAAATTTTATATGACAGCTACTGAAGTTATGAATGCTCCCTTTGTGTTACTATTCACAGGCTTAAATTGCTGTAAAAATGTTTTCCTGGCACTCCCATTTGATGCATATATTCAAGAGCAAATATTTAACAGCCAAATGCTTAAGCAATTTACTCTGCATTTAACTATTTTATCATTGTAGCATTGTGGGGTGTTTTTTTCCAGGAAACAGTACCTACAACATCTAACTCATATTAACTCATATTAATTCATATTCTAATTCATATTCATTCATGCTAACATATGGCTTATTTGATTTATGCAATCTGTGTCCTTGATTTGACCCTGTAGGTCAAGTATCAGAGAGCTGCATTAGAAAGCTGTAGTGGTAAACTCAAGCCCTATCACTGTGTGATCTGTGGGAGCCTCATACGTCTCTCTGTACAGAAAATCTCTATAGCACCCAAGGGACCCCTGTGTTATATAAGCAGTCTCTCTTCTCCTATTTTAGCTACTGCAATTTTTTGTATTTTGATAGTCATATAGATTTATAAGCCACTTTTCTTTAGTTTCTTCTCTGTTGGGCTTATAAAAACTGCCTACCTGAGCAGGGTAAGAGGAGAAGCTATGCACCTGGAATGCATAGCCTTATCCCATGACTCTAGAACTAGCCCTGGGTAGCTAGTAGGTAGGAAGGAAGCAAAATGGCATTACATTTTAATCAATATCTGATCAGAGTATGGGTTTAGTACCACTGGATACAAATTTGCAGGAAATGGTTTTGATTTTTCAAGAAGCCAGAATAATTCCCCATGCAGACTTAACAGATACCAGAAAACATCTCGTCAGAGTAGGAAGCAACTTGACCAGATATCAGGATACAGTAGCCTGTTAGGTATGGCACTTGACTAAATTCTTGAAGTTGATAAGGACTGGCTGCTCTTGATAAACACTTGTACCAATGACACATATATCCATCATTATTTCTACCGGATTGGAGAAGTAAGGGGTGCAGATAGACCGCATCATTTCTTCCATATACTATAGGCTATAAAACTTGTGAACCTTAATTACCCAGGCTGGATGGCTTTGGGTGGACTTTAATAATTTGCAGAGACTGTAATTGTTGACCACAGCCAATTTTACTTGTCAACTTGTGGGTTTTAAGTGCTGCAAAACTTTGCCCTCCCCATTATTCTCATAATTCCTCCTAAATGACATGAATGAAAAACTGGCTCAGAGCAATTGCTTTAACAAATTTTGAGGCCCTTTTCCCTGAAGTGGGTGGGTGCTCATTGTGCTAGTTGTATGAACCAGTTTGCTGCCAAAGTGCACTATAGCCCAGTCCTTCGAAGTGGAAATGGGTAGGAACTTTTTCCTACCAGTCTACTCCAAAGGCATAAATAGGGAGCAAGACTCAGGGCTTCAGCACTGCCAATGTAATGCATGCATACTTTCTCTTCATTGACAAGAATGAAAATCTGGTTCAGAACAATTATGTTTCCCTTTGTTACATAAGCTCATCAGAGACTGACCTGAAATGGAACCTTCAGTATTATTCAAACTCCAATGGTATCATAAATGTAAATGTGTTACAAATTTCTGGCACTAATCTCTCTTTTGTTATAATGCTTATGCACACTACTTAAAATAAAGCATACAACTTCATGAAATGTGAATGCCATTACATTCATCAGGCTTTTAAAGTTGTGCCAAATTAAGAATAATAAAATTGAAGTGTTTAATGTATTTCCTTTTCCCCACCTTTCTTTTCTGTTCATTTCAAGTCATTAATTAATAAATGAGCATTAAAATGTATCTTGTCTTCTAGCCTGAAACCTTTGAACATCTCTTTCTCAAGCATCCTGAAGCACTGTCATTTGGTCCTCTTCTTCTGGAGTCAGAAATAGTGTTGGAAGATATCAGTATTGAGAAAGCAATGAAAGACGAAGACAAACAAGACTTACTAGCTATTGACTCTCTGTTTGCAACCACACAAGACTTGGAGCATGACTCAGCTTGCTCTAGTGGCCATTTCAATAGTGATAGTGTCTCTGAGAATGTCCATGATGCTGAAACCCGTGGTGGAATGACAGGACAATCTAATATAAAATATGCGACTATTTTAACCAACTCCATGTCAAGTGGGCTTTATGAGCCATCAAAGGATCTAAGCAGTTCTTTTGTAAGAGGTTTTGTAGGCCATGATTCCTTAGTTCCAACATCTTTCTCTGGCGGTTCTTGGGCAATGGGAAATCAGTCATTTCTGCTATTGCCTGATTGCGATGAACACCTGTCCCCCCAAAAGCTCTCTCTTTCTGTTGTTTCTTCTGAGGGCTTCTCAGAACCTTCAGAGCAGGGTAGAACTTTCAGTGAGGAAGACAGTCCAAAGAGAAGCATGTTCTACTTAGGAATGAGCTCACTCAAAAGTGAAAATGACATCTTTTTAACAGAAAGTTCCAATGGGGTTTGTCACTTTCACACCAATGCTCTAGCTGGAGGCATGAAGTTTCCTCAAGATATAACCAGTGATCTAAATCCCTTTATCAACAAGTGTGAAACCCCTGTTCAAGCTTTCATACCATACATGCCACAGTTCCAGACAACGGCAATTAAATTGCATGAGACAGCCAGTGGTAAAGTCTAAGCTGCCACCTATTGAAGTGTGCTCTTGATGTACTCTTGATTAAGGCCTCTTTTCTCTCCTCGTGATTCACATTTTTCCGCAATGAACAGACCCATATTTATTTATTTTTTTAACTCGTAGCCCACATATTTTATTCAACGTTGCACTTCTGTTGCAAGAATATTGCATTTTCTCCAGGTATAACAACGAAACAGCATTAGGTACCTGGCAAAATGTGTTTGCTGCCCTCCCCCTGGCTGATAATTCCATTGTAACTTTTATGTGAAATGTGGCTGAATCCAAATCTTTTGGATGCCATAGTGGCCTTACTAAATTCAAAAGGAACAAATCCTTTCCTCCCCTGTCCCCCATCTGCTCCATGACTGCATCATTCTGAGAACTTTCAAAACCAGAAAAGGACTCTCTTGCTGTATGGCGCTACTGCAAAAACAAACAAACAAACAAACAAAAAACCCTTCAAAAAAAAACAACAAACCTCACTGAGCCTTGTATTATATCACCCCATATTCCCCCCACCATTTTATGAACATTTAAAAGACAGTTTAATGTGTGTGCTTTTCCCTATTCACATTTTTAGAAACTTGGGAGAGAAGAGAAAGCCTATCTGTTATCGGAAAGGCAGATACATGCACTCGCACACAGCATGTGTTATGTGGGAGCATATAGTGAGCAACTGAAACTGGATGGGTGACTGGGAGCATGGGGAATAAAGTGAGGGCTGGATACTGCTTGATCTAGTGAAGAGACCCTTAAAATGTCCACCTATATTAGATATATTGATTTATACTGAGTGTAGGGTGTTTTATGTTATTTTTAGTACCAAACTAAGTGCTTTGCTGCATAGTAGACTCAGAACTTACCCACTCTTCTGCTTGTCCTGTGGCTAGAAAACAAGGTTCCGAACAGCTTTTTGGTTGTCCTGTGCTTTCTAAACATAGGTCTAAGCGGTTTTGCCTTTGCTCCACCACCTCCCCCTGGAAAACACACTCTGCAGCTATAAACTGGAACAAACAGCAATTTGTGGAAAACTCAATTGCCATTGGCTCCAAATCAGCACTAAACCATGGGCTTTTCTGGGGAAAAACAGCCAGGCAAATGCCAGTTGTCCTGAAACACATTATCTGCAAAGCAACTAGTAATAGCTCTCCTCCAAAGAGCACTGTTGTCAAAGGTATTTTCATACAATTTTCTAGCCAGGACTTTAATAGAAGGTGGCAGGGACAGCCCAGACTGTTTTGCCACCTGAAGCAAAAAGGGGAGGTGCCACCTCATTTGGCAGCTGCCACCCCTGCTGCGCGTCCTCAAAGTCGGAGTCACGGGGCTTACCCTTTGGCTGCGTCAGCTTCCAGCAGTGAGGAGAGGTGGTAGTGGCTTCTCCTCACTTCTATGCTGGGAGGCGACTGCGGTGGCATCAGAGGAGACGCGGCAGCAGCAGTGAGATCTGGCCAACTCCACTGCCACTGCTTCTCCAGCAGTGGGGGGGGGAGCACACAGTGTCAGGGGGTGCTGCCTAAGGCATCTGCCTCCGTTTGCCTCATGGGTGGGCCAGCCTGGAACATGTGAAAAAAATGTTGAATAGGTATGGGGTGTGTGTGTGTGTGTGTGTGTGTGTGTGTGTGTGCTGTCTTAAACAACTAGATGTGGCATTGTGCAAGCTTATTCCTAATATCTAATCTCTCAACACTAAAGCTTGTCCTGTCATTTGGGATCAGTGCCAGTCTGTTAACATGGATATGCTTGAGCAACACCTGTAATCATGATGATTCGGACCACATTGCATGGAGGGGATGCCTGAAGAGTATATGAGTACCAACACTTGCATATGCCCAGTCTCTGATTAAAATCTTCAAAGATTTTTTTCATCCATTTACCCAGTGTAACAGGGACAGGGCTATCAAGTTCTAATGTTGTTTTGTTTTTTAAGTGGATTTGTCAGTGAGTAAGATACTGTTGCCCTCAGCAATGGATCTTAAAACACCAGCATGCCTTCCTTCATAATTTGGATAGAAAACTGACAGTGCAAACCTAAGTTTGTGTGTGCTCAGAGGTTAAGTCTCAGTGTGCCCAATGAGACTCACTCACTAGTAATGAGTTTAGAATTGGAGCTGATACAAAGGTAGCATAGGCTGTGTTCCAATTCCAATGTTGCTCTTCAGCAGAGAATTGTAGAGAAGTGATGCATCTCTGTCCACAAAAAGCAGGGTGGGAACAAATGCTCTAGGTATTGTTCTAGGTGGGCAGATAACTCATTGGAATTGGCTTAGAAGAGCCATGCTTCTTCCATGGATTTTGGTGGACTGAATTGGTTTAACAAATGTCCAGGTCTCCAATATCCCAGGTCAACAGGGGTTTTGAAAGCTTTCATTTGGTTGTGGCAAGTCACACTTTTGCCACAACCACAAAAGTGTTCCCACTTTCCAAAACAGCTGAAAAAACCATTTTTGACAGCACTGTGACAGCACTGTGAACAGGCATTCAAAGAGATAGCAAATTTATTGACTTTTACCATAGCTACCCCAACCAGTCATCATTTGTGTGTGTGTTTTTAAATATATATTTAATTAATTGATGCTAGCAACCCTAGTCCATTTCAAAGATTCTGGTAACAGGACCAAGCCACAGCTTTCCTAGTAAGAAAAAGCAATAATTTGTAACTATTTCACCATTCAGCTTAACTTTAGGTATCAAAAGCACTGCAGACTGAAATCTATTACATAATTTCTGAAGCTGAACCCACAGTTGCTACCTGTCTAATGAATGTACAGTACATGGAACAAAATCAGCCCTGGAGGAATTGTGTGTTTGGTTTTATCAGTGGCCTGCTGTTTTATTTGAATGTATGGGAAAACTCTTGTTGGTTTTGTAAGCAAGAAGCATTACCACGATGAGTTACCAAGGCAAAACAAAAAAACACTCAGCTCTTTCACCATAGCTCTAATCTTGATTAGCACCTTAACTTTTCTATTTGCTGTGCCTCTGAACTCTGAATGCTGTGCCTTACTGTTTGTTCATACTGCTTAGCTAATTGTCGTACTTTGAAATTCAGGTTAGGAGGATGTAGTGACCCACTTCTAAAGTATACACACAATTCTAGGCAAAATCACGGGTAGTTGCTGCTCTTTAAGTACAGTAGTTATAAAAAAGAGGTTCATGTTTTTAACTGCAACCAACGAAGAGAAATTTCCCAAGTTTTCAGGAGCTTTATTCTTTGTCTTAGTTTCAGTGACATAGACAAGCAGAGTGCATATATATACTATCTAGAATTGCTATTAAAATCTCAAAATGACATTCAGTCTTGCACTCCTATAAACTCCTATAAAAGAGGCAACATCTGCATATTCTGCATCTACCATCTGCTCTGTTCTATCTATGCCCCAGCCTAATCTTTAGTAATTACTGTAGCTAACGCTAATGATGCCTAGGAATAAGGCCTTCGACAGTGAAGATTAGAAGCCTGGGCAACTCTTATATAATGCTTCGTTTTACGATTGCTTTTTGTGATTCTTCAATCTATGGTCTGTTTTCTCAGTATTTCCATTACTTCAGAGCACTGTAATGAGACTTGTAAAATCTCAGTGTTCAAATTGCCTGGAGAGCAGTGGAGGTGAATAACAAAATACAGCCTCAGCAGTCGGAATTGCCCTGCGACATTCAAGAGGACATGAAAATAAACAGTTCCAATAAATATGAATACTTTTTACCTTCATGGACCAATATAAAAAGACAAGGAATTTGCATCATGCAAGTTTTTATCATTATCCCAGTCCACTTATTGTACAATATCTGGAAATTCTAAGAACTAGAATGTATGTAGGTCACCAGTAAAATGTTCCTCTAGGTCCCAAGAGGGAGATATGATTAGGTAGGCAGAACCAAATTTGCTTTGGCTGATGTACAGGTATTGATGCTCACAGTAAATTTGGTCAAGATGCACAGCTTTTTGCCCAAATTCTTTCCTGTTATGTAAACACTGGATATATGATTAGAAGTGAACAGGTCCTCCCTTGATATTCCCCCGTTTATCCACACAAAGATGAAAAAGACACCGGAGGGGTGGGGTTGGGAAATTTTAAGCATTACACTGATGCTATTTCTACTTTACACTGTTCTGTCAAAATATAAGGGTCTATGTTTTATGTTCATGTCATTGATTCATTTAGCCCAGGGCCGCCTATACTGGCAGGCAGCACCTTTCATGGTTTTGAGCAAAAGCCTTTATTGATCTGTTACATGAAGCTGTTTTAGCCAGGCTATGCTAGGAATAGAAAACGAGGCCTTATACACAATCCCAGCACTGGTCCTTTCTCATTGTAAACAGAACATCACTGGTGGTTTCTCCATAGCACTATTCCCCCTCCCCGCAACTAAGTTTAGGGAAAATGTTTGGGTTCTAGATAATAGGAAGAATGCAAAGATATCCATGATAAAGTCCTGTCCTGAAAAAGCAGAGGACATCCTGACCCAAAGACAATCACTTGCAGTCTTTGTATGCTACCTCCTCACCCCCCACCCCCAATACTCTCATGTTTCTGGTTACTGCTCTTGCATGCACTACATGTTGCACTCGATGTCATAAAGACAATTGCAGGTACTCAGGCAACCGAAATTGGCCCACTTCCCAGCACAATGCTGATTTATTAAACTGCAATGGCCTTAGGGTGCTTTTGCATTTCCTAGGTACAGGACTAATCAAGCAGCAGCTCAGTGCTTTGGTTGACACGGTAGTATCTGCGATCTGGTAAGAGTCAGAGCATTACATGGATAGGTGAAGCGTAACCACCATAGGTGAACCACTTTGGTAACCACCATAGGTGAAGCATAGTTTCCACCCCGTCCTCAGTGGAAGTGAGCTGGGAGAAGGAGTGCCCTCACCCATAGCTAATAGCCATAGCTGGTTTGTTTTAGTCAATGACAGCTATTTCCTCATCAGGTACCTCTGCTCTGTGCATCACCCTTGCTTACTGCATACCATTGTGGATTGCTCTAGCAGCAGAATTGGTAAGAGGATGGTTCGTACATTTTGCTGTCAAAATGCTCCCAGTTGCTGTCAAAATGATCCTAGCTCCTACAACCTGCTAAATGCCGCACTGGGAGCAAAGCCCATGCAGGTCTATCTATACAGGTATTTAGAAATGATCATTATTATCCTTTGATTCTTACTCTTGTCATTTAAATTGGTGGAACACTGGCCCTGGAGAGCAACATATGAATAGCTTCCCAGTACTTTCAACAACAGTGTGTGTGATGCGCACATTGTGTAGCAGATATTTATTAGAGGAGTGATATGTTTATATGAACGTGGAGCATAGCTTACAACACTTTTTCAGGTGAAAAAGTAGTAAGCTGTATTAATTAACTCTGATTATTGACATTACTTATAAAACCTGAAATAGCAGGCCTGTTCACTACCACATGGTGCTGTAGGAACAGAGGGATGTGACGGGAAAGTCAGAAGGAGTAACATACCTTCTGTTGACAAGGAGAACCCCATCAGAATTAGTGGCTCCTGCCCACAGACTCTATAGCATAGTGCATGCTGACACATGTTATTGGGTAGTACTGTGCCCAAATTGCACATAAACCTGCACTTATAGCTTTTGTTCAGGAAGAATCCAGGACAGGTGCTAATGGTAGTTTTTAACCAACACCTTCCTATCAATATACCTCAGCCACTGCTAAGTGCAAAACAGGGTTGATTCTTACAACTTTGGTAGTATAGTTGTAAGTTTTGCTGAGTGATAAATTATTTATCCAGGTTACACTTGAATACACATCCAGGTGGAACATCCATACATCCATGAGTCATTTCTGTTAACCTTCAAGAAAATAACTCAGATTGAATTCACATATGCTATTCACTATTACGGGTCATTTGCAGCTAGATATGATTATATGATAGATAATCTAACTATATTTTTCAAATTGTGGCCTGTGAGTGGCATAAGTAACAAGTACCACGTTGCTTTTGTACGTCTGTAGAATTATGGTTTGTTAACCTCTCACGCCATTCTGTCTGACTATCCTTGGTATTTGAGTGTAAAAATGTTCTGGGTTTTTGTTCCTGCCGAAACTGTGGCTTGAATTGGGCTTTGAAACACGATTTCTTAGTTGTGGGGTATCTCTTGAGCTCATGCTTTAAAATACTTGCCAGAGTACTTTTGTATTTATTTTTGTGAATAAAATGTTTACTGTTGAGGTTGTATTTTAATAACATCCTTGTACTCTTCTGTGTGTAGAATCTTTGTTTAACTTTTGGGACGCAAAGCGTCTGGAGAGTTGCAAAACGGAGCCCAGTGAAGAAATTCAGTGACCACAATATGGGGCAAGAGCAGTGATGCCCAAGCGTGCAGCAATTAGAAGGTTTCAAGCGGCTACATATTTACGATCTTATGTAGAACATATTTACATATTTTTGCCACATGTCACTTGCCTTTCGGTGAACCCCACATCCACCAACAGCACAATGGTGACATTCCCAATACACTTATAGTAGTTGATCAGACATTTCTAAGACAGGACGTTTGCTGCATAGTATCAGATTCTAATGCTTCTGTTACCATGGGTTACCCAGTGGTAGCAGAGAGCAACAGCTATAGAATGCAACTGACTAAAGACATTGGGAGCAATCCAGAGAACATTTACCTTCTTAAATGCCACTGAAATCCTCAACTCTTTGAATTGATGGGGAACCTCAGATCTGGGTGCCAAGTTGGCCCTCTGATCCTCTCCATCTTACCTTCAGAACTCACGCCAGGCTACATTCATTTTCATGCATCCTTTTTGGGTGTTTGTGTCTGGCTGGCATGTTGCCCATAATTCTGATAATGCTTTACAGAGGTGGGTATGTGAGTGTGTGTAGAAATTAGCGTACTTTGCCAAGCTAAAATTCACATTACTTGCTCTATCCACTTTCTCTCTCTCACCCTACTCACCACTGGCATGTGCCTGCCCCCCACCCCTGCCATATTGCCCAGAAATCAACAAAAATACTGGCTGGAAAATGCTTCCCTATCCCTCCACTAGAGCTGTTAATTGAGTGCATAAGGCCCCTTGATTTGAGATAAATTCATATGCACCTGTTTTTCATTAGCTCTAGCCTCTTTTCCAACACCATAAGGTAAATGCAAGCTCAGAATGCATTAGGGTTATATTCCAGCAATTATACGTGTTCTTTAATTAAAGGTGTGTTCCCAAAAGGAGAGGAACAGCTTCAGCCTCTTTTAGAGCTCGCAAAAGCCAGGCGATCAGGTGAAGTCTTTCTTCACTCAGGCAGAGCTGCGGCATGAGAAGCTGCACACCTGAGAAATGTGAACTTCTTTTTAGTGCCCTAGTTTAAAAAACCTTCACAAAAAACAGAAACAGAAAGGCTACCTCTTTTCAAACAATGTCACTTAGCAACTTAGCTTTAAAGGTTAAAATATCATCCAAATATCTGCAGAAAGAGTGGGTGGTTCATCCTGCCTTGACAGCAAAACTCCCACCCATGGTTCCAGCTCTCAGTTGCGAGAAAGATGATGACAAATTTAACAATCTGAGTGCTTTTGTTTTATAGCAGCAAACCCATTCTCTGTATAACGAATTACAAGAAAACCTCAGCACTTTTCGAATGAATGGAAAAGCAAATAAAAAGCCAAACTGAAATGGTTAATAATGATTTGAAATGGATGTTCAGATTACCTTTTGAAGAAGGCAGAGTCTTCTTTCCTTAATGCTTGAGTCCTGCAAATAATGACAAGTAGGCCTGTCAGTCAACAAAGATACCTGTGGGATTTTCTGCCTCAGGTGCTAAAATAACATGGCTGTTGTTAGATACTGTGCCCACTGGCTTGCAGGGGAGGGATTTCCACTTGCTTTTCCTCCTTAGGTAATCACACATATATGTTTGGTGACTGCAGCGTTTAGTGGTGGGCTGCATATACAACACTACCAGCACAAATAAAACTCCACCAACAGCCCTTTGGGCGAACTCTCAGGCAGATCACTTTTCAGCAGAAGGTTCATACACATTTGGCTACTTAATGAGGAAGTGATGAGACATTTAGTGATGTACACACATCTATTAAGATCAGTGTACTGTACCTGACAATATGCTAAGAGGTACTACTAAGCATTAAAATCAATATGTGTGCAGCTTGTCCAGAGCCACTAATTGTTCCACTCAGTTGTGTGCAACTAGAGCTGTATGAGACTCAGGGTCTCCAAATCCTGATTTCATAAACAACTGTTTTCACCCAAATCTATATGCATAAAAATAAAGGACAGCCAATTTTCTTTCCAGACTGATTCTTTGCATCTAACCCTCCCCCCCTCAAAGAAGTTTCTATTTGTGTAAAAACTATGGATATCAGGATGAAACCTCCTGTGTGCTGCTGCCAACATGATCACATTTTGCAGGTCGTGCTGCTATAGTTGTGCCACTAAATAGTTCAGGGTCAGGACCTCCCTCACTGGCACACCATGTGTTCATGCATTTTGTCTTCCGCAGCTCAACATAGCAGAGGCCAAAAGCATTAACAGAGCCATCAGTGTTATTTATCCGAGAAATGGCTTCAAAAAGAGTGGTCTAATGTTGACTGCTTTCTGTGAAGGACATTTCAGGATTTTTATTCTGATGCTTCATTTGCACCCTTTTGGTACCTTTTCTGCACCCACGGCTGGAAAGAGCTTATTGGGTAGAGAACATTTGTGCCCTCACCCTCAGGGCCATGCAAAGCTGGTAACAGGCCAGATGGGAAATAAAGGCCCCATTTCTGCTTTTACTTATCTATATTTTATCTTGTATTAATGTTTTATGTATCTTCTTTAAAATATTAATATGTTGTGTTAAAGGATCCCCCTTGACTCTCTTTACAATATCCTACCAGAGGGACTCAGAGTAGGCCTCCTGAAAATCATAGGCCCATGCCAATTGGCTCCCCTACCCGCTGCCTCTGTTCGGGCCTGCTCACCCCCATGCCCTTTCAAAAGGCTTCATTGGGTTTTGTTTCAGGCACCATGCAAAACCTGATACTATATTTGGGGGGGTCAGAAGCAGCGAAATCTCACCAGCTTAGTTAGATAGACTAGCTGGCATGGTTACTTCAACCACCCCCTGCTACAATATATGCTTTTAACTCTCTTTATGGTATCTTAATGCATAATTAGTAAAACTGACAGGTGACAGAACTCAGGTTTGCTTGGTCATTACACAGTCTGTCATGTACTCACAAGAAGGAAGGTTTTCCGGTTCATTCAATAGTGAGGAAAAACAATATGAACATGACTCTGTATTTTTCCCTCATATGTTTTGAAGCTAAGCCCTGGACATTGAAAACAATTTCTGAGAATTAGCCCCTTGGCTCAAGGCTAAGCCATGTTTTTTTTTCCTGGTAAGACACTGAAATGAATTTACACTTGAAGTGACTCATTACATTCAAAATTGAAATGCAGTTATGAAGTAGGGATGAAGTAAAAGATTAGCACCTTGATGGGAGATTCTGGTTTGGAAGTATCTTAATTTCCCAGAGCTTTGTTATGAATGCAAGGTTTTACATGAGCAGCAGTTATAAGTCTTCTATTGTTTGTCCATGTGCAAATACAGCAAGGGGCACATTTATGTGTGTGTGTGCACCCTCCTCCCTAAACATGATGTAACATGACTACATCCTCAAAGGTGTACTCCTCCATTGTCTCCCAAGACAGACAGATGCCACCAACAACCAGGGCAAGTTTGTATGTAGATTATGGACAATTCCTGTGATTGTTTCATGCCTTTCTTGAACTGGAAGGATTTCAGCAATCTATGTACATGTCTCTCCCCCACCCACCATCACAATGCACACTTAGTGGTGGTGTGGCACATGGTTTCTCTGTCCTTGCATACACACAGACCATGAACTGCCTTGAAGGCCTATTGACCCAGTTGGGTTGTCCTGGGATGCTAACCTCCAAGCTCATTAAAAACCTCTGGCTTCCTTACATATTTCAGGAGCAAGTATATGTTTCAAAGGAGCCAAGTGGGAATTGTCAGTCCCTGCCAAGATCAGTGGTTCTTGACTCTTTATCAATTCTTGGCACAAAGAATAATAATAAAGCTCTTTCAAACCATAACATAGTGGTTAGTTTTAGAGGGCAAAGTTCACAGAGACTTGCAAACAACCCGACATGGTGAAAAGGGGTGTGTGCCAAAGATAATTTTCAGACATTACAGAAGCAATGCCAGCTAGATGTGCAGTTTCTCAAACACAAACCAGCAGTGCCTATTTGTAAGATCTGAAGTGAAACTTGCAGGAAGATACATGACTGCTGTAGATGTGCGTCTCCTGCCATGCCAAGAGACAAAATATCTGCACTTGAGCTTTATTGGGCTCATCTGCGCTGAATGAGATCATTTGAATGTTAGAGAAAAACACCACCCAGTTGTATTTTACATCTCCAGACACTCTTTCCAGTGATCCGCTTACATGTCAAGAGGCCACATGTGAAGACCTTACTGTGAAAGTCAGCCTCCTGCCAGATTCAGTACATTCTCTGAACCTTTTATTGAAAGATTCGGGACAGACAAATTCATGGCTTTGTTCTATCTCCATTCTCGAAGATACGCTTCTGAATACCAGTGGCTGGAAGCCTCAGGACAGTGCTGTTGAATTCAGGTCCTGCTTCCTGGATTCCCATAGGTGTCTGGTTGGCCACTGTGAGAACAGGATGCTGGACTAAGATGGGCCACTGGGCTGATCCAGCAGGCTCTTCTTATATTCTGAATGTCATCCAGATTTAGTGCACAGTTAAACCATAGAATTCACTGCCACAAGATGCAGTGAGAGCCACCAACTTAAATGGCTTTTAGAAGAGCTTAGATAAATTCATAGAGGATAAAGAAATCAGTGACTGCAATAGTTATATAATGTCTCTGAGGCAGTGGGCCTCTGAATACCAGTTGCAGGGAAATGCAAACAACAGAGGGCTTTTGCATTCATGCCCTGTTTGTGGGCTTCCCATAGCCTTTCCCACTTGGCCACAACGGAAACAGAATTCTGGACTAATTGGACCTTTGTTCTGATCCAACAGAGATCCTATAGTCTTATGTTCAACTACATAGGCTACAAAAAGTACCTAGTTGATGGTGTGTATTTTAACTTTCTCTTCTGGCATGTGTGCTGTTCCTTTGGCCATTCCTTGCTCCCCCCCCCCAAGTTCTTTAAAGAAGTGGTGACATTTCTGTAATGGCATAGCTCATACTAACAGCAGATATTAGATACAGTGCTCAGGACAAAAAGCAAAATGTGCTTTATCTCTTAGCGGGAGCTTTACATTCTTTTTAAAAAGAATACCTTGGCCAAATGATATAAGGCTTCCTTCCAATACAAAAGTCACTTAAGAATTTTTTTTTAATCTGAAGTAGCATTTATCTTGCCTCTGAATTTCAAACTAAAAAGCTTCTCTCCCCCTCCCTGCTATGCTCAAAGGCTTATGCTGCAGTAGCCTGCCATCTTGTGGACTCTAAAGCAAGTTTGAATTTCTACTTGCCTTCAGTTAGTAAGGAAACCCATTATATTTAGATGATAATGGAAACAACTTCAGTTTTTTAAATAATGCACAGGAAAAACAGAATTAATGTTTGTGTGAAACTACAGTATGTGCACTGATTATGGCTGCAATCCTGTACCCACTTACCTGGATAAGCCCCATGAACTCCATGAACGTATTTCTGCATAGACATGTATTGGACTGCAGTGTTGGGCATCCCTATTAGTGAGTTGTAGACTACAGCAGAGAACTTGCATATCATAATGTTCCTTCAAACACACAAATGGTATATATTTTTAAATCCCTAAACACACACATATACACACACACACAAAGATAAAGGTTTTAGCCCAGCTGGTTTTCTATTTAAAGGATTGTTTTTGTGGGGGGTGGGGGGGAATGTCCCACAGAACTGGTACAGTTGAGACACAGGTTTACAACTGGGAGAAAACGAGGCTTTAATTTTCTAAAGAACATAAATATCTTAAGGCACAATACTATGCATGTTTACTCAGAATTCAATGTGGCTTACTCCCAAAATATAGGATTATACCCTTAATAGTCTGTTTTCAAGAAAAAGTTACCTTCCATAGAGATTACAGTTTGTCTTCCTCCCTTCGTTTTGTTTGTTTGTTTGTTTGTTTTGTAGGCGGTATCCCTTAGGGCTATAGTGCTGAGCATTCATAGTTGGAAGTAAGTAGTTTTTAAAATCATGCAGTTTGCTTAAAGAGTATGCATTGTCAGAACAGGTCTACTAGCCTGTGACGTTTTATGGAACTATTCATAATATTTTCAGGTATGCTTTTGTAAGCAAATTGTAAGCAAAACCGGTATACTATTATTAGGTCACATACATATACAGTAAAGTATATGCCTAGCCAGCTAAAATCAGTAGGCTGGCAAGCTTGAGTCGGTACTAAATGTTCATATTTAAACTTTTATTTACTCCAGTGGAAAGTTGCATACATGCACAGGGTGGCCACATGCATATCCCTCAAACATCCAATTTTAAGTGAGACACCCCAGAATTACAGAAGCCATCCTGACTTCTGATTCTATCCCAGAATGTCCTGTTTTTGGTCCAACCCATCGCTTGAGTGATCTGGCTGCTGCGAGAGCTCAGGGACAAAAAACAAGCATCCCTATTTTGATCAGTTGGAGGATATGTACATGTATCACAAAAAAGGGAAAAGGAATGGAAAACACCACCCACAAAAGGTCAAAAGATGCATACATGAAAAGCATAAAGGGGCACAAATAATGAGAGATTTCATCCCAGGCCTGCTTAAGCAATATGTAATATACTCTATCTGGCATTTCATATTTACGTGGTTAAGTAGAGCTCACATAAAATGTGTGCACGAATATAATACAGAGAAGGAGACTTCAGAGGGAGGAAGAGAGCAATTATTATAAAATGATACTTCATGTAGGTTCCCTTCATTAAAATAGTGTTAGGATGAGATAGGAAGCATGTTGCAAGTAGTTGGAGTATCAAACTTCAAACTGGGTGAACCTGGACTACCTCATCTAAATAGAAGGCGAGCAGAGAACCCTCACATAATATTCATCCATCACCATCACCTCTGCTATTATTATTATTATAGCTCCCAAAGTTTATTAAGAACATAGAAAATTGCCTTATACTGAGTCAGATCTATCTCATTGTTGCTGACACTGATTGGCAGCAGCTCTCCAGGGTTTCAGTCAGGGGACATTTCCAGCCCACATACCAAGAACACGGCAGCATTTCTTGAACAACCAGCCCTGTGAAGTCTCAGCCTAGATTAGTAATTTGTTTTGTAACCCACTCATATACGCCTCAAAATGTAAGAAGGCTTAGTATCAACACTTACCCAGCCTCCTCCTCTGCGTCAACTGCTGAAAGCAGCTCCTCGGGAAACCTTGATCTGCCTGACTCATTAACCTGCTTTTAATTTCCATAGGAAGACACTATTGCGAAAGACCAGCCCAGATCAAATACTCCACTATTCAGAAGGCATCAAAATGTCTTTGTGATGAGTGATACTTAGGAAGATGCTTTATGCTGAGTCACATCACTGGTCCATCTACCTCAGTACTGTGCATGTTGACTAACAGGACTCTTGACTGGAACGTACCTGGACATGATGGGGATTAAACTTAGGACTTTTTGCATGCAAAGTACATGCACTACTGCTTGAAGGCAGAAAGGCTGAAGGCTCAATTTTGCTAGACGTTCGTTCTTGATAGCAACCCCAGTGGTGAAGAGCCTGGTTCATCTTTCAAGTATGAAAGACAGAAGGGCTCTGTAAGAGAGAGGAGGAGGAGGCAGAACAAAATTACCGGTGAATGTCTTACGTACTTGTTGCGAGAGTCAGTGTGCCTTGATGTTATGATTCATCTCAAATTATAAAGTGACTATTGCTCAGTAACACAAGCCAAGGTTCTCAAAGTGAATGGCTCTATATGGCCAGCATAGGCCACTTCTTGATACCTGCCATGAATCCGAGTGCCCATGACTCACTATGTGGAGGCTCCTTAATAAATAACTTGATGTGTCTGCACAGTTCCTTGAGGGAAAGGGAGATTTATGCCCTAATTTTCCCACTGCATTGTGACAAGGGCAACTTCCACAGGGTTCAGTCTGCTCTGGCAATATTGGCAGTGGAAGTAACAAGATCAGCCATCCAACCCATGTGATTCACGGATGAGACCACATCATGCATTTGTTTGAACATAATGCTAAACCACAATTTAGTGTAGTGGTGCAGAACCTCTGGCCTAATCAGGCCTGCAAATCCATTTTTAGCAAGCCATACCCACATGATTTCAGACATGGGAAAGTTCAAGGCAGGGTGGCTGTAAAAAGGAAGAATCAGAAGTGTACTCTAAGGGCTCATGCAGACTTCCTTTTGCGATATGCTTTCCAGGAACAGGCCCATGCTTTAAGGCTCCATGTCTGAGCAGTTTTTGTTTCTCGTCCTAGTGCTTTCCCTGGAAAAACCCACATTTTACCACTGAATCAGAGCAAATGGCAATCCTTGGAAAACCCGACTGCGCTTGGCTCCAATTCAATGGTAAAACACAGGCTTTCCTGGGGAAAGTGTCATGACAAAAAACAAGAAAGAAAACTCTCAGACACGGAGCTTGAAAACGTGGACCTGTGCCTGGCAACACAGCACGAAAGGAAGTCTAGATGAGCCCATAATCTTCCTTTGCAGGCAAAATCCAAATGCGTCCGTTTTTGTATACCACCCTGAACAACTTGGAGAGAAACCTCGAGTCCTTCCTTCGCAGCCACAAATTGAAGTTACAACCAGATGATGCCGGATGAACTGGGAACCAAGGTACACCTTAAATCCAAATGATCCAATTCAAACCAGTTATCCAAATAGCATAATGACTTCCGATAACAATGCTGAATGTGGAGCGTAATGCTATAATGGATTCAATTTGTTGCTCACCCTTCCCATCGCCCCACTTAAAGAGCCATGGGTGCTTTGGAAGCAATTTCCTACCTTCTTTTTAATCTAAGCAGTTACATAATGGTTTAAATTATCAACTGCTTCTTTAAAAATATGTGGGGGCCTATAAGCAATTGCTGAAGGAGAGATTTGTCCCTCTGCTCAATCCATCTTCCCATTCACTGTTTGGCTCAGAGTTGGAGTTCCCCCACAACCTACAGGGCATGAAGAGACCACTTTTGTACAAGTGCAAGAATTAAGGGTACAATACTCTTCTCAAATAAGAAAATATTTTAAAATAAAGGAGGAAATTCAACACTGTGCTATGTTAAACGTTCCATCAGTAAGACCTTTTCAGCTTGCCAGATTGAATAATTCCTTCTCTCCTGCCCCCATGTGCTGTTCTGGAGGTTCTCCTGAACCCCCTCAAACCAATTTGGGGGGCCAGGGGATGGGAAAGGAGGTGAGGAAGTCCCACTGTGCAACAGGGAGTCCTTGCACAGGGCATCTACTGAAGTGAATCCCGCCCTCAGAGGTTTTTTTAGTGCAGTACTAGCTTGGACTAGCTCAGTAGCAGCTCCTCAATGTGGCCAGCAAGTTTGGAATTAAAACAAGTACAGTGGTACCTCAGGTTACATACACTTCAGGTTACAGACTCCGCTAACCCAGAAATAGTACCTTGGGTTAAGAACTTTGCTTCAGAAAGTGCTCCAGCGGCGCGGTGGCAGCAGGAGGCCCCATTAGCTAAAGTGGTGCTTCAGGTTAAGAACAGTTTCAGGTTAAGAACAGACCTCCGAAACGAATTAAGTACTTAACCCGAGGTACCACTGTATGGGAGAACGTGAAGTACTGTATATCCCTTCTTCCCCCTTGCTTTTCTGCTGTTGTTGCCCCAACCCAGGACAAATGGGGATTCTGGTCAGAATTCCCATCCATTCCACCCTTCCAGTAATGCCAATAGCAGCAGAGTTCAAGAGACCCTTCCTCTCTCTATCTCCTCCATTTGTTTATGTGCCCAAGAGAGCAGAGAATGAAATCTGCACCCCACATTAAATGTGAAGAGTTAATAGGGGTTGGTGCTGCCAGGGAGGTGGGGAAATGGAGGGCTACGGATCACCACCACAACAATTCGGAACAAAACATAACACTTTTGAGGCACTGAAACAAAGATTCTAAATTGCTAATGCGGCCCAAAGGAAGGCATGAAGCTTCCTTAAGTAAAGAAGAGCAACACCGTCATCCCCTTTCTATTGTGCCCTACTCTGTGGTGCTGTTGAGTAATTTGTAGGCCCAGACTTTACAGCCGTCCCTGTGTTTTACTTCACTTCCATCAGAATGGGGGGTTCAGTAGGCCCTGTTGCATTTGCTGTTGATTCTGCTGTGTGAGTTCCTTGACTTCTGCTCCAGAGTGCTGTCCTGACAGCACCATTGACTCAAATTACTAGCTCTTCACCGCTGAGCTTGAAATGGAAGCTTGCTGCTTTCTCTTTCTCTCTCTCTTTTTTTCTGCCCAAATCCAAACAGCGGGCTTTCAGTCAGAACAGTTTCCTTCCCTGCAACATTGGGCCTACCATGTGGTCACTCCCCTCCACTGCTAGAGCTCTTACATGTACCACCATGGCTACACACACTACACATTTAAAGCACACAAACAGCCTACTGGAGTCCTGGGAACTGGAATTATAGCTGGGTTATCATTATTTTTGAAAAAGGGTGAAGGATTTTGAGTGTGGCTGGGGACCCTATGTGACCCCACAGATTCCCTCGGTTTTGCACCCTCAGCAACCACGCACACCCTCTGAAGGTTACAAATATATGTAATATATCCTGCTTTGCTAGCACAGTCTCTGACAACTAACATTTTTCAGACTTCATCAATGGCAGGAGCCTGTCTAAAAGAACATTATGAAAAACCCTTGAAGCTATCCTGGTCCAAACATCTGTTCTTGCAAGGTTGCATTAGCAGGGCCATAACTGCATTAGAGTGGAGCTACAAATTCAATACAGTTGGAGATAATGGTGGTATAAGTGTTTCTTCATAGATGATAGTCTAGTGGAGGCGAAATCCGGGAATCAACAGTTTTAAAAAACACAAAAAGCCAGGCTACTGTCAATGCCTTTAATTCACAAGGCACCAAAAGTATTGCAGAAACAATAAAAAGTCCTGTGGCACAGACCTGTTGTCCATTTGTGTTGCAGCAGAATAACATGGATGCTCTTCTGGAATTCGTTGCCATCAAAAGTATTTCAATATAGGAGTGAAATCCAAGCCAGAATTTGAAGCACTTCTCAGTTTCAAATATTTGCCTTAAAAATGAAATAATTCTAATTGTAATGAAAGATTGAACAATACCTTATTTACAAGCAAGTAGCATTAACAACAGGTTTAGTGCTGTCAGTTAGCGATGAAAGGATCTGTTGATTTTGGTTACCTCAGTTTCTCCAGTCTGAAATCTAATTCTCCACATTTCTGCAGCAATTTGTGATTTATTTATTTATTAAAAAATCCTTATGAAAATTCATTGCATTTTAATGAGATCTTCCCCTCATAAAGACATTTTGCATGCAATTTTAACCAATGTACAGATTTGTGCAGGGAATTTCTCCAATATAATGTATTTTTGTATGTTATTTTGACTAATATATTTCTTTTTACACACACTTCCCCCTGATATGTGCATAATTCTAAACAATGTTTGTATGAGAACTGTATCGTGAAATTTGGAAATGTGAATTTTGAAGGATAGCTGTGCTTTGGTTCACATATTTCAGAAAGTGTGAATTTGATAGATTCACCTTTGAATGTGAACTGAATCAAATTTCTTCCGCATCCTTAGTTGTTTACTTATGGAGTTCAGTGGAACTTATTTTAAGGTAAATGTGTATAGGACTGAGATGTTGAAAATATCGACATTTTTCACAGGTACTTCCCATACTCCTGACTGGTTGCACTGTAACTACATCCCAGTAATATAAAATGGAATCCTATAAATAAGAAACAAGTAGATTGCAGACAAATGTGATGTCCTTAGTATCATTACAGTATCTCTGATAATTAACAGGTGATTGAATACGTATCAGTTTTTAAGAGGACAATCCAAAAATAAGCTAAATGTTTCTACATATTAATGGGATCCCCTCAGAATGCAGTTGTATATAAGTTTGTAAAGAAATTTATCTAGAGGAACTAGACAGGGATGCCCTTTATACCCTCTGCTCTTTGCTACTGTCATTTATCCGTAAAGGTACCCCTGACCGTTAGGTCCAGTCACGGACGACTCTGGGGTTGCGTGCTCATCTCGCTCTGTAGGCCGAGGGAGCCGGTGTTTGTCCACGTACAGCTTCTGGGTCATGTGGCTAGCATGACTAAGCCGCTTCTGGCGAACCAGAGTAGCACACAGAAACGCCGTTTATTTTCCCACTGGAGTGGTACCTATTTATCTACATGCACTTTGACGTGCTCTCGAATTGCTAGGTGGGCAGGAGCTGGGACCGAACAACGGGAGCTCACCCCGTTGCGGGGATTCGAACTGCAGACCTTCTGATCATTTAACCTTGGGCTATAGCAATAACAGAAAACATACACATTCATAGGATCCAATATGGCTCTTTGGATACTAATATAATCCCTGTGTCTCACTCCTAGAAATCTTATAAATAAGTCATAAGGTTATTATCTAGTTACAGCGAAATATCAGGCTATAAAATAAATTATAAGATAGCACAGAGGCTACGTTATAATGTTTCGAATGAAAATTTAAAAGATGTTCAAGGGATAACCAAAATACCATGGAGGAATGAACATAGAATTAAATATTTGGGAATATGAGTTACAAATAAATTGGAAGATAGAGTAAAGAATGATTGATTGATTGATTACCGAAAGCTATTTCATGAGTAGGAGAAAGAACTGGAATTTTGGAATTTCTTCTCTCTCTCATGGTATGGGAGAAAATCTACTGTAAAATAAATATCCTGCCCATAAGTTTGTTTATTATACTCCTAAACATTCCATTAGTTGCTCCATCTGAAATACTGTCAAAATGGCAGAGACTGAAAGTTTTATATGAAACAAAACACACACACACACACACACACACACACACGAGGTAGCTGCCAACATTCTATTAAAAACCAAGCAGCAGAGGTATGGCAGTACCTAGCATAATAACATAATAACATAAAGTTATTAAAAAACAAAATTGGCAGGCAAGCCGCACCTACAATATACTGTCGGCCCTGGACATTGCCCAGACCTAGAGGATATATAACTGCCCAATCATAGCCATACTAAATTCCTGGGTTTTTCTGCTGTTTTCTATAAGCAACAGCTCTAAGTCCTCTATTGCAGAGAGGAAAAAAGGTGTCTAAAATAACTAGATTTTAGACAGCTTGTGTGAGTCTATCAGTTAATGCTATGGTTGCAAGCAGGTGAGAAAGGAACAAAATGTTCTCTTCTCTGAGGAGTCACTCAACAATTCTTAGCACCCTCCATAAACTATAGTTATCAGGATTCTTTGGGATAAAGCATGACTGCTGAAGAGTGCTCTAGATCTATGGAGGAAGAGGGAAAAGAATGAATTGACCTCATGCCTCTTACAGTTTATAAGGGTATCCAGAAAGCGGATGGGAATTAGGGCTAGCAAAACAAATCCTATGATATTAAAAAAACTTGTCCTTCTTACATTTCAGAAGTGGCAAATCTTTCATTTTCACTAGTTTATGCACTTTTAAGCAGTTATATCCTAGCACGGGGTGGTTCCATGTCAAAGCACTCTTGAAGCCCACTTGGTATGAAAAGTTGGACCACCCTACACTAGTATATGCAAGTTATACCCTGGCTGGAGAAGTACCTTGCAAAATTCAGAGAAGTGACAATTTAGAAAAATGGCTTCAATTGGCAGAGTTTCAGAAAATGGAAATTAAGTATTTTACCATATGTGGTGGGATTGTAGTAAAATAAAAAAATTATGGGAAATGATATACAATGAGTTGAAGAAAATGTTCCAATTAACATTTGTAAAAAAGCCTGAAGCGTTTTTGTTAGGGATTGTAGGAAAAGACCTGCCAAGGAAATTGAAAAACATCTTCATGTACGCGACAACGGCAGCAAGAGTCTTAATAGCACGAGGATGGAAGAACGAAGAAATCCCGACCAAAGAACTGTGGCAAGAGAAACTGATGGACTGTGTGGAATTGACAAAATTGACACACAAACTACGTGATAAGGACAACTGTGACTTTAAAGAAGAATGGGAACCTTTTACAAAGTACTTAAAGAAACAACAAAATGAACTGGACTCCTTGGCAGGTTTTGAATAAACATACACAAACTTTTTATTGGTAACATATAGATAGATAAATTAAGGATCTTTACAATTTTATAATATGCAGAGAATAACATGTGCTGAAAAACCAGAGAGAGAGGAGCTGAGGGAAGTCTGGGGTGGGGTGGGAAGGTTGTGCTTTTTTTTTTCTTGGGGAGGGGGGAGGGGGAAATGGGGGGGGAAATGAAGATGATGTGTTTTTGATAAATTGCTATGTTGAAATTCTTAATAAAAAATATTCAAAAAAGGAAAAAAAAATGTAAATTAAGTAGGTTTGCTTTTAAATGCATACAGAATTGAAAATTCTCCCCCATACCTACTTGCGGTAAAGCAGGAGAGAAGAATGGAGAAGAGGAAGAACTCTTCCCATGCAAAGGGGCGGGAGGCAGCTGGGTACACTTGTCCCAGGCCTCGGAAGGCTAAGCTAATAGGGGGACCCTGCTAGGGACTGGCTGTTTTTTTGTTTTGAGTTTATAACTTCATTCTAACAAAACTCCCACCCTGGGCCTCAGACAAGCTCTGCACGGGCCTGCTTCCCATCATTCTCCAGAGACGTACCTTACCCTGCTGTCATTCACAGGAAAACCTCTCTTCTGAAGAAGCCTGAACAGCAGGAAAGGCTCTTGCCTGAGGCCACCTGGACTCCTGAACAGGAACACTCTGTGCATGGATTAGGGATACACTGCAAAGTTTCTGCTGTAGGGCCCCACTTGTACTGAAAAACAGAGCCCGTCTTAATATGCTCCTTTCAGTCATTTACTTCTAAATAAAAATCCTTTTTATTTAGACATGCAGTTTGAATCACAACATCTGAGACAATCCAAGTTTTAGGTTTCTACAAACAGCGTAACAAAGAAGTTCTGGGCTAGGTTTGTACTACAAAGGAATTACCATCAATAAAACTATAAATATTCAGGTCTGTTCACATTAAAGAAAATGCATTGGCGGTGAAGAAAGCACAGCCTGTGTTGCATGATTTTTTTTTCATGTTGCCAAAATAAATAATTAAAACTAGGCCTGAAATGCAACATTCAGCTTCCAGTTTTAATTTCCAGCTTCTGCAGTTGAACTTGATGTTGAATTGTGTGTGTCTATCAATTTGCAGAACAATACTTTTTTTACCCCTAAATCCTCTTTTGATCAGATTTCCTTATTTTATTTTAAACTATTTATCTGATGTAGGGCACATAGCAAAGACAATGCAAAGCCCTTCGGTCACTGCATTTTCTGTCCCTTGATATGAAATTGATTTCATGTCGATATTTTAAAAACAAGTTTAAAAGGGGGAAGGAGTAACAGTTCCAGAGCCCAGCACCAAGGACGAGGCCACATCCTCATAATACATTTTAAGCATGTGATGTCTCACAGTCCCACAAAGAATCTTAGTAACTGTAGTTTACTCCCCAAAGAACTCTAATTTCCAGCAACCTTAACAAACTACACAGTTCAGGATGCTTGAGGGGCCAGCCATGCGCCTAAAATGTATTGCATGGACATAGCCTGGGACTCAGACCTCTCCCAATGATACCTTTCCTCTTCTCCAAATTCAGAAGTCCTTTTTTTGTTTGTCCACCCCTCTGCAATTGGAGGGCCTTTTTTAGTAGTGAAGCAGCATGCCTCTTTGCAGAAGCAATTAAGATCCTTATTCTACAAGACTGGTTTTTTTCACATGCTTAATCATTCCAGCTTTAAATACACTTCCTACCAACTCTTTGAGAATATCAGCACACGTGTGGGTGGCAGAAACGCAGTGGATATTACACTGATTAAAGTCACACACAAAAAACTACTGAGTAATAGAAATTTTCTGAGCACCTATATACCAGGATCAGTGATATTCAATTTCCCCCCATCAATGATCCAGTAATAGGAAAGGGTAGTAAGATATCTCCAAGTTGTTCAGAGTCAAAAATTACTTAACTACTTAGCTTGCTGTTTGTTCTTACATTCACTAAAAATACTGAATCCCACTCTAGATGTGGAGACTTCACCTTAGCATTGCTCACAGACTTTAAGCTCTTCTTTGTGGTTAAGAACTTGCTTTTGTATAATTATGAACGCTGGGATTGTCAGAATGGAGGATTTTGCCCCTGGTACCAAATTCTGTGGTGGAATATATGCTCAGTCCTCCAATTCTAATGGGTGCAGTCTACTTAGGGATACATACACACACACACACACACACACACACACACACGGATAAAATCCTGTTTGCAAAACTGCTACAAAATACTACATCAACTGAAATTCTGAGATTAGAGAGCCCATTACTTAAACAAAAAAAATCATCCCTAATGCCTATTTACCAATATATAAGCACATTTCCCCCATAAACAACACTAATTGACACTAACCCAAATGAGCACAAAATGCTCTCTGTAGCATGACTTCCTGGATTTTAATGATGATTCAAGCTTGTTTGTTTATTCACTAATGTGCATAATCTGAAAATCCACAGCAGGGTTCCTAATTAATATGGGAGAATTAGCAAGAGTCTGCTTTGTAGCTTCCAATTAAACTTCTGCAGAGGCAGAAGAGGTGTTTAGTGCCCTAGTGACAAGTTGCTTCTGTGGCATTGCCATCACCCTACCTGCTTTGTGTTTTTTTAATCTACGACAGTTCACATTGACATAATTGCTTCAGTCTTCATCAGAATATTTCATGTCATATTAATTATGCATTTATTTATTTTTTAATGAATGCAGGACCTGCTACTTTAATTATTTTTCAAGCATCACTGTCCTGGCCTGCCCACCATCTTCATTCCCCAATACTGACCAGCACTTTATTGTTGAGCATGCCCAGCCACCCAACCATGGGTGTAAATATATATATATATATACACATACACACACATTAAAGAGAGACCTCTTCCCACTGCCATCTGGTAAGCAGAGTGGGAGTAAAGTCACCAGTGTTGCAGTGGGGAAAGTAGCAGCAGGAACACAGCAGTATGGGGCAGGGGGGCAGAGGACACTTGGACCAGGGCTCCTTCAGACTTGGTAGCTTTTTGCTCTTGTTGGCAAGTGATTGCTCTGAGAGTATCCACAGGAGCAATGTTTTAAAATAATTTCCCAAAGAACATTTTATTCTCTTTATTCAGGATACTAGCAGCCTCAAACCCAGCATTACTCAGAATTCTAAGGTGGGAAAAATCAGTGCATTTTTTAAAAATCAGTGGTTAAAGTCGGTGCAATTTTTAAGTTTCAGTCCACCACCTTGATTCAAAATGGTGTCCAATTGTATCAAAACATAGAGGAAACCCTGCTTCTTGACTTTAGGAATCGTTATGCATGATTTCGTTATGATATCTTAAGAGCTGCAGAAATGCAGAGCAAAAAAAATGAACAGCTTTCAAAAATGAATAGGAGATTCTGAGATCCCTCTTCATTCTAGCAATTATGGACTTCTTTCTTATACAGGCGGCGACCATTTTGCACAGGGGTTCCATTCCTGCCCCCTGTGTGTTTCGGCTAAGTGTACATAAGCTTTCCCTGTTCAGCCCCACCCCTGTTTTCAGGCAACTTCTGGATCAGCAACAAGAAGTGTGTGACTGTGCATCAATTTTGGACACATGTAAAATGGTCGCTATCAGACTACTATAGGACGTTAAATTTGACTTCTGTAGGGTGGGTTTGATGAGTATGAGAGGGTATATTAACTACAATTTTTCTCTTCATGTGTGTAGGTTAAAGAGGGTTTTTAAATCTCATCCTTGGCAGCAAAATAGAAGCTTTGGGAATCAGGCTGCAAAACCTGCCTTTTGAGCAAGTCCAGCTAACGAAGTAAGCTGGCTTCCCCCTTCTTACCTCACTTAACAAAAAAACAAAAACAAAAAACAATTTGTAAAGTAAGTTTAAAATATGATTTACTTACTTGATAGTCTTGCATTGGTTCACAGCAAAGGCAGCAGTAAAAACTATACAGGCAAAATACTTATATTTTGAGCCTGGAGCTGAAGCAAGCAGTGACATGTCTGCTTTAACTGTTGGTTGAAAAAGAGAGCAAAGAGAGAGAGGGCAACAGGAAGGAGAAGGGTTTGTATCTCTTGTTTCTTCCTGCCATATAAATATGCTTAAAGTGGCTTACAGCAGAAATGCAAATCAATACATCATTACAGTATCAAATATAAGTAAATCAATAAATAACTCAAGTTAAATAAATAACACTTAAAATCATCATAAAACAAACTGTCCTTCAGTTAAAACATATCAATTAATAACAAATATAATGATCATCCTAATGTAATCTCATGACAACTATAATATATCTAACAGCCACTGCATGGCAGTACTAAACCAAATTGTACAAAATTAACAAATTTTCATAGGGGCTAAAAGAACTGTGCTCATAGTTCCTAGAAGCTTGATCATATATTGTAAAATAAATAGCAATTAATACTACTATGCTATAAGGTGCATAAGAACTTAAAGTGCTAAAAAATTTCATAGCATGTTTCACAGCAGTTTGTTTGCATAAACTGCTAAAAACAACAACACCTCTTCATCAGTCCTCGCTGGGAGGCACTCTTCTGTCAACAACAAACAGATGGCTTTGATCACCTTTGCTTAGGACTCTCACCACAGTTTCCCATTAAAGACATCAGATAATCCCCAATCCACCTCTCAGATGGAGAATTCTATATTTGTAATTATTCCTCTATATTCCATGGACAAGGCCCTTTAGGATTTTTTCCTGTGAATAGCACTTGAAAGTTGCAATCATATTGTCTTTCAGTGAAGTAGGTCCTTGTAGAATCTCATGCCTTGCTTCACTGACATCATAGCATGCTCAGTCCACAGACCTCGCAACATCTTTTGCCACAGTGGTTTAACAATCAATCCCTCTTCCCAGGGAACCCTGGGAATTATAACTCTCTGAGGGGAATGGGGGTGTCCAAACAACCCTCAGCACCCCTAACAAACAACAGTTCCTAGGAAGCCATGGCTATTTAAAGTGGTATGGTACTGCTTTAAATGTATACTGTGGCTGGATTCTGAGACAATGGATGAGGAAGCTGACAAGCAATTCCATCACCCAGATTTGTTGTAAGTCTGGAAGCTGGCTGAATGTGGACTGAGGTTGGTGGGGCAGTACCCTGTTTCCCCCACTGAACCAGCCTTTATCAATGCTTACCCACCACTGTTGCTACCAGTGGCCACCAACTCTTGCTCCCACAGGCAGTGCTGCAGCCACAGAACGGCCAGTGATTCACCCACTCACCCTGAATGGGCTTACTTGATAGCACCAGAGCTTTTGCGATGAGTGCCAAGGGCTCACTCAGCTCCAGTCTGCACCAGCCATGTTTTGGGTGATATAACATGGCATACCCTGGCCTCCACCCTCAAAACACTACAAGGTAATCCCGTCCAGGATAGGCAGAGTAACTGGCAACTGCAGCACTACTAAGGAGCAGAACTGGGGGTGGTAGTGCCTGATGGAGGCCCAGGTCAGCATGTGTGGTGGCCACCAGTGGCCCTATGCAGAGGGCCTGCTCAAGCCTTGCCAGTTGTGCATAAACAGCCCCTCTTCCTCCCTTGCGGAAATGGTTTATAGAAGTGCCATTCCTGGAGGAGTGGAAGGAGATTGGACCTATCAGTTTTATGGTCAAATGCTGCTTTGCCTTACCTCTTTTATTGCTAGCTGGAATACATGTTCATTCAGTTTCTGTCTCATATCAGTATAAATCCTGGGAACTGTAGTCACACGAAGGGACAAAGAATATCCAGTTAAGAATTGTTGCATACTGTACAAAACTGCGGGGCTTCTAGGGCGAGATAAGGAAATCAATCTGGTTTCAAACCTTTAGTACATACCGTATGTGCATGTAAAACAATTTGTGTGTGGCAAGAAACAACTGTGCAAACGTGTGCTATGTAAAATACTGTACTATGTAAAGCAAATACAGGCTATTCCAGGTTTGGGCAAACAGAGAAACCTTCCCTCTTTCACAAGACCACCTCCTTGTAGGAAATTGCAGGTGGAAATGGGTAATGTTCAAATAATGACGGTGTGCAAATTTTATGAGAAAAACACAGGAATGTCATGTGCAGTGAAGTATCAGTTTGGGCAAATATGGCCACAGACAAACACTTCTTATTTGAGAAACTTCTAAACAGCTTGTAAGGACGAGTACTGAAGTCTGACAAAGCGGTGCAGACTACATTGCGATATATAACATCCCGTGTAGGCCCCATTTTATGACTTCCCTTGTCTGACGGCTAGTACGCCCCTTGCTCATTGAAGAAGGGGTAGAAGATCATTTGTGCCCCCACGGATCTCTGAAGCTAATCTTTCCGCCTCCTGCCTGAGATTTAATATTTCTCTCCCCCACCCCTTCCTCCCAGAGCAACGCGAGCTCTCTGCCGTCCCCACTGACCAGGGCGCAACTGGTGTTTGCGTGTTTGGAGAGGGTCTGTCAGCGCCTGGAGCTGCCTGGGTGAGCAGAGCAGCCTCGACAAGTGGTGTCCCGCCCTCTCCCCTCCTTCACACACACACCAACTGTGTTACGTTGCCGTTCAGCGCGCTGCTTTGGGCAGCCTGGCAGAGCTCTAAGGCAGCCTTAGGTGCCGCTGTTGTCGCTGCTGCTCACGAAGAGGCGCCGCGGAGGAGAGACCGAGGCTGCTGCTGCTGCGCGCTGCTGGGGGAGCATCAGGTGGAGGAGCAACAACGAGCGCTAGTCGGGAGGCGCAGAAAAGAAAGCGCCTTTTCGCCTCTCCGGCGGAAGCAGCGAGGGAGCCTCGTTTCGGGGCGCGCGGGGCGGGCAGGCGGAGAGGGAGCGCGCGCCGCCGCCGCCGCTGCCACTGCCGCCTCCGCTAGGAAGGATAGCGGCAAAGGTAGGATACTTCGGGGCGGGGGGTGGGGGTGGGAGGCGAGTAGCCAAGGGACGCCGAGGTGGTGCAGCAACGTTTTCGGCCCCTCAGCCCTTCCCAAAAAAACCCGTGGGTACTGGCGTGGGTTGTTTACCTAGGCGGTGTGGGGAGGTGTGCAGCACACTCGCTTCCCCGTCAGAGGGGTACCAAAAGATGACCGGGGTGGCGGTAGGGAGACGGGCGGAGGAGGCATTTAGGGTTTTTTAAAATATAAAAATTGTATTAAAATTAGTTTAAACCACCCAAAGGGAGACCAAAATGCCTCCCCGCCTGCCTACCGACGGTGTTCTGGCTTCTGGAACGTGCAGCACATATGCAAGGCTCTCTGGCTCGCGCTGGCGAGGACAAACTCCTGGCGCCTTTTCGCCGCCAGAGCACCCACAGGAAGAACAGCGCCGGTGAACTTCGGGGTGCCAAGGTGCCTGTCGAGGAGACTTCTAGGGGGCGACAGGTTAAGACTAGCCTGCCTCTTCCCTGTGCTGACAGCTGAGGCGAAGCACCCGGCGGTTGGAGGTTGGGGGGCGGGCGGCTGATCCTCTGAACTTGCACCAAACAATCTCTGGAACAAAAACTCTGCCCAAACCGTGCAGTGATTGTGTGGTATCATAACTGAGGGTTAGCTGTTCAGTGGAAAGCAGGGCAATTTGCACTGTTTTGCTTATAGCTGCGCTGTGATTATTTCCTTGCTTTTCTTTTTGACCTACTTTCTGGGGGGTGGCTGGGTGGGGGGATGGATAAATGGGTTGCAGAACTGTGGGAGATATTTGAACGGTTGTGACAACGCTAGTTCATGCCTTCTACTTACGGTTGTATCCCTTAGTCTGCTTTTGATCTTTAATACGATGCATCAAGGAAAATTGGTTTTACCTTAGCATACTCGTTCACCAGTGATATACATACATGGTGGATGTGTTCAGGTTACACTCGCATCTCTTTGGCCATAATATTTACACATTATACAGTAGATCTAATTAGGACTGCATCATTTCTGAATTTTACTGCTGCATTTATATAAGATTGAGACATGTGAAAAAATGGGTATCCTCACTAATAAGCAAAGTGTGTGTGCGCACGCTTCATCCATTTTTTTTCCTTTTGAAAAGTAATTTCAGTTATTAATCCTTAAGTTCTCAGCTCTTTCTAACCTGTTGCTATCACATTCATAAGATTTGTAATGGAATGACAGGACACTGGCCCACACATTTTGTTATTTTTGCCTTCTATCATATATTATGTTTAGAAAAACAAAATGAATCAGTCTAAGTTTATCTCTGTTCAGTGTTTTTTCTTGTAATAACAATAATTGTGTGGTCCATTTTCTTTCCTTTATTTTACATCTTTTTAATATAAGTTAATGTTTTTCTTTTCTGTAGTGTGATGTGGAGGGACTTGTGGGTATAGGAAGACCTTGAGAACTGTCCCTCCATTTTTGATTTACATATTGTTTGGAGGACATATTTGTGTTTTTAGGTGGTTGGTTCATAGTGAGGGTAACAGGTGACATGGAATTGATGGAGCATTGTATGTATTTCCTGAACAAGAAAAAGAGAACAATCAATTCAGTTGCTGTGCAGGGACACTCATGGAGGGTCCCATAAAGTAACTTCCTTGAAGATTAAGCATAAGATTTACAGTACATAAAAAGCTAGAGAATGCTGAATTAGAAGGTTGTATTATTTCACGTTCATTGTCAGCAGCTGTATATATTTCAAGGTGTCATTATCTACATGGAAGAAGAAAATCCTTTTACTGGAACTATACTATTTAGGAGCCAATATACCTAATATGTTGGTTGGGTAACAGTGGGTTTTTAAACCATATACAGTATTAATAAATCTTTTTAAAAATATATATATATATATTGTTTTCCAAGATTTTTTAAAAAATAACAACAATTTCCCATTCATCTTAACACCAAATTCATCTTGTTTGACTTCCCGCCACCCCCACCCCCCGGTTTCCAATTTTTTTTTCCATTTCTTCCCCTTGCATATTTGCAATACTTTTCCAATTAATTTTCGCTTCTTCATATTTAACTAAAATATCAAATTAGTTCATAAGGGCTACACCAATCCTGCTAATGTTTTGACATATTTACAGTGGTCTTTAACATAGTCTGTAATTTTTTTCCAATCTCTCTTGAATTTCTTCGTCTTGGTTTCTGATCTTCACACTAAGTTTTTCATTTCAGCATAGTCCATCATCTTAATTATCCATTCTTCCTTCGTTGGTACACCCTCCTCTTTCCACTTTTGGGCAGATAGCATTCTAGCAGCCATTGTAGCATACAGAAATAGTCTCTTTACATTCTTTGGTATTTCTTCCCCCGTTATTCCAAGCATATGGTTTTTTATGAAAAGTTTTCTTAAACATCTTTTTAAATTCATTATATATCATTTCCCAGAAGTCTTTTGCCTTTTTACAGGTCCACCACATATGCAAAAACATACCTTCATTATCTTCACATTTCCAACATATTTTAGAGGATTTTTTTTTACATTTTCGCAATCTTTACTGGGGTCACATATCTAAAGAAATCAGTACTGTACTTTATATTTAAATAATGATGTTAGTTTTGGTTATACATGCAACTGAAAACAAAAAACAAAAATTTTCTCCCTTCCTCTTTCATTTTGTTACCTGCAAGATTTGTGTTATGTATATTTAGTTTGAAAGGGTAGTTAAGTATGTAGAAGCAGAAAATTACCCATTACATCTTAAGGCCAAATGTATTTGTTATTACAAGAACATTAATAACAGTACTTTGCTATTTACACCCAACTCCTGCAAACACACTCAAGAGTTGTGTCCAACAAAGGAAAGATAAACACAACCATCAGATAAAGTTAAAAATATTGCAAATTAAAAGTTATTGCAGGCCAAAACTTTTTTATCTGATGCTATATACTAATATTTTCTTGATCAACTTTGTGCATAATATATCTGCATTACAGACCAGATACTGGGGACCAAGGTAATAATTCGAAGAATGCAAAGGAGAGAAAGAGTTCTTAGGGAGATCATGTTTTAGAACAAAACAAAACACCATATACACTTGCCAGTGTTGTTCTTTAAATTAAGGCTATAGAATGTTAGGATGCTCTGACTTAAGGAGTTATGTCTTGCTTCTAGTGTGACCAGTGGGGTGTCATGACTGGATGATCTCTCTCAATTGGAAATATTTCTAAGTCTGAAAAGTAGTATCTACGTTTAAAATGCTTTTCTATCAGTTATTCAAGTTCTTTTGTTGTGATGGGTGACCTGCCATTTCTGAAATGGGTGCAAAATTATGTAGTCTTTCCAACGCATTGCGTGTGGCAGTGACATCTGCCTTCTACAACATACAACGTTCTCTTGAATTTCTTGCCAGTCATTCTGCTTTTGAAAGCAACAATTTCTTCAAGATGAGCACAGGTATTTCAATGACTGGATTCACAGTGATATGACCCTGGGTTGATGGCAGACATTTGGAGACTTGTGGAATGAAAGAAGGCTTGCTGTTAGCTTTTTCAAGGTATTGTGAAGTGGCTGGCAAGGGGTTTACTTAGGAGACAGTAGATTAAAAGTATGCCACCCAAGTCTTAGGGTGCTCCTTCTTAGTATCTTCTTCATCTTTACAGTAGATGGATTATTTGGATAGACAGATGCTTTGTGGCTTTTATGGATAATGGCATATACAGAATACCTTCTTTTTAATATTTGTGAGCACCTGATTTGTTTTCGGATGGCAGGAATCCCAGTTTCAGCAGATATGAATATCAGTGTATAGCTATCTTGTTTTGTTTGGTGAGGAGAACCCTGAAGAAAGACATGTGTGCATTTTTCAGTACAGTGGTACCTTGGTTTACAACCATAATCCGTTCCGGAGGTCCGGTTGCAAACCAAAACAGGTTGTAACCCAAGGCGCGCTTTCACCAGTGGGGCAAAACCAAAATTGGTTGTAATCCAAAAAAAGGAACACTTCCGGGTTTGACGTGGTTGTAATCCAAAGCGGTTGCAAACCAAAGTACCACTGTGGTGCTATTGCATAAAAAATTGATTCCTGGATAAACAGAACTGATACAGTTCCTGAATTGTCACACACTTTCCACTCCACTGGTCCGTACTGCAAATATATACTTAGTGTATCATCTTCGTTGGCAAGTTCCTTAAAGATGGCTTGTTCCAGTTTGCCCATGGATAAAAATATGGTGTTAAAAGGGAGCCAAATGGGTAGCATAGGTGACCTTGTATGTCTAAGTGCTGTTTATCATTGAAAGTGAAGTTGTTGCTAAAGTTGTGCACCCTTTAGGAGGTTAATTAGAAGGTCTTCTGTTCAGAAAATCTTAAATGATTTTAATTCATCTCCATTTCATCAACCACTTTATAAAGATTTTATGGTTAGCTTCACTCTGCTTGGAAGCTATTCAGCATAGTTGTTTTTATGATAATCTACACAGCTAATAAAGTATACAAATATTATTTGTACACTTATGCATATTTTCTTAAAATTTTAGCCAGATAATCTCAGGGTGAACTCAGATACGTGTTTTTCATCCCTTGATTATTTGTATAATGTTAAACAGCCGTTTCAGGTCAAAGAACATGTGTTGAAGTTTCATATTTGCTGATGTTACCTCAAACACAATACGGTACTCTTTTAATGAGACCATTCACATATTCACCTAACACACACTGAGTGATGATGAGTGATATATATTAGTCCTCAGATTTTTTAGCATGGTGAGGAAAAAAAGCTATGATGGCTGTAGGTTGTCCTGTTCAAGAATATGTTCGGTAAAATAAAACTTGTGCCTAAAAATGGTAGCAGTGTGGCACACTGCTGCAAGAATTGGTTATCTGGATGAAAATATTGTGGAAAAGTCATTTTCACTTGAAGATGATCTGAATTCTCAGGGTATATTGATTAGTACATTTTGTTATTGTATATATTTTGTTCTTAAGGATTATCCACTATACTGTAATCTAAAAAGCCCTTTACTTTTATTACTAGGGATTTGAAGCAAACTCATATGAGGTTTTGGTGGGATTTTTTTTACAAAGGGGAAAAATTAATTCTGTTTTCCTCTTGATTTCTCCTTAGAAACTCCTTAGAAACTTGCGACTGAAAATCAAGCTGTTTTCTGATGTCAGGGGTACAAATTTTTGCAGGCAAATGGAGGCAAACATGGCACTGAAATGAAACAGGGTTCATTTATGCCCTTTTAAATTCCAGCCTAAGATTACAACCCACTTTTACTTACCTGTCAATTACAGCCCAGTTAATGTAATGTTTATGAATGTGTACGCTTAGGGTTCAGGTAAAAGGCTGCATGGGAAGCTGCAATTAGCTGCAGTGTATAATGCAGTCAGAACACCTAATTCTAAATGTCTTTACCTGAAAGAAATCCTCAGTGGAACATAGTATTATGTTTGTGTCCTCAAGGCTTCAACTTAGGAATTAATTCAGTCCTTTGTATACCTTTTTACCTTTATTACACAGTCTTCTACCCAACTATCGCTCAGAATGCGTATGTGGGAAGCACTCATTGATAGCATCCTCAAGTCACCATCTCCCTGCATGTGAAAAAGTTGTTGCTGGCATCCATGTGTCTCGAGAGACAATGGAATATGCCTCTGGGGGTGAAGTCAAACCACTGCATTAGCAGCACTGAAATTACCCCCCCCCTCCGGTGTAAACCTGGGAAGTGTGTATGGAGATCCTGGGCTGCCCAGATGACAAGACCTCCCTCTTGGCCTTGCAGATATGGTCCAAAGGAAAGCAGAGCAATACTTTGGTACCAGCTGGGTTGCATGAGTTGCTGAAAGGAGGCGTACAATGTGCCATCCAACTCTCTTAGGGACTATACTCTGGATTTGTGTAGGGTTTACTCCTTAGCCTTTTCTTTTTCTGTAGATATCCCGCAAGGCAGCAGAGGTTTAGGGTCAGAATTTTTTTCCTCCTAGATGGATTATCTTTCTAGGTTGATGAGCCCCATCTGCCCCTAACTTCCCTCTATAGCAGAAACCACCTTTTTGACCATTGGACCCACTCTTGGTCTCATCCCTCCATTCACCAAAGCCTGTCTTCACATGCAGGGGGAAGTCCCTAACAAACCAAGGGGCTGAGACTCATCAGCTATCCTCACCTGGCTAGTTGAAGCCGTTTCCTGGAATGTGACCACTGTCACACGCTGACAGCTTCTAGGAGCCACAGGGGAGAGCTGAATGCAGGGTGGGGACTGAAGAGGGCAAACTACACCAGAAGGAGCATGGCGTGTCCCCCACCAGAGGTACTACCCCTCACTTAACATCTGAGCAAAAAGGCTCTGAGTTATGAAATCTTATATATATTTAGGAAAAGAACTATTAGTACCTATGCAACTGTTCTAAATCTGGCAATAGTCATGATGTGTAGGAGGGAGTGATATCATCCCACCATAGGCTGATTGTCACCATATTTAGAACATCTGCATAAGGCTGCTGCTTCCCCCCGTCACTTCCTTTTTTTGCAATTAGACTATCAGCACTGTTGCCCATTGTCTAGCTAATATTTGAAAAGTGTGCTTTGATTTTCATTCCAGCTTTTTCCATTAGTACCCTAACATTTATACATCCTGTAACGTTTTAGCGTTAGAAATGTAGTTCTGAAGTGGAATCGGTTCAGATGGGGTACAAGGCCAGCCCAAGGCATTCGGGTGCTTCAGCCACATTTCCATGTTCATAAGCTGATCAGACTGGTAGCTGAATCTCACTTCTACAGTAGCAGTGGAACAGTGTTGAAGCTAGGGTTGAACACTAGCCATGAAACAACACTTGAGGACAGGAGGCTATTTTATTGGTCAAAAGGCACGTTGTGCGGCATACACAGCTGTCTTCCAGTCTCTCACTGCCACTCTCTGCCCCCTGAATCTGCTACCTGAGATCAGTGGCTAAGCCGCATGCTCCGCTACCGGGGTCGGAGAGCGGGTGGGGATGTGGCTGGCACCCCCACAGGGGTGTGACGCACATCCTGGGGGCGTGTAGACCACCCGCAAGGGCGCTGCCCGCAGGTGCATGGTGCGTGTTCTGGGGGCGTGATGTGCCAACTGTGGGGGCATGGTGACCAGGTGTGTGTGCAACGGCTGTCCGGGGGGGGCGCGATGGCACCCTACCAGAATAGTGGTGCCGGGGGCGGTCCGCTCCCTCCGCGCCCCCGTTCTTCCGCCAGTGCCTGAGATGGCTGCTTCACTCTGTCTAATGATAGGGACAGCCCTGGGTATTGTTGAACAGTTCGTTCGTTCCAAGTTCCACCACTACTGTGTCCCTGTACATGTCTGTAGTACAGCCTAAAGCTGCAGTGTTGGGCTGCTATAGATCAGTTCATATATTGTATGCTATAACTGGTGTTCAGTTCTGCGTTGAAGGACCTCCCAAATGCTTTCTAGCTTCTGTTTTGCATTTAAAGCTTGAAATGAAATTGTTCCCTATTTGCACAAACAAAATTAATGAGGCACTTTTCTCTGATGCCATCAGATCTGTGTGTTTTCAGGAGACTGTGTGTCTCTTTGAAGACAAGACAATTTGACATGAGGTAAGCCATGCTACTTTTCTGGCTAGAATACTGCAAACATCCGAATTAATTGGATATATCTCACAATTTGGATCCTATAGGTTGATGTAAGAAAATGAGCAAAAAATCACTTTTCATGCAGTATAGACATGGACTTTTAGAGGCATAGAGCATTTTCCAGAAGCAATTCAGTTAACCTGATTCATATTGGAATGGATATTTTGATTTTGAAATTGGTCCTTTGCAGATAACGAACCAGGGGTAGCCAACATGCCTGTTTTTGGACTCCAACTTGTATCAGCTGCAGCCAATGGTAAAGGATAAAAGGAGTTGTAGTCCAGCAACATCTGAAGGGCATCATGTTGACTATCTCTTTAATTAACAATACCGTCCATAGAAAGACTAAGAATTGTTAGAAAACACAGAAGAGAGATGGATTCACATATTTGTTTGCCTGTGTTGCAAATTATTACATGGTGATAAATACAGGCAAATATGGCACCAAATGGGAGTGGATTTATAGTCTATCCAGATCTTTCACTGCTGTTAAGCAAATCTCTGATTCTGCTGCAGTAGCTGAAGTGACTTCCTTTCATAAGCAAGTTACGAAAACTACACAAGACAATGAAAGTAAGTTTCAAATAATGCACACTGGGGCAAAATAATAATTAAAAAATCCTAATGTTACAAATTCACTGATGGGACCTGAACTGATGGTGACTTATCTGGAAAGAGATCTTGGGTCAGTGGTGGAAAGCTCAATGAAAATGTTGACCCAGCATACAACAGCTATGAAAAACTCAAATTCCATGCTGGGAATCATTAAGAAAGGCACAGAAAGGAAAAACTCACAATACTGTACTTGTCAATGCCTTTATCTGTGGTGCAGTCACACGTGGGATATTGCACACCATTCTGGCCTTCTTATCTCAAAAAGGATATTGTTGAGATCAAGAAGATGCAGAAAAGAACAGCTAACATGATCATTGGGCTGTAGCAACTCCCTTATGAGGAAACTTCCCAACTTTGGGGACTTTATAGTTTGATGTCATCCCCCTGCTGGAGGAATCCTCTTTGCAGAGTGACCTGAAGCACCTAAAGACAAACATCATGGAGAAGCTGCCCATATCAAGGGACTTCAGAGATCTGGCAGGATCTGGCGCTCTCAGGGAACATGGCAGCCGAATCTTCTCCTCAAGGCACAGCTCCATCACAGTATCGGAGGTGGAAGCTGAGTAGACATGTGAGTCCTAGGGAGTGCAGGTTCCTGAAGGTGAAAGCTCAGTCAACCACTGGATGTCGGAGTGCCCACATAAGGAACAAGGACTCCTCAGAAGAAAATGAGATACTCATGAGTAAGGCAGTCCTCGTGAGCTGACCAAATCCTCAGGTGACTCCGATGTCCTGCAGCTGTGCTCTGGGTGGGACTCTGAAGGCTCAGGCTTAAGAGCCTTATGTTTCAAGCACAGAATGTGAGAATTACATGTGTGCAGCCCTGACAAGTCATTGGACTCCCTGTGTTTGGGCCCCCATTTCTTGTGCTGTCTCTGCGCTTTTGACTACCTTTGAATTTGGTTCTGGTACTGTTGACACTCAGCTGCTTTTCCTGTGCAGCAGGGCATTTAAGAAAAAGTGAGTAACAGGGTCATGATAGATGTGCACAGAATTATTCATGGCAAAGTGAACTTTGACAGGAGGAGGTATTTGTCTAGACTAGAAATTGTTCAATGAAGCTGAATGCTAGAAGATTCAGGGCACACTTCTCCACACAGTACATACTTAAACTGTGGACTTTAAAGGGGATTGGATGATTTCATGAAGGATAAAACTATCAATGATTTTGTCATGATGGCTATGTATTGCCACCAGAACAAGAGGCCACATGCCTTTGAATACCAGAAGAACAGCAGCAGAGGACTCTTGCTGTTCCCTGCCTATGGGCTTCTCGTTGGCATCTAGTTGGAAACTTCAGGAAATGGGAAGTTGGGATTAGATAGGCTTTTGGTCTAATTCAGCAGGTCTCTTTTATGTTTTTTGTAACAAACCCTATAAACAAAGAGGCAACATCCTATTTTTATACCACCATCCTTGAAAATGCATTCACATAGAAACAAGGCTGAGGAAAAGTTGGGTAAGTCAGTTGCTTTCAGTGTTTTCGCATGGCCCTTTACTATCTAAATGTTCACTGTGGAACACACACAAGCACGGAGGAAGATGGTGTATTACTGCATATACAGTTAATGTATCCCATGACAGCAGAAAAGAAAATTATCTCCCCCTCATGTCAATTGAAAAGTAGAGCAAGAAGGTGAAGATACATTTCTTGGTGTCTTAATAGGTGATTACATAGTAGTCCCTTTTCTCCAGACATGAAATACATGCCTGTTTGAGGTTTGACCTGTAGCAGGTTTGGGTCCCCCTCTGGGGGGAAAATCTGCGCATAAATTGTCTTCAGCCTTAATGAGCAGTAGAACCATGCTCTTTTTTTTGTATTGTAGTCTCATTTAGTAATGAGAAAAGTTGTGTGGAAACAGATCCTTTATTATATCTGCTGAATTGGTAATATACTTTGTAAGGTTAAAGTTTAAGTATTCAAAGGAGATGTCTCAAAAAGAACATCACATTTCCAAGTTTGTTTCCAAGCTGATTTAAAACAAATAAAAGTGATTAAATGAACTGTTAGGACTATATGGAGAAGGGAGAGGGAAAGGATCTGGTATAATAATGTACAGGAATTTGAAAAGAACTGTTATCATTTAAGATAGCAAAATGTTTCTTTTTTTTTTAAAAAAAAGAAGAAACTACTAAAATCAGCTACTGAGAAAAATGCTGGAAGAAATAAAAAGTGAAATTGCAAAATGGCATGTTTGTCTTTGATATGTGTGCATCTATAAGCAGTGTCCCACAAGAATGGGTTGGGTGGTGAAATGAATGGATTTAAAACAGGCCACAACATTGTTGAATAAACTACCAGAAGAGCCCTTATTGCCTATGTCCCTGAGGCTTGCCATGACTGCCCTGCCATTTGACCCCAGAGGCCATCTTACTTCTGAGCTGTTCCAGATTAAGCTGTCTTGCTTTTTGGTCAAGGAAGGGGGACCAGCTCGCCCACCTGTCACAGTACTTGTGCACCTGCCAGAGACGGGGCTTCTTTTGCTTGGCTTCCACCCCCCATCTCCAAACCAGAGCTCAAAACACAGCAAGAACCCCAACATAGATCCCACAACAACTCAATATAAACAATGAAAGAGGACATGATATCAAATGATATTTGAGGAAAATGTCTCATCCCTAGTCAGAAAGATGGATTTGAAAGAAAGAAGGAAAGGTGAATTTCATCACACCAGTAAAGTGGTTGTACCTACGTAACTTCTTCTTGTTGTTTGGACACCCACCACCACTAAGAAACTGCATTGGCAATTTCAGTATTTGATTTAAGTGAAGCTCTCTTCTTGGCCGTAGGAGTCGTTGGACTCGATGGCCCTTGTGGTCTCTTCCAACTCTATGATTCTATGATATCTTGCCCACATCCCTGGCGTACTTGCCATTGCCATGATCCTTGCCATGATCTCAAGACAAAGTCAAAGCTTCAGTATCTCAGTCATGCCCAATCACTTTTGAGAGGCAGTAAACCAGTTGAGACTGAACCCAAGTCATTATTTCCCAAATTAATCACCAGTTACATAAGCAGGGGCTCAGGACTTCAACACGCCCATCAACTCAGGGGACAAAGAAGCCATAGCATCTCTCAGGTTTTAAATCATTTGATATGAGTCATTCTGCTAAGGTTCCAAGATGTCAATGTGCAGCAGTATGCCTCGCTATCCAGTACAAGAAGCAGCTATACTCAATGACCCACATCTTTTGGGGGGAAGAAAGCTGCGAAAAAAGAGAGAAAGAAAAACCCAGGCTTAGCAGCCAAAGCTACCTGCATTCCTAGTTTCCCAAGCCTCAGTCCAATATAGGACGAATATGTCCTTGAATGCCATCGCTACTAAATCCTATTGATGAGGCCATCATGACTGCCCTTACGCAAAAAGAACAGAAAACATTACCAGCAGCAGCAGCCTAGGAACAACCAAATAGCAATCACTATAATTGCATAGAAAAGTCATAGAAAAGGTTAACTCTTCCGCACTTCTTTTACCACTGAACATCTGAACTTGCTAGTTTTCCTTAAGATGGTAAATAGCAGCTGGGAGTGGTGATTTTTTTTTTTAAAAAAGAATGTGACAATAAGGGGAAGGATTATAAATTTGTCTCCCAGTGCCATGGTGCCAATCCAGGCTGAACTTTTCAGAAGGCTATTTGCTAAAACTGAAAGAGACAATCTATTGTTGCATTTAATTTGACCCCGTACTGATGCGGGGGGTGTCTTTCCAGCTGAAATATAGTTAATCATTAGGCAGTAGATTAGTTTGGTCTGAATGCATTATGGATGTGCTTTATTGCTGTTGCGTCAGCATGGAAATCTCACATCTGAAAATGCATGGCATGTTACAAAAGAAACTGGAAGCAGCAGCATCCGTTCTCAACTGGATAACAATTTGCAAAGCACTTGTCAAGAATATGACAGACTGTACTGATAAAGAGCTATACGTGATGGCCATGTTTCTAAGGGTCCCTATAAATAGCAAAGAGCTGTGGGATATGAAAAGTATAAGTGGCGAAGCTATCCATTTCTGAACAAAATGTTTTAAGAGGCAATCTAACAAAGCAACTATGTAAAATGACACATAAACCAAGCACAGGGTGCACTGTAACAAAGACAGGTGAAGTAATTTTGCCAATTGAGGCAGAAAATTCCACAAGTCTCTCCCTGCTTCAATCCTTGGCAATAAAAATACAGAATTAAATACTATAACAGCTGACTGCTCTTTCTTGATACTCAAAATCAGCTGCATTACTCTGCCTTATTTATTTTTAAAGCATTTCTAAACTGCCTATATTTTTTAAAAAAATCTCTTTTAAGTGGTATGCACTATGTACCATATAAAACAAAACAAAAATGCAATTTGAAACAATATTAGACATCTATAAAAAACAAGTAAAACAGAGATTTGGGGGATTCAGGGACATAGATTGGGGTCCAATCTTACAGCTCAGGGATAACTTGGACAAAAAGATCAGCTTTTAGAAGATGATTGCTGCTTCACATGGCAGAGGGAGGGACAATGGACAAATGCCTGGTTTGGAGTCATTGGCCTATGATATTCTGTAGGATGTGATGCCATGATCGAAATAATCTTACAGGCCTTTAGAGAGGCTGGCGTTCTTTTAGTTCTGATAGTAGGGCCAGTCTTCTAAGATAATCCAGATCAGTAAAGTGTTTCTATAACGCTTACTGTTAGATAATCCTTTAATCCTTGGGATGTCAGCATGGCAAAAAGGCACAATTTGGGACACACACACCTCGGCGAAGCCTCTGAGCATCCCCCCCCCATTCGTTGTATTGTTAGGTGAGATGTAGTGAGGGTGGTTAGCTACCCCCCCCCCAATACTACAGAATTGAATGAAGAAGCTGGAAGAACAGTGCTTTCTCTCACAACTTTATGTGCTTTTCAAGGCTCAGATGGGCAACCTGAGCTGTTGAACAGAAAGCAGTTGAAGGAAAGGGGAGCGATCTTGTGGGATGGGGAAGGGGAAAATGGAAAGAGAGAAAGTAAGGAGCTTCAGAGTCAGACGAGAGTGAGTGAAAGGAGACAGCCCGCCATCAGCCATCAAGGTACAGGTCACATCTGTCTCCAGTGACAGAAATAATGGCTCTTGTGCTTTTTCAGCACTGCCATTGTGCAAAATCATGGATCTAAGGTACAGATCCTTAGGGACCTTGGTTGTTGTTGTTGTTATTAAAGAGATCCCTGCAAAACCACCATCAAATCATAGGCCGCCTGGATATGCTCTGTGATTTGTTGGTGGTTTCACTGACATCCTGTGTAAAAAAAACCCATGAAGATCCGTAAGGATCCATGCCTAGAAAAATGTGATTTTTTTTACTGCACACTCTACCAATGTGAATATTAATTTGATAGCCCCTTTTTTTTAAAGACTCTGTAAAATTGTGCAAATTAAAGAGAATCAGTTTAAATCCTACTGGATCCATCTTTGAGGCAGTGTCTATATGTGCACACTCAGATGGTTTCTGCCTGAGGGAGAAGTGACGGGGGGTTTCCACAACACCCCCTCAAAATTCCAAATGTGCTGATTGACCCAAATAAGTTGGTGACCCCTGCAGTTTATCCTATAGCTATACGAACATAATTATTTGTGTTTTTTTAATCATGTGAACTGCCTTGGGGACCACTCCTATTCAGTTTGCATAACCGGAATATTTAAATTGTACTCTGCACAGTCTATGCTGGATTTGTTATTGAAAGCATCACTCAAAGTCTCTCTACATTTTCTCTCTCTTGTGGCTGTGAATGGCTCAATGGAAATGTCTTATAGCAGTTCTATATTTAAGAAAGTCTTTTAGATCATAGATGTATGCTCACTTCTTTATAGACAACAGCATTTTTTCGTAAAATAAAAGGAAGGCAACAACCAATTCACAATAAACAGCAATCTAAATTCAACAGAGTAAAAACAATGCTTTATGGCTCAGTGAATACTTAAGTAATATTCTTCCTGTTTATGTCTATGGGAAAACAAACGTGCAACTATGTAAATGCCTGATTTTTAAAGTATGGCAAAAAAAAAAAAAAGCTTTTTAGATGCAGTGTAAGGATTTTATCCCCTTTATAGCAGGGATGGGGAACCCATGTCTTTATGGTGTTGGACCTTCCATAGCCTGAGATAGCACAGTCAATGGTCAGGGATGATGAGAGTTATAGTCAGGAGGGGTTTCCCACCCCTGCTTTATCTTTTCCTTGAGTTATAACTGATCCGTGGAGCACAATACTATACCAGTTGAAAACTTTGTATTGCAGAGCGCACACTGAGAAGGGAAGACATCCTGCCAGGACTGAGAATCTGCCTCTTTATCTATGGACTTGCTAATACTTCACGGATTGCATGGCTCTTTCCCCGCCGTCTGTCTCACCATGTTACCTTTTCGTTTCCACAGCTATTGAGCTGCTGAGTGAGCATAGTGTTAGAACACTGTTAGCTCTGGCATTGCAGGCGCTGGAACAGGGGCACTGTATGGTTAGGCTGAGTTGTCAAACAGCAGGAATATATTATCTAAGTTCATGGCAATTTATGTGAGTATCAGCTTGCAGCCATTAGAACTCTAATGTGTTTGAAAGACTGTGAGACTGTATTCCAAGAAAACAATATGTGAGTTTGAAATTGAATGACTGATTAAAGACACCCCACAGACAAATAATGCGTTATGTTGATAGAAACCTGGATGTTTCAACTTTAAACCAACCTGGTTTACTAACCTATTGGTTCCAAGGTATTAAAAACTTTGTTGGGTCAATCCCGCCTCCTTGGAGCTTCTGAATATATGCCTGCCATCAGGGAGGCTAGGGCTAGTTCTTGAAGTAATTCTCAATGCCCTGAAATAATTGTTGTAGCAACCCCATCCCTACCTTCCCTGGACCTACTTAAAAAAGGCCTGTGTGCCCTGACAGAAGGCAAAAGTGAGGCTGTGTCTGGCCTACCGCCATCCATTCCTGGTGGTTAAAATGCCATGTTCAAGTAGATGTTATCACCAGATCAACATGAAGCTGAAAAGTAGAAGCAGGGTTCTGTACGCATCTGTCCCCGACGCTTGTCAACATTTTTATGAAAGCAGATAAGCTGATGTTTGCTTCATTAAATATATTAATATCATGCTAATAATCAGGCTACATTGGACCAGGAGAAAAGTCTTCATAGATACAGATTCCAATTTTGTGAGAAGTATTATCCATATGAAAAGAGAATAAATACACAAGTTTAAATGGGGAAATAATCAGAACCAAGAGAAACTTAATTCATATAAGACGGAATTACTGTAGGCTGATGGTCCATCTGCATTGGGATGAGATGTGCAGCCCATTTCTGAATGGGGCTACCCTTCAGTTGAAAGGTCAGGCTTATAGTGTATGGGTGCCTTTTCATTTGTTGCTACTTTTTGGAAGATCAGCAGATGGTAGTGACTACCTTTTAACATTCTGTGCCCTTCCTGGAGAAGTCACACGTGTCATGCTCTAGTCATCTCAGTTGGTAGAGCATGAGACTCTTAATCTCAGGGTTGTGGGTTCTAGCCCCACGTTGGACAAATGCAGGGGGTTGGACTAGATGACCCTTGTGGTCCCTTCCAACTCTACAAGTCTATGAGTTTATGATTCTACCTCCAGGCTCAACTACTGTAACACACTGTATGTGAGGCTGCCCATGAATATCTGGGCACTGGTACCATGCTACTGACATAATTAATTGGGGCATATCAGTACAATCGTATTCCATTTACCGGTACTTGGGTCACCTGTTTGTCTCTAGTAATAACTGAAGGTGCTGGTTTTAATCTTAATATTGGAGGCCTTGTTCCAGGTGAGCAGCAGGGCATTTTCAGTTATGGTACCAACTTTGTGGAATACCCTCCTCAGAAAGGCCTATACCTACAGTATATGGTTACTAAACTGTTTCAGACATTGGGCCAAATCCCAACTGTTTCAAAAAGTCTCTGAGTTAAATTTAAAACTGTTTGATTGTTGTTGTTTCAGTTCTGTTGGGTTGTTTGCTTGGATTATTATATATGGTTATATTTATGCTGTTTTTTAATTGCTGCTGTAGCTCTTGCTTTTCCTGTTTTTCCTCTATATATTGTTTCCCTGTTGATTTATGTCTTTCATTGTTCCAGTGATTCTATAGCGTTAGCCATTTTGGGTTGCCTTTTGACAAGATAAGGCAGGATATAATTTTTTGAAAAAAAAATAGTAAAGTGGCCAGGCTATTCAGAAGGACATGGAGATTTTAATGAAGCACAAATTGATCACACGTCTTCAACGACTTGCTGTTGTATTAGGATAATTGTAACCTATCAAAAACATTTAATCCGGTACTTTGAAAACAATAATACAGATGTGCTTGTTTCTTTTGCAATAGGTTGCGGTTTTTAATATAATTCTTAAAATTACTGAAAATGCAAGACATGTTGGAGGATGCTTGGCCTAAAGAATAAAGTGTTAAGGCAATGTGATTATGGGAGTTGAATAAGGAGGTAGAATACATGATATTTGCTACTGATGTTGAGATAAGAGGTGATGTGAAAGAGATACAAGCAAGGATAAAATTCCTAACTTTTCAGGAACAAATTCTCTGGCAAACTGCAGAATTGGCTTCATTAGATATTTTGAAATGGAAATGGTTAAGAAACCATCTGAAATTATTTGGTCTAGCAGATCCTACCTCCTTTCTAGTACATTTAGTTTTTTTCTGTCCATTTTTTATTAAGTGCAGTTTATTAAGTCCAAATCCAGACAAACCTGGATAAGCTTAAGTATGATTTCGGGAAATGAGTCAGGCTTGAAAACCACAATTTTACATTGTCTGGGGGGAGGAGCCAACATGGCGCCGAGGTAAGACGCGCTTACCGGTGCTCTTCGGACTTCTTTTAATCTTTTTTAATCTTTTATAC